CTCTGTTTACTATCAGACTGGCTGTATGCTTATTTGCCACCATAGTTGTATAAAAAAATCTATTTAAACTATTACACAGTTTTGTTACTTTTAAACTGAGAATTTAATATAAAAGAAAGAGATGAAAAATGTTCAATAGCTAAAATAGGTTTGTGTGGGGATTGATATTTTATATAGAGAATGTTATATGGCCGTATAACCCTACCAATTTCAAATACAACCTGCTTGCATACTTTCTATATAAACTGTGTCCAATATGTAATCTAGTAATGTAAAATTTATTATTGACAAATAATTAACACATCAAACATTTTGCTATGAATTGACAAAAATGGTAACTGATGGTGTATCTTTCGTCCTTTTTTTACTAATTATATTTGTATAAGAAGAAAGGAGACAATTATATGATTTACAATTTTTAATTTATCATTCCTTCTATGTAATACCTTGTTCTTAAGTACAGAGACACTCCGTCCAGATAACCCAATATAAACAAGAATAGGACAGAGGTATCCAATCAAACGACTTTTCGACAAAATCATATTTTGTACATATATGTTATTTGTATTTGATTCAAATTGAAAAAGAGGATAGCCTTATTGCGATCAGAAATTTAAGATCCTTTGCCACAATTGAAGTCGGCTTATTTTTTTGAAACTCAATCTAATTATTCTGTCAATAAACAGATATGTATACGTATATAGGCTGAAGTCTATATCATTAATATCCTTTCAAGGGACAGTTTGACAGCTCGACAGCAGGACACGCTGTCTTAGAAAGGGAGGCACGAAATTGTTATGTCGATTTTCGACCCGTATTGAGAAAAAAATATTCATTTTTATTGGTGGGACGCACCCCTATATATTTTGTTCGATAAATAAAAAATATATTAATTATTACGAAATACGCCGACGAATGCACAAGACGTTTCGGCATATTAATTAAATTTACATTATTTAAAAAGAGAATATGAAATGTTTAGACATATTATTTAAATTTAGAAAACGGAATAAAACGAATTTAATTTGAACGCGAATTATAACGAAAAATTGGAATAGAATGTTTTTTTTTTTAATTGGATACCCACGTGGGCACAAGTTTTTTTTTAATGGATGATAATAGAATGGTAACCCCGCCTTCGCTAAAGGTATACGCTGGCGGGGCACCAGTGAGGGGTAATAGGTGAAATGAAAAGACATATTAGTTAAATTATCGTGGTGAATACACTTGGAATTCAACATGATGGTGTCCAGGGGGGACCACATGGAGGTCAACCTGACAGGGTATTTTGCTAGTAATGTGACTGGTACTCTGCATTATTAATAATCCTTTCCCCCCATGAGAAACAAGTTACCGAATATCTGGGGATATAACCCAGTACACCCAGACCAGTATCAATTTAGAAAAATTCGTTTTTTAAATTGGCCGGGACTCGGACCCGGGAACTCATTACGAAAAACATTGCGTTTGCCACACCGTGACGGAGAACGTTTCGTTTCTCTAAAATGTGCAACTTCAATCGTAAATATATGGGATTACTCGTGTGAAATATTCTTGATATTATGTGTATTATTGCAAAAATATTTTTTAAATAATTGATAATAAAACATAGCAATTAAAAAAATAAAACTACAAACAAATTAAAAACCTTTTAATTTGAAAGTAACTTAAAAATAATGCTGACGTCAATTTTAATCATAAATAAATAAAAGTCAGTAATAGTGGAACACAGTAATGACCATTAAGGATTACGTTATGACCCAAATATCTGACAAAAAAAATAAGAAAAAGGCGGGAAAATATAAAAAAAAATAACAACAATGGCGTCAGAGGACATGAAAAGGATTCGGTCCCTCATTCACGAGGGAAACTCCATTGAATCTGAGACTTTTTTTATATACAACATTCATAATATTCATAGCTATTCTATAATGACAGCGGTTTTGATATGTGCCTTTAAATATATTGGGTATGTTTTTTTTTTCTCAGAGGAGAAATATGTATATTAATAAATCTATCTATCTATCCTATTTAAGAGCTGCGCTCTTGTCGGTGGAGCTCTTGACACTCACTACGATTTTCAGCGAGTCTTTTCACCTCTTGATACGACACGACACCGACTCCTTCCTTGATCTGCCTGATATAACTATGTCTCGATCTCCCTCTTCCCCTCCTTCCTTCTATCTTACCTTCTATTATAATGTTCATAAGTTCGTCGTGTCGTATCAAGTGTCCCAACATTTTTCCCCTTCTGTCCTCAATAGTTCTAATAATTTGTCTTTAGAAATTAAATAGGAAATAAAAAATATTAGCTGAATATGGAACTGTGGGGTAAAGGAATTGTTAGTAATGGAGACTAAGAATCCCATTGCTAGCAATATACCCAACCAGGTCGACCTCCTCGCGGTTCCCCCTGGAAACTATCATGGTTAATTCCTGATGAATTCATCATGATGGGCTAACTGGCCTGTTTTCATTCTCATCTATCACCCTTCACTGGTGCTCCGCCAGCGTATCCCGTTAGCGCAGGCGGGGTTGCCATTTTCACCCATCAAAAAAAAAAAAAATATGGAACTGTTTACGTATTCTATAAAAACTTTGTCATTACCTAATCATCATATCAGCCTTTAACTGTCCACTGTTGAACATAAGCCATCATCTATTCGAAGCAAATAAAGTTTTCTATTCTATGTATCGAAAAAAAAGCATATGTACGAAATATTTTTTAAACGCATTATATTAAAATAATTATTTCTTAATTCCTAGCAATTTTACAAGCAATCCTGCCTCCTCCCATTTATAATATTAGCAAGAACAGCATGGGTAAATTCTTAGTTTTACCATACATACGATTAACGGCTTCGATTTACAAGAATTTACAAGCACTTTTAAATATATATATATTTTTAAATCCAATACAGTGTTTGGACAGTAGTTATCTGTTGAGAAGAGCCCGCAAGAAACTCAACAGTTACTCTTTTAAATCTCTGTTAACATATATATTATAAGTACACATATATTTACTTAAATGATGACTATGCTTGGTCATTAAAGTCCCGTGCATGATCGAGTAACATAATGCACGCTTATCATTCAAGTAATCGTTTAGAATGTAATAGGATTTGTTCAATCAGATTGATATATATATATATATATCTAATATATAAAATTCTCGTGTTGCGGTGTTTGTTACCAAACTCCTCCGAAACGGCTTTACCGACTGTTATAAAATTTTGTGTGCATATTGGGTAGGCCTGAGAATCGGCCAACATCTATTTTTAATACCCCTCAATGATAAGGGTGACCCACCCCTAAAATTTTTTTTTATTATTTTAACAAATTTTTACATACATACAACTTAAAATTTTCATCGTTTTACGATCAACCCCTGTATTTTAATTGCGATTTTTATATTTCGTAATAAGTGGTAAAACAACGTTTACGGGATCAGCTAGTATATATATATATATATATATATATATATATATATATATATATATTTTCTTCCACAACACGGTAAATATATCTTGTCTGCTATCTTGTTGCTAGGTAGTTTGCGAACGATCAAATAAGAGCTGTTTTAAAATAGTACAAATGCTCCCTAACCATAATCGGCCAAAATTGCGGACTTGCCTGTCAAATCATTGAGACACAATGACGTTTACGACTCGTAACGCGTGGTGTTGTCCCTGGTTTTGTATGCATATACATATAACTTTTCTAATTTAACCGTTTATTTCTCGTTTTAACTTTTATCTAACATAAGCCACTTCTTCCTGATGTAGATGTCTTTTACTTCGTTTTACAATTAAATTAAATCTTATTTTTTTATAAAATAATATAAATATACTAACAATTACCTGCGACTTCGTCTACGTGGCCGGGATGTGCTCACTGACCGGAATGGAAAATTTTAATATTCTTCTCTTCCCATAAAGTAGATTCATTGAGTATCTACACAAGGGATTTGTGAATGAACACGGACAAGGAAATCTTGCAGTCGAATATTGTAGTGTCTCTTTCAACCTTGATATTAGCAAAGTAATCGGAGCCGCGATGGAACCATAATATGAAAAAAATCCTTATATAATATTTTAAACGTGAAAGTATGTTTGTTTGTTTGTTTATTACTTTTTAGCGTCTTAACAGTAATGTTCAATTATTACGTAATCTAGTATATACGTACTCTATGGGAAGAGAAGAATATTAAAATTTTCCATTCCAAATATAAGTAAAATGAAAACTGAGAACCTGAAAGAAAATTAAATGCAATAATTAATAGCTATTTGATACTTATAGTATGAGCCTTGCTTAGTTTTGCACTAGATGGCTCTTTGTATTACATAGTCCAGTTCGGATAACAGTCAGTTTAGACAACAATCGTGATATAATTACTTTCGGATCATCACGGGAGTAAGACTCTACCTCTAGGATCGTTAGACTTTATTCACTAGTGTAAATAATAATAATAAAAAAAAAGTAAAGACACCATATTTATTCAAATCTTTCCAGCCTTCGATTGCACGTCAGAGACATTAAAGTTAAATATAAGGGTTCGTTATTTTGATACGGAACCCTAAATACTGATAGTTACCATAAATATTAACATTTCAATAATCATAGTTGTTCTGTTTGTATCGAAGCATTTTATTATTTATGTATTTCCCAATATAAACAAATGTTTTCATATAAAAAGTTTCTTTGGATATTACTAAATCTTAATTGACCGTAAGCTTGTACTGAAATGAATAGACGGTTCACATTAGGTGTTCTCTGCATCTCTGTTAGAACTATATCCACCTTAAAGCGATTTAGAAAGTCTTACTATGTAGTTATTAATATCAATCTTAGAGTTAAAAGACCTATTTCACGTCCCCAATATAATAGTTATATATCTGAGCAGCGGGGCTATTAGTTCGCGATACCGTGTCAGGCGTATTGCTCTGCATGGACCCCTTCAACACCTTCCGGAGGGTCGAAATTGTCGCAACGAGCCAGCTCATAAATTCTTTCTACGGCTGACAGTTGCACAGTTCACATGTTCTTCATCCTGTGGTGTTTGCAATGTTAGCGGCCAACATCACATTCGTGTTGAAGCATGTGGCTGAACAACACACATTCGACAAAAGGTCCGCCATTTTGACGCAACGCAGGGAGCCGCCATTCCGTTAATACACCAACTTTAGAACAATGCATGTTGTGCGGTGTACTGTGTTCGTATTATTGTGTCTGTGATGCTGTGTGTGTGTTTTATTTAACAGTAAGTTGTTTTTGTGATTTTTTTTTATACATATATATATTTTTTTATCGAACATTGAAACGTTGCGTGGTTTGAAATACGAAACGTGCTGCGAACTAATTTGTTGGAATTTTGAAAATAACCGTCGCATCGGAGATATTCAGTAAGCAATAGACAAAATAATTATAAAAACAAAATTTAGTGTGTTTTAAATAAAAAATCTATTAATTTTAGGTTTCAATTGAGCTAACTGGTCTGATTTTTATTATAAATATACGTCCTAACAGATTATTATATGTATATGTAGTTTTTTTTTTTCAATGGATGGTAATGGAATGGTAACGCCTGTGCTAACGGTATACGCTGGCGGGGCACAAGTGAGGGATAAAACGGGAAAAAGAAAAGGCAGGTCAAGTAGCCCATCGTGATGCATACACTCGGAATTCAGCAGGACGGTTTCCAGGGGGGACAACGGGGGTCGACCTGTTAGGGTGTATTGGAGTGGTAATCCGCATTACTAACAAATCCCTTCTCCACACTAATTTTGTTATAGTTTGAAATAGCCTGGGAATTGGATAGAAGTTTCTTTAAATTTCTACTATATATTATTTATGAAAATATGGGACGAGGTTTAGATGTTTCTTCAATTGTTTATAAATGGCGGGATGGATTACGATTTTTTTTTGTTGGATGAAAATGGATCGGTAACTCCGCCTGCGCTAACGGGATACGCTGGCGGAGCACCAGTGAAGAGTGATAGATGAGAATGAAAACAGGCCAGTTAGCCTATCATGATGAATTCATCAGGAATTAATCATGATAGTTTCCAGAGGGAACCGCGAGGAGGTCGACCTGGTTAGGTATATTGCTAGTATTGTGCTTTTATAATTTGTATTTATAATTTGAGTAATTTTTACGTCCCTTTCGGTAGTATTTGTGCTTTGAGTTAATTTACAGTTTTCATGTTGCATGCCTTATATACCTAGTATCTTATATAAACGTGAAGATAATTGAAGTGTTTTCAGTATTAATACTTTGTATCTTCGAATATTCCTTATTTTTTAATGGGTGAAAATGGAATAGTGGCCCCATCTGCGCTATCGTTATACACTGATGGGACACTAATGAGGAATGATGATAGGTGAGGACTGACTTCAGGTCAATTAGTTAATCGTGACGAATTCAACAATCAGGTGGTCTACCATTAAATGAAATTCCGAATTTTCGCGCTCAATTTCGTGTTTTTGTTCGTACCGAAATCGACCCAGTAAATGGAGCTTAACATTTAGTTCATTATAAATCCAATCCTAATAGTCCAGAGGATCGATATGTTAACATTTTTAATAATTTTAAACGGCATGTATTATGTAATTTTAACATTAAATTTCTGTTTCGTTCGTCCCCGAAATTTTGGAAAATATTTCATGGTAGGCCCTCAGTTGATCGTAATGGATTCCAGGTGGGGGGAGGGGGGGGGGAGCGCATGAAAGTCGATCTGATTTAACCGCGAGATCGTGATATTGTCAGCAATTGAGCAGTTATTATACCCCGTTAGTAATGATCCCCTTCCTTCCAGACAAACAGTATTAGTCAAGTGTCCAAAATTTTTAAGCTACTAGCTTTTATACGTGACATTGTCGGCGTAGCGTTAATGGATCGGAGTGAAAAAGTAAAGTAATCTACGTATATATTATATTGAAATAATCTAAGTATACCAAATTTCATAGTAATTGGTTAAGCCATACAGATGTTAATATGAACAAATAACGTCACTAAGATATTGATCCACTCTGAAATGGTTTACAGAAATTCCCACGGGGACAAAAAGTAATTAGTTCTGTCAAATTTTAGTTTAGAAACTTTAAACTTTATGTATGTACCAATTGTGCTTCTATCGCATATAAATTACGCTTACGAGACAGCGATTAGATTTAAAAACTGTAATTTAGTTATACAATTACATGGCATAATGATACCTTATTTGTCAGAAATAGCAACCCTATTAGGATATGAGGACGTCACAGTGCATTCTGTGATATCCATGGTACTTGTTCAAGCGAAAGCATTTTCTATTAGGTGGGCTGTCTGTTTCTACCTTAATTTAAAATTACGAACTTATTCTGTGATAATTATATAATTATTATAATTAATATTTTTTTTTATTATATGTTATCTAAACTTAATTAAATTTTTACTTACAAACTTAAAATTTTTTTTATCATAATTATAAAATTATTTTATATTTGTTAAAAAAATTCTCTGAAGGGAAGAGAGTATATTGCCACTATAAATGCAAAATTGACGAACTATTACATAACGTTGAAAATATCAAACTGAAATTTCTTTACAAATTTTTTGTGTTAATAAATTTATCACTGTTATTTTTTTAGAGGAAACGACAAAGAGTAATCTATCTATCTCTTTCTTTTCGAGGTCTATTGAAAGTAGTACAACAGTGACAAGAGTTCAAGGATATCATAATAGACCGCCTCGATTTAGATACACCTAGTTATTCTATTAAAATCCTATCAGGACTAACTGGCTGTTATTATGTATTGATACATGAAATGTTGCCTACAGATATTAGAATGAGAGTTCGATATAGTTTGTCTCTGTTTAATAGGTATACCAGTGATGTATTAAGTGTATTTTTGGTCATGTAATCTACGGTTTTGTGGATTAAATATCAACTCTGGAAATAATCTTTAGGAACCACAATTTCCTTACGCTACTTTTTCTTTAATTATGTATCGATTTTGATGAATCTTCTTGTAGTTGATTGGTTTAATGCTAGTTTTTCAGCTGATTCTTTTTTTTTTGATATATTTGTTATTTTGCAACTTTGTCGGATAAACGGATATGGAAGATTACATTTTTTTTTATCTAAAAGTACCTATATATTGTAAAATTAGTGCCTTAGAAATTTTATTATAATCGATTCGGTATTTTAGTTTTTAAATCGAATTAATTGTTTCATCACTATTGAATGAGTTTTATTTTTTGTGGAACGAAATTTTAAATTATTTTGAATTAAAATCTTATTTCGTTAACAACCAACTGTTTTGAAATTCGAATTTAATATTATACTCATTTTTTAATAATAGACTAAGTAAAAATTAAGTTGATTTTATCCTTTCCTTTTTATTTAATAATTCTTGTAATAATCTAATATTTTAAAGAGTGATCATCTGAAAAGGTGAAGAGTAAAATCCTTGAGTTAATGCAATATTTTAAAGAGTGATCTAAATAATGCTTGCGGTTTTATTAAAGAAGTAAAATGTAGTTGCATATCGTAGAAACTATGATAATTAAATAAAAACAACGTGAAATAAAAAAAAAGAAGCATATATATATATATATATATATATATATATATATATATATATATATATATATATATATATATATATATATATATATATATAATCAGATTACTTTTTTAGTTATATATATATATATATATATATATATATATATATATATATATATATATATATATATATATATATATATATATATATATATATATATATATATATATATACAATATTATAATACAATACTAGTTATAATTGAAATAACAGAAATGTATTTATTTCGGAGATATAACATCGAACAACGTAAATACAAAAACCTCAAAGTTACTATCATACTTGGAAGGGGGTTTAAATAGGGATTTACTTGTTATGAACGTTCAAGGAAAAACAAACAAGGTCACATTGTGTATTGTGACCCAAAAACGAATGATAATATTTATTGGGAATTTATGTTACGGTGAATTTTGATAGGACCTTTGATTATATTGGTAGATAGAGTGTCTTCATACAAATCACTATCATATCAGCCTGTCTACTGCTGAACATAAGCTTCCCCTTTTGTTCTGCTAGGGGGTAGTTGCCACACTAGCAGGCAGAGAGGCAACTGTAGTTAGGTTTTAGAGATGTTTTAAAAGGGACGCTGCTGCCCACCATTGGCTCTCCCTTAGTCGCCTCTTACGAGACACGGGAAAGGTAGGAACGGCTCCATTCAAATGCTTCGCCAAAAGCAGGTCAACTTTTTTATCTATGTTGCGTTTTTTACTTAGTAAACGGAAGAAATTATATGAAGAAGGATATAGGAAAAAATGTCATCACCCATTTCGATATTGCCCATACCGGTCAGATATCTATATTAATTTTGATTGGGTTCTTTATTTTAATAGTTTATTTTCTATAATCTTTGTTTCATATATCCAACATTGGGCCAATATATAGATATTGGAACAATTGAACCTTGATCTGTCTGATGTAACTGTACTTTTGGTCTCCTCCTTCTTTCTATCTTACCTTATATCATATTTAGAAGATAAGATAGAAGAAAGTTCAAGAATTCGTCGTGTCGTATCAAGTATTCTAACATTTCCTCTTTTCTGACTTCAAAGTTTTTATAATTTGTCTCTTTTCCTTAAACCTAAGTAGGACCTATAGAAGGATAGGGAAAATTAGAAAAAATTGAATTCTGTCTTTTCAGCTAATTTTCTCCATCCTTCTCCAGCGTCATATTTCAAAGACTTTAAGTTTATCTGTTTCTTTCTCGGTTAATGTCTACGTCTTGCATCTTTATAAAGCTATATTCCAGATAAAGCTCCTGATATGTCGTTATCGACCGTCTTCAAATAGGAGGAGGTTCTCAATTCGGTTGTATTTTTTTTTGTTCGTTCAAAATTCAATTCAAATTCAAAATATCTTTATTCATGTACTCGTAGATTTATTCCAGACCCTTATGTTATGTCAAATCTACCGTCAGTTCGGAATGATTCCGAGGTGAGAAGAACTGACAAGATACTCAGCCCTATTCTTTTCAAATAAATTTTATATTCGTTTACAATAATATAGATTCATTATTAAATTCAAAAACTGTTATTTAAAAATTTGTTGCTTCATAACTCCGTCAGTTCTACACTGGTTTGGAAAATTCTTGTTTTTATCTGAAACTATACATTCTCATAAAAATTTTATCAAAATCAGTCTCAGTGGTTTAGTTTTTTAATCAAAATAACTGGGTTTTGTCACAATTGGAGTTAGTTTTTTCTGGGACACAATCTTTAATTATCTAGTAGCTTATGCAATTTAACAATCTTAAAGTAATAATAGCCTGTAAAATGTGTGTGTGTGTGTTTTTTTTTATAATAGTTATTGCTATATACTACCCAGACCTACTCAAAAGATTTCCTTAAATCCTTATTCGTCTAGGATTCTGCTGTTTTTGTTAGCGCAAAGTTACAATACCGTATTGTCTTATCTAGTATATCGTAAATAAAACCAAAATCTTCTTATATTCTTCGTTATATTGAAAGACAGAGCTCCCTGTCAATAATACGAGACAATAAGTCTATTTCTGGCCTTTTGTTTCTTTTTGTAAAGATTGTTGTATCATTTACTGCTTTTTTAAATAATACAAATTTACAAAATTTTATTAAAACAGATATTGTTAACGTTTTTGAAGTTTAATGTAAACGAACATCCACGGGATTTTTATACATTAAGCTAGGTACTTCCTTTGCGTCGTAAAAATGTACCTTATTTACTTTAATATAGGTGAAGCTTTATTGAGGCCCTTTCTGATTTTGTAGGATTTTAGCAGAATCTTTATTTTATAGCTATGGCTCTATGCAGACGGGGTATATTCTGTTCGCCAGCAGAGTTTTCCTTTGTATTTTTCTTTCATATTTGCTTTGTAAGTTTATAGTTCTGATTTGAGATAATCCTCGACGTAGTCTTAAGTCTGTAAAGTGAATCCCTAAAATTACATGTAACATTGCTGTACAATTTTAGAGGTACAATGTTAAATACTTGTTGTATACGGATCATACAGAGGGATATTATGTCCGTAAATAAAATAACCTTAGAATTTTTTTAATGGATCATAATGGAATGGTAACCCCGCCTGTACTAACAGTATACGCTGGTGAGGCACCAGTAAGGGGTGATAAGTGAGAGTTAAAAAGGAGGTTAGTTAGCCAATCGTGATGAATACATCTGGAATTTAGCATGATGGTTTCCAAGGGTGACCACGTGAAGGTCAACCTGACAGGGTATTTTGCTAGTAATAGGATTGGTAGTCTGCATTACTAACAATCTCTTTCCCCACATAACCCTAGTTTATCTCATCTTCTTACTCTAGGTTTTAGTCCAACACGAATGAGCCTACTGCCGTTGCTCGGAACAATTTAATATCATTGTTTGATCGAAAATTTAAATTAGTTCATAAAATGTTTGATACCAGTATGATTCAAACTTACGACCCTCGCGTTCCGTAATTCGAAGTCAGATATATAATAGAATATGTAATTAAGTTTGTATAATTTTTTTTTTATAGGTACGTAACTGACAGTGTTCCTGATCTAGTCCACGCATCCAAGTAAAAATGTTAATACAGTTCCCTTAATATAAATAAATAGACTAAAGAGAGATAAAGGTGAATACACTGACCACGGATTCGAGAAAGAAGTAGTGAGTGAAAAAGAAAAAGAAATGGACACGAAAAACGATGGACGTAGTGACGACATAGAATTAAGCGCGCAAGGAACTAGTAAAAAACCTAGGTAAGTAAATATTGTAATTATATGAAACATAATATAAATTGTTTAGAAGAATAATCACTCGTATGACAAACTCTAAATATATTTAATACTAAATAAAGAACACAACGTAATAAAACTGACAACAGAAAGAAAAGAATTAAAGAGTCAATAAATAAATTTTGAAGATACGTCTTGAATAAAAGTTAAAATATTTATAGCTTTGTTAAATGTTAAGAATAGTTAAAGATAATTAGAATATGAAAAGGGTTGAACAATAGTAAAATTATGAGTAAGTTAAATAAACAACATTAGAAAGATTTCCTCACTTACGTCTCTAGAAATTGTAAATCTTAAAATTAAACTCCCGAAAGCGAAAAAATATAAATATAAATAGAAGAAGGATAACTGGTCTCAATCTATAATATATATAAAAAAAAAAAAATAGAATAAAACTAGTTAAAAGAAATTTATTTCAATTATTTTTATTGCAGTGAAGTGGCAATCAAATCCGATTTACCTGAACGAGGATCATGGGCCAGTAAGCTTGACTTCATCCTTTCTGTCATCGGTCTGGCCATTGGTCTTGGCAATGTTTGGCGGTTTCCCTACTTGTGCTATAAGAATGGAGGAGGTGCTTTCCTTATACCCTACTTCCTTACCCTTATCCTGGCCGGCATACCTATGTTCTTCATGGAATTGGCGATGGGACAGATGCTTACTATTGGTGGATTGGGAGTATTCAAGATAGCGCCAATTTTTAAAGGTAAGTTCAAATATTAGTATGAAAATCATTCGAGTAAACTTCTCTTTAAGATCTAATTCATGACTCAATGTTATTTCATTATCTGCCAACTCAAGAAGGCTTATAGTAATTTTTCAATTTTATTGATACTTTGTAACTACTTGCCGAGAACTATATTCTGTTATTGCTACACAGTCTACACTTCATTCATTTCATTGAGATAGATTTAAAATTACCTGAACTTTATTAGTTAACCTTAGCTTATTATTAAAAATACTAGCTACCCACCCTAGCTCGCAAGATCTTGACAACTGCATCACTTATCGGTTTTATAATTGTCGTACCTTTCCGTCTGAACCCAACCTTATACATTCGAAGAAAAACGTTACATTCGAAGGACTATATGTACATTCACAAATTTGAATTGAAATCAGTTCGGCGATTTTGGTGATTTACAAACATACGATATTAACACTTTTATGTATTAACATATAGAAACCTCTTTCTACATCTAAGGTCTCGCACTTAAAAAAATAGCATTTTACGTATTCCTAGACATATCGTAGCGCATAATTAAAAGTTTAGCTTGCAACCTAGGGTTGGCACTAGATATTTTGGAGCGGGCAAAGATTCATCCGGTTCGATTTTAAATATATCTATGGCTGTAGTCCTTTCAAAATTTCAATTTTATCGAGAAAGAGATATTTTCATAATTACCTGTCGACATTAAACGGCAACTCTGAAAGCAATATTTCATCATGAAACAATTCACAAAGGCTCGAGATGTCATCTCAGTTGCACAATAGGAACAATTAGGGATTCAGGTTTGAGTCTCGACCCTTTTTAACGTCCGACATTATCTGAAGTTTCCGGGTGGTTGGTACGAGTGTGAAAGCTTTCAGCGATTTGTTGTTTTGTTTTCATTTAGAAAGTAAAATTAAATTAAGAGAGTATTAGAGTTGAGCAAATTCTTGCCTAATTTAGGTAGATGTGAAGATAATTTATAATTAAATGTGTATTATATATTATATAATGCAACTATATTATAATAAAAGAAAAAGCTAGATACCAGAGCACTGCAATTGATATCTGAACATGACGCTAATTTAGCATCACTATAATAGTTGATGAGAAACATAGATGCAGAAGACTAACCGTTCAAACAACAAATACTAGCTACATTATTGAGTCTTTTAATTTTAATCACTCCATTAGTTTTATATTATATGAAATGTAATGTAGTCTATAAATGAATTAAATAACTGCCTCCGTGTGCCGTCGTCTTTTGGAATTTTTTTCTTTAATCATTGGTATAAAGTCTTTTTCTAGACAAGAGTTAGATATGTTATTTCTGCATACGCATGACATGGATATCTTTTCTCATTTTTACTCAAGCATATACTTACGAAAATGTATCTACCGATATATAAGATTCGTCAACCGTGGTTGAATCTTTGATACAATGTGTAACTTTAAACAATTTGTTAGATTTTAATAAATGGAATATCTGTCTGTGTTAGATTTATTATGATTGGAGTAATCTACAACATAGCCATAGAATGATATTGTAAAATAAAGAAGGCATTAAGATTAACTTATTTTTATATGAATCAACAGCTAAAGCAGTGTAGATATAAAATGGTAATCTTTAAGATAAAATATTACTGATTGATATATATTATCTTAGTGTATTCCCTAATACTAATTTCTTAAACAAAAGATGTAATAGATGTGAATGTTTACCTTATACTATATTGCATATTTTGTTAAATTACGTTCCATATGAGGAAAGCTAAATGACCCATGTAGTTAAGAGACATCTCTGCACTTGGGTCTTAAATCAGCTTGGCTTTTAGATTAGTGTCAATTTATTTCAGTAACATTACATATTTTTAGTACATCGCTTATAATGGATTGAAACTCTAATGATAATGTTAGATTTTTTAACTGAATATTAGAAGTGTTTTGAGTCGATATTTGTTTATCTCTTAAAATAATTACCATCAGCTACCTACCCTTATCTCAGTCCCATTTGGGGTCCACATAATTTTTTTTCTCCATCCTACTCTATTTGCAGTCATTTCTGCATTCACTCCTATTCTGGCCATATCATCTTTCACATAGTCCATTCATGTCTTTTTAGGTCTTCCTTTGCCCTTATAGCAATCTCATCTCTTAGAATCATGATGTAATATTTAAAGTCTGGAAAATAAAAAAAATATGTCTCTATTATGTTGTTATCATGGGTATTCCAGGTTATATCCCCAGATTTTTGTTGCCTAGCTCCTCATAACACAGATTATTCCAATTTGAGGATCAGGCAACCGGTGTGGTTGTATGGCACTCATTACTGTAAAAAAGTAAATTGTGATCTTTATAAGTTCAACTTCATATCTTTATCACGTACTTACTTACTACTTTTTTCTTGTTATAAGTTAAAGTATTTTTATTTCAATAGAAATATCAAAATAATTCTTCAAATTTTAACATAAATTTGGAACTATTTGTATATATGTTATTATTATCTTGATCACTTTTTATCATCGCACCGCTTGCCATCGACAGGGAATTCATTCTCACACGCCTGAACCTAAATGGTCACATACAATATAGTTTTAAAGGAATTTTCTCCCGCGTATGCTCAGACTGTGGATTAAGATCCCTGCCGAGATTTTTACTAGATACTATAGTAAGGGGTTCTTCAAAAATATTAAGTTTTCTGCAGGGTCAGCAATGCGCATGTGATTACCCTAGTGTTGTAGACATCCATAGGCTACAGTAACTGTTTACCATCAGACGGCTTTTTGCCATCTTCGTGGTATAAAAAATTACCTCATTTGTTTGTACATTTTTGTCAAAATTATTCAGGTATTGGATATGCGGCAGCGGTGATGTCCTGTTGGATGAATGTTTACTACATCGTGATCCTCGCTTGGGCTATCTTCTACTTTTTCATGTCTATGCGATCAGGTTAGTATATATATGATTTAGAATAGAAACAGAGAGAAAAAAAAATATTTTTACTACATTATTTTTAACTAATATGATAACTATACTGTGCTTATGTATCTCGACTGTAACTGTCATTATATAACAACTGTATTTAAAAATAACAGAATCCCATCGTGCCTCCGATCGCACTATTTATAACTGCGGCTCTCCATCCAAAGGTTACCTGGAAGAGATCGCTTTTAGCGATAAGGTTGCCCATTGTTTTCTCAATGTGAAAATTTCTTGTAATTGTTTGTATCTAAAATAAGTTTACTACTGTAATATTTTAGAGGAAACAATAAAGAGTATCTATCTATTTATTTATCTCTTTATTTGTACTAAATAGATTTATAATATTGTCTAATATTTAGGCAAGAAAAGGTAAAGCTATAATTTTATATGCATTAGCGTGTGAAAATAAAAAATTGAAAGGAGTTTCAAATCAAATTTCCTTAGAATCCATTAAGCTAATATTATTATATCTTTGGTATTAATACAATACAATATTTTAGATGTCCCATGGCGAACTTGCGACAACTATTGGAACACTGCCACTTGTGTGAACCCCTACGACAGGAAGAACCTCACGTGCTGGTCGTCACCGGTCGACATGAGTACATTCTGCATGCTCAATGGAAAGAACATCAGCAAAGCTGTCCTATCTGACCCCGTCAAGGAGTTTTGGGAGTAAGTACATACGGTTCATATGTTAATTTTATACGTAGGTGAATTGCGAGAGCTCAGTAGCGTCATGGGTGAGGCTGTTTTATTGTTATTGACATGTTTAATAAACAAATTTGATATGACATTAATTACAGAGGCCACAGCCAGAGGTTTAAAAAAAAATGCAATTTAGATTAAATTTGTTTATTTGCCAGAACATTGTTTTTTACAGATATTGATCCATTGTGAAGTACAATGTTCGCCTTATAGTCATATATCTCCTTTATAACCTTATATATTTAATATAATATAATTTTACCAGAGAGACTTTGTACAAAAGTCGTTTACTTGGGTACCTCTGCCCCATTCGTGTTTCTACCGTGAAGCAGTTGTGTTTGCATGGCTGTGTTTCGGTTTGAAGGGTGGGATATGGCGTAAATTTACAGGGTACAGAGGAATAACACCTGAGTCCTCAGGAATGGCAACGCATGGGGGGTATATTGGGCGAAGCAGTATACTCTGTTATGTCCATGGTACTGCTCATGTCTATAGTCGACGGTTACCACTTTCCATCAGGTGGGCCGTCAGCTTGTTTGCCAATCTAAGTTGTTTAAAAAAAAATAGATATATAAAATTATTATATTAAATATTTTTATAATTAATTATGACTATGTGATACTTCCACGATGGATGAATCAATTCTGAAGTCTTTTGGTGAGGTGCCCACCTGGGCGAGGGAGGTTAGGTGTTCGCGTTGTCGCTTCTGATTCGGCAACTTTCTTAAAAGCGTACCGAACACGGAATGCTGACTGTGCGGCACTGATGAAGCAACATTACAGGGTTGTCACTGTATGCAGATTCAGGGTTGTCACTCTATGTGTGTATATGTCACTCATTCTTATTAAATTTTCCATATTATATTATGATTCTATTATGATATTATATTATACGAGTTTATTAACAAGAAAAATAATTTTATTTCTTTATCGTTCATTACAATACATTGTAACAGAGAACTAGATTTTGCATACTAGCGCCACTATTTTTTTTTTACTATTGGAATAAAAGTTTTATTAAAAGCGGTTGAGTGGTTTTAAATATTATCGTGAATGAATAGCGATCGTGAATCTGATTTTTTTATCTATTAAGAATATTAATTACAAATAAAATTTCTTTAATTATCTTAAATCCATTTTTTAATAAATTTGTATGGTTAATTTTTTAACAAATATTAATTGGTTAACAATTAGTATAATGTAATAAATGCAATAGTTTGTAACAATGGATATATAGATACATATATATATATATATATATGGATGAGAGGATGCATGGATGTTTGTTACTCTTTCACGTAAAAATTACTGAACCGATTTGAATAAAATTTGGTACACGGATAGGTTATGTCCTAACTTAATAGATAGGATACTTGATGTACTGATTCGGTGAAACTCTGAGACATAATAATAATAATAATAATAATAAACAGATTTATTTCTCTTCACAATTCATTACAGTGAAATACAATGCTTATTTTAAACAAATTATAAATATAATTGAGAGAGACTGGTGCCTGAGATAGGTATAAGAATACCTGTAATATATAAACAATAATATATAACATATACATACCTGTAATATATAACATATACATAGCTAGTAATATATAAACAATATTAGGCAATATATGATATATATTAAACGCAGAAGTAAAAGTAAACGCAGTGTAGGACGACCCCCCACTATATTGAGTGACGGCCTGATATGCATTGCAGGGAGTCAGTGGATGTAGGTGGCTCAGGACCGTTCTATATGGCAGTCTATATATATTATGTCCAGCAGTGGACGGATTATATATATATATATATATATATATATATACATATATATATATATATATATATATATATATATATATATATATATATATATATACATAAGTTATTATTTGTTTGTTATCTTTGTCCCACAAATTTTCTATACCTCACTGATTCACTATAACTTACCCATGTTCGAAATAGAGACTAATATATCGTGAACTATGCAGAAAACGTCTAGACAGCAATAACGTCAAGTTATGAATAAATTAGTGAAAGACAAATCAATAATATGAATATGAAATATGAATGTATTATCGCTTCTCAATCTTTGAAAACATAACATATGTGGACGAATTATAATTACTCTAAAGATAATATAAAAGATATATATGTTGAGAAATACTTAACACAGTTCATTATTTACTCTTACGTGTTAATTTGTCCAGTTTCCTACAAATCTTACAAGTTACATTTATCCTCGTTAATCAACATATCCTGGTCACGAATTAGCCTGGTCATTATTATTTAGATGCCATTAAATTTAAAGCATTCTTATTTAGAAGGCATAAAATTAAACATATATTTATTAAGACGTCATTAAATTCAATATATTCTTATTTAGACGCCTTTAAATTAAACATATTCTTATTTAGACGCCTTTAAATTAAACATATTCTTATTTAGACGCCTTTAAATTAAACATATTCTTATTTAGACGCCTTTAAATTAAATATATTCTTATTTAAACGCCTTTAAATTAAATACATTCTTATTTAGCCGCCTTTAAATTAAATATATTCCTATTTAGCCGCCTTTAAATTAAACATATTCTTATTTATTTGCCATTGAATTGAGCATATTCTTATTTAGATGCTATTAAATTAAATATATTCTTAAGACTCCATTAAATTTAAATTATATTCATATAGACGCCGCGCTCTTCAAATTTCGAGTGGCATCGAGAATATTGGCAACATTCGTTGGGAACTGGCTGGCACGTTGTTGCTTGTGTGGGTTCTCTGCTACTTCTGCATCTGGAAGGGAGTCCGCTGGACAGGAAAGGTCGTGTATTTCACGGCTTTGTTCCCTTACTTCTTGCTTACTGTGCTTTTGATTAGAGGTAAGTGTTGCTACAATTATATTACTACTAAATGTGAGCCTATGAGGACGTTTGTATGGAAGTTTGATACTTTTTTTTACGTAAAAGCTACTGAACGGATTTAAATTAAATTTGGTACACAGATAGGTTATATCCTAATTTAACACATAGAAATTTTTAGACTGAATTAGTATAACTAATAATTTATAACAAATAATAATATAAATGTGAAAATTTGATAAAGATGTATGTTTGTTAACCCTTTGCACTCTGTTGTCGCCGTATTTGTGACATTAAAATGCTAACATTAAATCTAAAATTAATAGATTCAGCGCTCTTAACACTTTGGTAAGCGAAATCGTCTGTGTTTATTTTATAGCGTTTATGATATGTTTATTATGTTTACATTATAATAAATTATTGACAATTTAATGAGTTATTGGTATTCTCTATGAGTTACTAGGCTGGAGTGCAAAAGGTTAATCAAACACGCTTAAACGGTTGAAGGAAATTTAAATGAAACTTGGTACACAGATAGATCCTAAAACATAAGATACTGTCACTAATTCACTCGAGCAAAGCTGTGGATTAAGTTAATGTAACTCTTTTTAGGTATTACATTGCCCGGCGCGATGGAGGGTATCAAATTCTACGTAATGCCCAACATGAGCAAGCTTTTGGAGTCTGAAGTGTGGATAGATGCTGTCACCCAGATCTTCTTCTCCTATGGCTTGGGATTAGGCACTCTCGTCGCACTTGGAAGTTATAACAAGTTCACAAATAACGTTTACAAGTAAGTTGATATTTTAAACTCTAAAGATCTGTTCTTTTTATGACAGAATGGCAAATAAGCTGACGGCTCACTTGATGGGAAATGGTAACAATTAATAAATAACAATCGTCTATAATCATGAACAACAAACAATTAACTTTGTTCAGGATTGTATTTTGAGATAGAGAAATTTTTAAAATTTTATTAGTATAATAAACATGTAACTAGACGATTTCTGTACATGGGAGATGTTTAAGAAAAATTTATTCGAAGGATTGTAATACGATCAGCAGACGCCAAAATTTTTTTTTTAATTTGTCGTTCTGTTTACATGTTTGTTCCGTTATTACGCAAAAACTACGACGCCAAATCTGGCGTATATTTTATCTTGATAAATCATCTATAAGTAATTTATTTCATTAGATTTCTTACTTCTGAAATCTACGTTTACGAAGTAATGGATAAAAAGCTAGTCAACATATATATTTATGTTTTCAGAGACGCCCTTATAGTATGTTCTGTGAACTCTAGTACGTCAATGTTCGCTGGATTCGTAATATTCTCTGTGGTCGGCTTCATGGCTCACGAGCAACAACGGCCCGTCGCAGAAGTCGCTGCGTCTGGTGAGTGGTCAAATATTAAGTTAATCAGAATTTCTTCCACGTATGTTTTTTGTTGCAATGATTGGAAATGGAATAAAAGCCTCGCTTGCGCTGTCGGTATATACTGGTGGGGCAATGACAGACGATAGGTGAGAATGAAAGCAGGGGATCTATCATTACGACGATATTACCGAAATTGGCCCTGTAAATGTCAAAGAAACAAAATGTTAATAACATTTTGTTTATCATAAATTCTATCATAAATGTAAAAAAAAAACGGTATATTACATTTTATATTTGAAACGATATATATCGTGTAATTTTAATATCAAATTTGTGTTTCGTTCGGTCCCGAAATTTCTGAAAAAATTTAATGATATACCCTATGGTTATTGGGCCCATCATGACGAATTCATCAAGAATTAACCCTTCACATGTAGAGAGCTAGATCGTAAATGTATGTATTTGATGACGTTGGACCGTGGCCTTTTTAATACATTGTCAGTTGGTATAGTCCCTCTTAAAACATCTCCAAAGCGTGGCAACTACCGGCAAAACTCCTCATAGGGGGAGGCTTATGTTCAACAGTGGACATATAAAGGCTAATATGGTAATGATATTGATGGCAGTTTAAACTAAAAAATGCAAAAAAATGACATTATGAAAAGAATTTAAGATTATTTTAAGATTTGTTACTAAAGTATATAAATAAAGAGGAAAAGATTAATTTCACCTGTAGAAAACTTAACATAATTTTAATTTTCAGGACCCGGTCTTGCTTTCCTCGCGTATCCGTCAGCCGTACTTCAACTTCCCGGTGCTCCACTCTGGTCCTGTCTGTTCTTCTTCATGCTGCTGCTAATTGGCTTGGACAGTCAGTTCTGTACTATGGAAGGCTTCATCACAGCTGTTATCGATGAGTGGCCAAAACTCCTCAGACGAAGGAAGGAGATCTTCATAGCTATTACCTGTGTAATATCTTACTTGGTCGGGTTGTCTTGCATTTCTGAGGTAAGTTTTTTAATTAATGGGCATAGTTTGTTTTACCGTGGAGTCCCGGCATAGAATTGGCTTTTTTCTGGGCACTTTGTTTTCCGTGGGTGCCGTAAAAGGCGATTAAAGATATTTAATTATTGAGAGATGAACAACAGCGTTCCTTTTAAAACGTCATCAAAGCCTAACTGCGGTTGCCAACTCCTCCCTACGGGGGAGGCCTATATTGATGATGATGTGTTTAGCAGAATATTATATTGTCATAGAATATAATAGTAAACTTCATGTATTGTAATTCCTATGGTCTAAGGCATTATGGCTCTATACTTTTATAATTTCTCTATCATATACCACTCTTTACGGTGTGCCTCGGCATAGAATAGGCCATCCCTTCCTTTCCCGTTGGTGTTGTAAAAGGCGACTAAGCGAGGGTAGCAGCGTTCCTCTCAAAACATCTCTTAAGCCTAATTACGGTTGCCAAGCGTGGCAAACTCCTAGCAAAATTATCCTTATGGGGAAGAGAAATATTCAGTAGTGAACAGTTAATGGTTAAAATAATAATACCACTCTTAAATGAAATTAAAACAAGATGAATGAAGAATGTTTTATTAATTTGAATTATCTTGTAAACTTCTATGCCCCCAAAAAGTATTTGATGTCATTTAAGTATGATATATATTTAATAATCTCTATGCTAAACGTTCTATGGGGTAGCCAAAAGCATAGTACTAACATGCACCTTTAGTTAATTTCATAATTCGTTGATACTGGTTCTTAAGACTCTTGCCTTCTTAACTTGATTTTTTCAGGGCGGGATGTATGTGTTCCAAATTCTCGATTCCTACGCTGTATCCGGATTTTGTCTCCTATTCCTGATATTCTTCGAGTGCATCTCCATATCTTGGGCTTTCGGCGTGAACCGGTTCTACGACGGTATCAAGGAAATGATCGGATACTATCCTACAATCTGGTGGAAGTTTTGCTGGGTTGGATTCACACCTGCTATATGCATTGTAAGTTTTCTATTTTGGTGAAAGTAATATTGCTAATCTTCTTTATACTTTATGACTACAATAAATATCTACCTATACTTGTAAGTACAAAAATATTACTTTTTTATAATTCTAAAAAATAAATACAAAAAAAAAAATATTTCCTCTATGGTTTCTTTCATACATGTACTTATATTACTTGCATACACCCACTCTAACGCCTACCTTGCTTTGATATCAAAATTTTTGTTTGTATAAATAAAATCCGTTATTGGCTGTATTCATAAGAGACTTAGCATGTAAGTTACTTTTTAAGGGCTGTGGCTTTTTGTTAAAATAAAAATAAAAATAAAAAAAAATTAAGAAAAAAATGGGTACAAAAATATTACCATGATTGTTGAGAATGATGACGATGATGATGATGCATTTAATAATAATAACGAGTAAGAAAAGTTCTCTTAAATATTACAACCCCCACCATAATAATAACTCATTAAAGTCACTATTGGTTATAAAAGGAACAGTATTATTGTATTATCTATAATTTATCTAAGCTTTCAGCCTTTTGTCATTCAGATTAATTACTATAATATAAGTATTAAAAGATATTTTTAAAAATCTTTCTTAAAGATTGAATTGTAATGACCATAGTGTTTTATTATATTTTTTTTTTACAGAGCGTGTTTATTTTCAACCTCGTGCAATGGAAGCCGATTAAGTATATGAACTACGAATACCCTTGGTGGTCTCACGCTTTCGGCTGGTTCACTGCATTGTCTTCTATGCTGTGCATCCCTGGCTACATGGTCTACTTGTGGCGTACCACTCCTGGGACTAGGCAAGAGGTAGGTAATTTAGAAAAAAATTAACCAGGTCTATTTTATAACTATTTTATTTTTGATTTTTGTCAAAGAAATTTCGAAAAATTACTTTAAATGACTACTTACCGAACTTTATTTTCATGATATAATATTGATAAAATAGTTGCTTTTTTTATATTCTTTTTTGTTTTCTCAAATATCATGTCTTTTCATGTCCTGCTCAGAAACTTCGGGATTGAAAAACTGTAGAATAGTAGAATGAGAGAAAAATGTGAACTAAGTAATATTATTTCACGGGAGCGAAAGAGAAAGTGTATCTCACGAAAATCTGTATTCTTTTGCATTTTCCTGTCAGTTACATATCATTATTTAATTTTAATTCTAGATTTTATCTTTGTGTAGGTTTTTTTTTCAATTACTGATTATATTGATGTGTTCCTTAAATAAACTATTATTTCAATACAGTTTAGACCTTGATAAGAAAACTATGTGCTAAAATAATGTTTGCATTAATAATATCTTGTTATGAACGAGATGCTAAGTTTTACGTAACGCTGAATTGTTATTGGTATAAAGCGTTAATTAATTGGTCCTAAACACTATTATCCTTGGCCTTTAAAACATTTGAACATAATTAGCTAATGTGAATTAACTGTGAAAAAGTCGCTTCGATAATACACTTAAGAAATCTCGATTTAAACTAATTATTGTACATCTTTATTGTACACAAAATATAATGTTAACCACAATTCATTTGAAACATAATTTAAAAAGGCGAGCTTATCTCTAATAAGAGATTTCTTTCAGCAAAACCAGCTAATTATATAGTATATATTACATAGTGACTAATGTCTATATTAAAGCCTATTTGACCAGAGGGAGACTGTACAAAAGTCGTTTGCTTAAGTGTCTCTATCCCATTCATGTTTCTACCGTGAAACAGTTATGTTTGCATGGCTGTGTTTCGGTTTGAAGGGTGAGGTATGGCAGTGAATTTACAGGGTACAGAGGAATACCACCTGAGTCTTCAGGAATGGCAACGCATGGAGGATATCATGGATAAAAGAGTATACTCTGTTATGTCCACGGTACTGCTCATGTATAAAGGCGACGGTTACCACTTTCCATCAGGTGGGCCATCAGCTTATTTGACATTTTAAGTTCATTAATAAAAAACCCAGATAATCTAACTCGGGAATAAAAATTGGGATTTCCAATTGTCAGATCAGTTTATTTAAATTCATCACATGACTATTATTACAGAAATTCAACACGATTGTCCGAATTCCTGAGGACGTTCCATCTCTGAGAACCAAAATGCAGGCGGAGGAGCTAGCGAAGCACGGAAAAGCTTAAACTATATCTGTTACTTAGACCTTATGGATCTCAAGGAGATGAGAGAAATGTATGTGAAATAAGGCAGAGATTCTATGCTCTTGCATGATTAATTTAATAATACCCATTATGTCGAATGCCACCTTGGAGGTATTTCACTTATTTTTAACAAGTCATGCGATGCAGTTGCAACAGCAAAAAAATTTAAGCAGCGCAAATATTCAGATTTAGAGAAGAACTGTACTTTAGAGCTGCTTTGAGTTAAAGCCATAAAATCTTGGAAGCTGAAGAGACTATCAGACCATTTAAAAAAATCTCTGATCTAAGTGATCAGAGATATTGTCTTTGAAAATTTGTGTTATTTTTTTTTATGAACTACCTGTTATTTAAAATACGAAGCAATTAAATAAGCAATTATCAATAGTGGTTGAAGCTTTTTTAATTATTAAGTGCTATAATTTAAACATGCAAGAGTATTTAATATCAAGAAAATGGATAAACATAATATTCTAAAAGATCACGCACAAATTTTTAACACAATTAGATGTGCCATAATTAAAAAAAAAAAAAACATATTTTTAACGTATCATACCTAATACTAAGTTAATATACCTTTCTTCTCATACAATGATTAGAAACTTAATGGCTTTAATTTTATAGAAATGTATTAACTATATACTCCAGTTATTTAGACAGTCATTATTATTGTATAATTTATGGATATATAGATTTATTAGACCGTATATGAATTATTATAACTGTAGCATCTATCGATGGTTTTAGGCAGATAACCATACTAACCTAGTTGAGTTATTTTGATACAAAGAATACCACCACATCTTCAGTATTGATGGAAAACGATACATTTCGGTTTTACAATATTACTAAAATACAAAAAACGATTCTGGGAATAACTCAAGCTAGAATCTAAAATACACAATTAAGTTTTCTTAGGATATATTGACGACTTTTGTTGGGTGCGTCGCGACGCGTTCATGTATGTTTATATTTTACGATATATTTAAGGAGCGATGTTAAAACTATTAATGTTAAATAAATATTAAGTGTACGAGTGTTTTAACAGTTTACTATTATCGTCTTCCATATAACTAAATCATTTAGAGGTTTATTATCTATATTGTAACTATTACTGTCATGTTTTTAATAAAGAAAAAAAATATATATTTGAATGTTACCAATTGACTATGAGTCTTTATAATCTTAGTTAAATCTTAACTATTATCCGTTGTAACTAATGATTTTACGGTAAAATAGGTGAATATACTTAAGATTAATTGTAAAAACATAATTACAATTTCTCTTATGTTTATTTGAAATAACAACGAAGTATACATAAATGAATTACTACATTTCAAAAGGTTTTATATTATATTATCCATTTTATTCGTATATGTTTGAAATCTTATTAACTATTGCCTAAAAAAATATATACTTAGCATTCATAAAAATATAATTATAAACGTGAGTAATGTTAATTGTTATCTATATATGATGGATTTGTGTGTTAGTATCAATGTTTAGATATTAGGTTTTGTTTACCACGAAAGTAAAAAGCAATGAGATATTTTGAATCTATGGTGTTGTACGTAGTATAAGGTGGTGAGAATATTATAGCTTTTGATGTATTTAATCAGAGTTAAATCTATAAACGGCTATTGCTCTATAATATTATAAAAAAAATATATTCTAGGCCTAACATATATCACTCGTGTAAGGTTTTAAACAATATTAATAGATATGTGAGTTACACTGTCTTTGATGTTAGGTTGTTAAGATATACCTACCTATTTCTTTGTCTTACATTTTGGTTTGTCAGCTTTAATTATTATAATTGTCACAATAAATTTCAAATTTATTAAATCTTTATACGATGTGTATCTTTGATTAAGAATCATGATTTCAGTATTTGAACAATTGCATGAATGAGAGTTAATTGAAATCTATACTAATGAAATAAGCGTGAATTTCTGTGTTCCGAACGAGACCAAACCTCTTTACAAGTAAATCTATTTTACATACATATGTAGATTTTTTATAATAAAAAAAAAACCTTTCGACAAAAATTTACATAATAAATCGTCTACGTATATCCTTCAAATAATATTATGGATGACTTAAAAACTATATTAGCTATCTCTTATTTTGGTACGGAATTATTGAAAAAAAAATATATATTCAAATTTTTTTCTAGAAAGTAACAGAGTTGATTTAAATCAATTGACAATGTTATTCATAAAATATAATATTTGGTTTATTTTAATCCACTTTTATGCATATTTTATATAGTAATATTCTAATAAAATTTGAGATGAAAATACATTTAAACAATACAACATATGAATTTAGAGTGTTCAAACTAAATGTAATAATGAATCTGTGTCTATTTGTAACGTCAATTTCTATATTTAAAATTATAAAAAAAAAAAAAAAAAAATATAGTGAACATTCGTAATTGTTTAACAAAAATATATGATACGCATTTAGAGATGTTTATTATAATATAAGACAATATACTTATATTCTTTATATATTTAAATTTTATCGTAGACAAATCTTAGCATCATTTATTCATAATTTAAGATTATAACAGATATGATGTTGTAGAAATTTGATGCCATTTTGTTCTAAGAGAAATTATAATAAACGTTAGTTTTGTAAGGAAATAATGTGTGTGAGTTTCCATGAATTGCGCCCAAACACATATTCATTCAGTAAACTGTCTAATTATTATATTTATTTGGATTTTCCACGAATGGAAAGTAAATTCCTTTTAGAAATATTCACAAATGTCACACAACATAACCAGATGTGATACATTTTAATCAGTACGTAATAAGAATTGAAACAAATATAATTATAAAAAATTGATTCCATAAATAATCATGATTGACAATTTGTTTTGAATAATTAAATTTTTCAAAATATTACACTGTATGTTTGCAATTAGCGTGTTTCATAAGGTAAATGTGCTTCCATACTATATGTATTAGCTTATAATTAAGATATAGAATAAGGTTTTGGTTGCAGTTTGCCGAGTGTATGTTGGATTGATAACGCTTAAAAGTAAAATGAAATTTTATCATATAAGTTTACATAATCTCATATTTAATGGTGATAGTTTCGTGTATCTCGCCTGTGTAGACGCCATTTAACTCTTCTGCTTTGACGAAGCAATGCGCGCGTGATAGTGTTTCAAAATAGTTTGAAGGATAAGAGATTTAATACAATCTCTGATGAGGCCAATACCTTAGTCCTCAGGAGTGGCAATGTGTAAGTTATGAGAGGCGACACAGTATATTCTGTGATATCAATGGTCTTAATCGTATCTATAATCGACGGTGACCACTTTCCAACAAGCGAACTTATCATCTTGACTGCCACTCCGAGTACTCTATAAGTACTCAGTTTAACTATATTATCTAATATTACTATTAGTAATTTTGGTTTACCAAAGAGTGAGAATTCACGAGGGAACGTAGATTTTTTCGAAAAATTATTATTGACAATTATTATTTTGTGGGAATTAGAAACGAAATAAAAACTGTTTCCTTACATTTATGTGTCTCAAAAGGTCTTAAAGATGCAGAACTATTTATTTCATGTCTAATTCCCGCATCATTATAATATATGTTTAGACAACAACATAACGACATATGAATATTTTATGATAATTTATGAATAACATATCCAAAGTTATGAATGTTTTCATTTAATGAAGCGTTTATGTCATGTAAGTAGTTTAGAACGTAATTTATTTATTTCATTAAATTAAATAGTACATAAAATATATTTGTTTTATTTCAACATAACAGAATATACCTAATCTCAATTAATTATACTTTATTATTTATTTAAAATATATATTTTGTTAATATATAAATCTATATAATAAATAATATAGTTATTATACTGATTTATATTACAAATTATTTTCCATTAAATTAACAGGGTACAGAGGAATAACATCTGAGTCCTCAGGCATTTGCCATTCGCAATTAGTATCATGGACGAAACACTATACTCTGTTATGTCCATGGTACTGCTCATGTCTATAGGCTACGGTTACCACTTTTCATCATGTGGGTTGTCGGCTTGTTTGCCGTTCTAAGTTGTATAAAAAAAAACCTGTAGCTCAAATACTTGCCACTAATAAAATTGTAATTACTGGCCGGTAATAAATTGTTCTATCTAAGAACAAATTCTTCATTTGAATACTGATTTATTCATCGATAAAAGTAATAGAACAATTTGTTACCGGCCAGTTATTACAATTTTATTAGTGACCAATATGCGAACATAATAATTATACTACTAAAGTGACCAGTCTTTCGATTAAAATTAATGTAAAATCAGCGTATTTATTCAACGATCTTATTAATATTCAAATTTCAAAATTTCACAAAATTGCTAGACACATGTACCAATACGTATTTAATCTCTTATTAGAGCCACTTAAGGTTTTAGCGGCTGCATAATAAATGGTAAAATACACAATGCCATAATGATGTAACCGGCTCACCTTGATAGTTTATTGCAAAAATAAAACACCATATTTTATGGCTTCTATTATAATGGACGATAAAGACATACTGACACGGATTTATTAGGATGTAGGTGTAGATAATGTTATAAAATTTAAAAATAAATTGATTTCAAAAAAGGAACTATTAAGTTTTAAAATCTAAATTCGCAAGCACCGCGGAAATCACAAACATGACACTAATCTGTAAGCACATCTTTTCAGTTAAAAAAGAATTTTCCAATATGGTTTCTATTTCGGTTCGGTTATAAAGTATTACAATAAATAAATAAATAAATACACCAGAGGGAGATTTTATACAAAAGTTGTTTGCTTGGACACCTCTGTCCCATTCGTGTTTCTACTGTGAAGCAGTTGTGTTTACAGGGCTGTGTTTCGGTTTGAAGGGTGGGATATAACAGTGAATTTACAGGGTACAGAGGAGTAACACCTGAGTCCTCAGAAATGGCAACGCATGAGGGGTATCATGGGCGAAACAGTATACTCTGCTATATCCATGGTACTGCTCATGTCTATAGGCGACGGTTACCACTTTCCATCAGGTGGGCCGTCAGCTTGTTTGCCATTCTAAGTTGTATATAAAAAAAAACATACAACATAAAAAGAGTTAACGATTGATATGACGATGATGATGATGACATTTCAATGAAATCAGTTTTGTATGTCTGGGAATATACCTGTACCTACAGACTCTACTTTTTTATTTGTATAAATTAACCTGGTTGACGATTTTCTCTCGTTTTACCATATAAATGCATAGCGTACTCCAAAAACAAGTATAGAGTAGTCCAATGTGTAAAATTTAGTATTCAAAACCACATTTGTAGTTTAAGGGCTATGCTATCGAAAATATTTGAAAGTTTATTTATTTTATTTTATTTATATTGTACTTTATTGTACACACGAATAATATTTTTTTTATACAACTTAGAATGGCAAACGAGCTGATGGCCCACCTGATGGAAAGTGGTAACCGTCGCCTATAGACATTAGCAGCACCGTGGACATAACAGAGTATGCTGTTTCGCCCATGATATCTCCCATGCATTGCCATTCCTGAGGACTCAGGTGTTATTCCTCTGTACCCAGTAAATTCACGCCATATCCCACCCTTCAAACCGAAATACAGCAATGCAAACACAACTGCTTCACGGTTGAAACACGAATGGGACAGAGGTACCCAAGCAATCGACTTTTGTACAAAGTCTCCCTCTGGTAAAATAAGTAAATAATATGACAGAGGTAAGTAAATGTACAAAGGTGAGTTTAACTCTACAAGAGTTCTTTTCCAGCAAACCCAAAGTGAGAAGAAGCAGTAATGTTTATCAAATGAAAGACATGTTTCTTAACGTAATACGATATTGACTCGGTTAAAAGACGGCCTACGAGAATTATTTAAGATCTTAAGTTCACAGACGGATAGACTTTTTTACGGAACACCTAGGTTTCGCGGAACCCACTTTAGGAATCGCTGAGTTATAATATCAATGCTGATAAAAAAAAATTATCCCCTAGACTATTCATACAAACGACCTTCGCAGTGCGAAATAAAAATTTATCGAACGTTTTATGGTAGAAATAATTAGCATAAATTCAATGGACATGTTTGTATGTACGTGACATGCCATGTTATTACCTAAGATCAGCTCAACTACCATATTATGTGTGCCGAACGGAAACAAGTCCGTTTGGTATATAGTATTAAATTATTTTTAGTTTATTTATTAAAATAAAATAAATTATATTTGTATGTATAAATATAATTATTCTAAATAATGTCTGCATATTATTTAGATTTAGACTTATACTAAACAAAGTAATAAATAACTGTATGGGTCAAGGGGGAAAGGGATTGTTAACAATGGAGTTTGACAGCCCCATTGCTAGCAATTTGCCCTATTAGGTCGACCTCCACGTGGTTCCCCGTGGCACCGGCGAGGCACCAGTGAGGGATGATAGATGAGAATGAAACAGGTCAGGTAGCCCATCGTGACGAATTTAACAAGAATTGTTCACGATGGTTTCCAGGGAAAACCACGTGGAGGTCGACCTGATAGGGCATATTTCTAGCAATGTTGAACTCAATTGCTAACAATCCCTTTCCCCCCAATGTACTACAGCTGTCTTAGTATATTCGTGTTAATATAAACATATTATTAATAATTTGAAGCTCATAACTAAACAATTCTAAACTACATTTTAAATTGTTTACATTTCTGTTAAACTAACTTCCGAGTCGTGCCGAAGCTTGTTCCAAGTATGAGTATATTTGGAACGTGGAATTTCATTCATTCCATTGAATTCGATGGTTATAGAATACCTAACAACTATTTACTGGGGGAAAGGTTTGTTAGTAATGCAGAGTATCAGGCCCATTGCTAGCAATATACCTTATCAGATCGACCTCCACGTGGTTCCTGCTGGAAACTATCGTGTTGAATTCCAGGTGTATTCATCACGATGGGCTAACTGACCTATCTTCTCATCCCACCTATCATCTCGCACTGCTGCCCTGCCAGCGTATACCGTTAGCGCAGGCGGGGTTACCACCCCATTGTCAAAAATAGCTATTTACTTATATGCAAAGATATAGATACCTATATATATATATATATATATATATATATATATATATATATATATATATATATATATATATATATATATATATATATATATATATATATATATATATATAAAAACATCTGTAATTCTAGACAATTATTTTTCAAATCAATTGGTAAATATAATCTCATCATTTATATATGCATTAAACATTTCCGAACGCAATATCTTTCTACCCTCCTTACCTATCCATATTCCCTATCAAATCTGGGATGACATTGGGGGGTAGATGTACAAAATCAGTCTATAATCCAACTGCGCGTCGAGCTGATCAAGTTCCGTCAAGATCACGTAAATTCTCCGCCAGTTGCGAATTATTCTATCAGCCCCGATCTCCGAGCAACATACACTTGATACTTAAGCAAATCAACAAAAGCGTTGGATATTTAGAAGAGAGAACGAGAACGCGTACAAAAGACTTACACGCGGGGACTAAGTGAACCAGGTTTGTCCTTTACCCTTCTTTTTATCCAACATTAAAAAGTTCAAACAGGTTAACTGTCAGTAATATGATGAGATGTTAGTAAGTATATCAGAGACATTTCTCAGAAACTGGTGGATATAAACGTTCTAATTGGTGACGATAAGCGACGCATGGCGTTTCGACTAGTCACGAAATGTTTGTTTAAATAATCCCTGCATAGCAACATAGATTGACTGCTTGAAAATTTAATTTAAGAGATATCTACGTACTTCAGCACTTCGGGGGAATGGATTGTTAGTAATTGGGTCTAACACGCCTATTGCTAATACACTCTATCAGGTCGACCTCCACACGGTTCGTCCTGAAAACCATCGTGATTAATTCTTGTCGAATTGTTCACGCAACTGACGTGCCCAGCCACCGTATACCAATAGCGCAGTCTGGAGTTATCATTCCATTTTCATCCATTAATGAAAAAAACAACCCTATTGCTAGTAATAGATCCTACCAGGTCGATCTCTATGCGGTTCTTCTGGTAACCGTCGTGGAAAACTGTGGGTTTTATCACGATGGACACTTGCTACATCCTCACAATTGTATATTGATAGTGCAGGCGGAGTTACCATTCCATTACCAACAATAAATAAACAAAAACTTCAGCGCTTCTATAAATTGTTTTAGCGCTCTCTATAAGTAGGGGGAAATCCCTCACAAGGAGAGCCTTATAAGGGATTATGAGGCTCTCCTATATTCTCTATTTAAACGTTGAAGTGAGACGTTAATGAGATCATGGTCAAAACTTCCATAATCAGGTTCCGGATTTGATTCTCTATCGAGTGAATTTAGAAAATTAGCGTTTCTAAATTGGCTCGGGATTGGAGTTGGGCTGTGTCCCCAGATGCACATTGCCTGGTTCCTAATAACATAGAGTATAATAGCTTGCCTTGACATCGCCGTGTGGTCTCGACAAAGAATAGACCACTCCTTTCTTTCCCTTGCCTGTCGTAAGAGAGGACTATAGGAATTTAATGGTCGAGACTTGGGCAGCAGCGTCCCTCATAAAACATTACCAAAGTGTAACTGCGATTGCTAACCCAACTGCAAAAGAGGGGCAAGGGATTGTTAGCAGTGGAGTTTGACAGCCCCATAGTTAGCAATTTGCCCTGTTAAGTCGACCTCCACGTGGTTCCCCCTGGAAAACATCGTGAACAATTCTTATTGATTTCGTCACTATGGGCTAACTGGCCTGCTTCATCCTCACTTATCATCTTTCACTGGTACCATTCCATTATCACCCATTAAAAAAAAATAACCCAACTGCCAAACGTGGTAACTACTGACAAAGCCCCCCCCCCAATAAGGCTTATATTCAGCAGTGGACAGTAAACAGCTAATGTTAATATTAGCTTGAGGCTAGGTGATTCGTGTGATCATTATCATTTCAGCCATTATTCGTCCACTGCTGGACATAAGCCTCCCCCATAGACTGCCATAAAGAACGGTCCTGAGCCTGCATCCACTGACTCCCTGCAATGCATTTCAGGTCGTCACTCTATCGTCCTACACTGCGTTTGCCCGTACGCAGTATCTACTCAAGAACCTTTCTTCCATTGGTGATGATTGGTGTGATACTTTAAAAAAAATAATTAAAAGATGATATCAAGAACGAAATTAATTCTACATATTGTTTAGATGTGCATACATACATAAATACATACATACCTACTATGTTATAAGATCCGCGTCCTGGAATGCTTAATATTCATACGATGTGGACTTCCAGACCGTGGGTGGTAGATGAGTAAAATAAATAAAGAACAGATATGACATTGCGTTAAAAACAAAATTCATTCACTTTAGTTAATACCAATAATTTTTTGTGTCACTTTTATAAGTAAATACGCTTATACGTTTTGAAATTGGTTATATCTGTGTATAAAAAAAAAATAATCCACATATATCTAAATTAATATTTTAAAGAGAAGAAATGAAATGAAATTAAATTAAATTTATTTGCTAGAAACATTGTAGAAAAGGTGTTGCATTTGTGAAGTTTATAAGATGTCCATTATGTTTCGCCACATCAAGTGGCATGCAAATATTAATTATTGAATTTATCCATTTGATTTTTTTAATTTCTAATAAATATAGGTAAAAAAGTATTAAATGGATTTGAAAAAAAAATCATCTATAGAACGCTAGATAATAAGTAAGTAATATGTCTAATAATAATAATAATAAAACTAGTCATTTTGATCTAAAAACCGAATTACTAAACCGATTTTGATAAAATTTCTATGTCATCAATCTATCTGTTTGTAATTATATCCTTGCAGATGAAAAAAATTCAAATCGGTTTACACCTGACGGAGTTAAGAGATAACAAACATAAAAAAAATACGACCGAATTGATAATTTCCATCTTTTTTTAAGTTATTGAAAAAATACAGATCCACGCTTGTTTTAGCCATGATTTTGTATGGACCTATTTCAATTTGAAGGATGCAAATGTACACATGATAACCCTAGTGTTGCAGGCATTCATAGGCTACAGTGACCCTTTACCATCAAACGAGCTGTATGTTTGTTTACCACCTTTGTGGTATATAAAAAATCGAATATTTTAATGACGTTCACAAAGATATGAATTCCATTAAATAAACCGACACCTTGTTTGTCATTCAAAGTTGCTTAAAAACAAATTTAATACAATAATGTTGTGATTTATTTGTGTAAATATTTGACAAACTTTTCAAAACTAGCTCGAGTCTATATTTCCTAATTTTGTTATTTTTGGGTACGCTTAATAGTATTCTCAGACGTATTGTTTGTGATAATAAAATTAATAAATAATTTAATATTTAGAATTAGGTTCGAAAAAACAATTATAAAATATAATTTTATGCTTGTCCATATTTTAATAAAAGTCATGACTATATGAGTGAGCTCAGTTGCCCATTTACATGTTTGCGTTTTGAGGACAATAAAGTCGAATCCTGGCCCAAACATTTTAATTATTCATGTTTTGTTTAAACTTATCCGTAGTCAATAGTACGTGCGTCCTGGCATAGACGGGGCCACCCCTTCTTTTCCCGTAGGTGTCGTAAGAGATGACTAAGAGATTTTCTTTTGAAAACAAAACTACTGTACCGATTTTGATGAAATTTCTACGGGGTCCTGAAAAATACATCCTTTGAGACAAAAAAAAATTACATAAATAATGGAGTTCTGAGGTAGCTATTTTTATACTTACATATATTTTTAAAACTCTTCGTTCTAAGAAACGACCACTTTGGGGTCTTAGTTTTAGCGTCTAAAAAAGTTCCAATTGAAGAAATATGCAGATTTAAGACAGAAATAAAAAAAAATATGTAACCAACGATTGATTGATGACTCCAATACGAGTGTGCACATCTGTGTCCTATAATCTTTGGCGTGACGAAGACGGGTGCAGTCTGAACCGAAATAGATCGCGGTGCGCACGCATACTACGCACTCCTGCGCGCGCGCTTCGAATCAAGGATCCATGGATTGTTCCTAATTTAAAAACCGATTAGCTATCAATCGGCTGTCCCTTTCACTCGTGTGAGAGTGAAATGGCTTGATTAGTGACCGGCTCAAGTGTATTGTTTGTTTTAATAAGTGACAATGTTGTGTTATACCGTAGTGGGTTTTATATTTGCATTGATGCATCGGGATGCACATGGTAAGTTGTAGTTCCGCTTATTTGTGAGTGAAAAAAATTATGCTTAGATTGTAAAATTTATAAAAATCCGTATATAGCCGTAAATTTATACATCGTCACGACCACAAAACCGAAAATGGAGAAACAGAGAGTATACTAGTATAGCAAATTACAAACATTGATACTAGAGCTCTGGTCAGTTTAAAAATAAATGGATGCAATCCAATCCAATCGTTTTAAAAAGGGAAAAAGTTCTAATTCGACTTTTTTTCTGTGTATACGTTAAGCAACTGGTATCTTCAATAATTTTACGCCGATTTTGATGGTTCTTATTGCAATTGATACAGTTTACATCTGTATTGTTGCAATTTTGTTATAGTGTAGATATTCTGTAAAGTCCATGGTATTGTTCACCCCTGTAGAGGAACGGTTTTTACTTTCCATCAGGGATGCAGCTTATTTGTCATTTTAATTTATTTAAAAATGTATAAACTATCTGTGTACGATTTATTCTTTGCACCTACAATCTCTAACAAAGATGAACTTAAAAGCCTAATGACCCCAAATTGAGAAAAAAAAATCTCGGAACGGGATTCGAATTGATGAACCTGTTATGAAATAAAAAGTATATGATGTACTTTGAACATTGTTACGCTACCAAATACATAGGATTATTAACTGTTTCCCCTGATTTTGTCTGATTAAAAATATATCCGTGTAACAAGTTTCATTCAAGTCCGTTCATACATTTAAGCATAATTGAGTAACATACATCCAAATATTTTTTCAATTCATAATCATTATATTAGGCGTTAACTGTCCACTGTTTAACATAGGCCTCCCGGGGGGAAAGGGATTGTTAGCAATGGAGTTTAACAGCCCCATTGTTAGCAATATGTCTGTACTATTAGGTCGACCTCCACGTGGTTCCCCCTGGAAACCATAGTGAACAATTCTTGTTGAATTCATCACGATGGGCTAACTGACCTACTTCATCCTCACCTATCATCCTTCACTGGTGCCCCGCCGGTGTATACCGATAGCGCGGGTGGGGCTACCATTCCATTTTCATCCATGAAAAAAAAACATAGGCCTCCCAATTTGTGAATTTTACCAGTAGTTGCCACACTTGGCAGGTGGCTCGGCAACCGGCATTAGACTTTTGGTGATGTTTTAAGAGGGACGCCTTGACCATTAAATTCCCTAACTTGACACATAAAAAAAATTAAAATCCTGTCGCTACATATTCGCCACGCTCTCGGCTATTTTATTAGGATTCCACACAGCTGAAAATGCAATGGAAATAAAATTAACTTAACACCTTCTTCATCACTGATGACCTTGACATTTTACATTTTACCAGATTTTTGTCCGTTTCTTCGTACGCGTAAATATTAGAAGTCGGAAAACAATTAATTAGATTATTTCTCCAACTTTACATTATAACATTTTTTTTTATATATATACCACAAAGGTGGCAAATAAGCATACAGCCCGTCTGATAGTAAACGGTCACTGTAGTCTATGGACGCCTGCAACACTAGGGGTGTCAGGGTTTAGTTTCCAGGGGGAACCGCGAGGAGGTCGACCTGGTTGGGTATATTGCTAGCAATGGGATTCTCAGTCTCCGTCGCTAACAATCCCTTTCCCCCCAATTATGATGGGTTAACTGGCCTGTTTTCATTCTCATCTATCACCATTCACTGGTGCTCCGCCAGCGTATCCCGTTAGCGCAGGCAGGGATACCATTCCATTTTAACCCATCAAAAAAAACTGCGGTTGCCAATTCGCTTTGCCAAGCGTGACAACTACTGCCAAAACCCCCCAAGGGGGAGGCTTATGTTCAGCAGTGGACAGTTAAAGGCTGATATTATGAAGACTCCCGTATTAGTTCCGGTTGTTCCGTACATTCGCTAGCAAGACCTGGCTTACAACGGTTCTAGCGTAAACCCGATTGCAAAAGTCGATTGCTCGGGTACCTCTGTCCCATTCGTGTTTTAACCGTGAAACAGTTGTGTTTGCATGGCTGTGTTTTGGTTTGAAGGGTGGGATATGGCGTTAATTTACTGGGTACGGAGAAATAACACCTGAGTCCTCAGGAATGGCAACGCATTAGGGGTATCATGGGCGAAACAGTATCCTCTGTTATGTCCATGATACCGCTCATGTCTATAGGCGACGGTTACCACTTTCCATCAGGTGGGCCGTCAGCTTGTTTGCCATTCTAAGTTGTATAAAAAAAAAAAACCACGGAACCCAAATGACCGTTACGGTGACCGACAAACATTTGTCAAGCGTTATCTTATCAGATATTTGTCTGCCAGTCAGTCACGGCCAATATGTTTAATTCTTTTACCCCATATTCGTCCCATATTTGTGTATGGATTAATATTCACTTCCGTTACAGACTGTATTTCGAATCGATTGATATAAAATTAAATTCTAAATGTAGGTAGTTTTTTATTAATTATAATTTAGATAGACAGATAGATAGATAATTTATTTGCATTACTTACAGCACATAAATTATAACATATTGTAGATATACATAATAAGCGAGATAACATAAATGATTAAAAAAAAAATACATAAAGCCAAGTACAATTTTTCTTTTGCGCGTGTGCCGTAACAATACAAAATGGTCACAACTCAGTTTATTGCTTCGGCCTCAAAAGATTTCCTTTTACTTTTTTCCTTTTTTTCTGGTGTCCATCCCAAAATTAACAGCGAAGGTTTCAGCTATACTCAATAGTGCCTATACATTATTTTTATCATACATGAAATTACTGTGTACAGAGGTATAACATCTTAGCCCTCAGGTATGGCAATGTGTGGAATGAGAGGTATCATGAGCGACATACTCAGTTATGCCCATGATACTGTTTATATCTATGAGTACAGGCGACGGGGGGGAAGGGGTCGTTAGTAATGCGGGCTACCAGCCCCATTGCTAGCAATGTACCCTGTCAGGTCGACCTCCACGCGGTTCCCCCTGGAGACCATCGTGCTGAGTTCCAGGTGTGTTCATCACGATGGGCCGACTGACCTGCCTTTTCTCACCTATCATCCCTCATTGGTGCCCCGTCAGTGTATACCGTTAGAGGGGGCGGAGTTGCTATTTCATTATCATTCACTAAAAAAAAATACAGGCGACGGTTTATTAGTTTTTACTATTTTCCATCAGATGGGCCGTAAGCTTGTTCGGAAAAGTAAATATTTAAAACAGTGTTTTAACAACGGAATTAAATATATTTTTCAAAGAAACATAGATCGAGATACAACAAAAAATGCCAACACGAAGCGTGCAGCTGTTAAGGTATGGGAGGGAAAATATTTTTTTGTCGTATACATATATCAATGTAGGAATTTATCTATTTATCTTCACGCCAATACCTTTGCACCGTAAGTAGAGAATTGAATGTCAAGTCTCTATTTTTATTTATTCTTTTTATTTATGCCTATCAGAGGGAGACTTTGTACAAAAGCCGATTGCCTGTGCATCTCTGTCCCATTCGTGTTTCAACCGTGAAGCAGTTGTGTTTGCATGGCTGTGTTTCGGTTTGAAGAGTGGGATATGGCGTGAATTTACTGGATACAGAGGAATAACACCTGAGTCCTCAGGAATGGCAATGCATGGGGGTATCATGGGCGAAACAGTATACTCTGTTATGTCCATGGTAGTGCCCATGTCTATAGGCGACGGTTACCACTTTCCATCAGGTGGGCCGTCAGCTTGTTTGCCATTTTAAGTTGTACCCGCTTTTCTCGAAGCATTTGTATTGAGACACTCTTATCTGTTTAATCTAAGACTATATGTAAATTAATAATAATATAATATTAAAATTTGAAACTTAAAAGAATTAGTTTGATGACGATTTTGGAAAATGATTATAGGAATTTTGTAATATAACATGCAACCCGTTCGAACTTGGCCTCGTTTCATATGTTAGGACGAGCCGGCTGAAAGATGCTAATTATCGACTGATCTTGAAAGCAGAAGGCTATTTACTAGTATCTATGCAAAAATCTTGTTTCCAACCGACTTTAAAATATACGTTTTCAAATTCGTCTGTATTTTTTTTGTGTACCTATTTTTCTTTATTTTTTTTTATAAATAGGTAGATACACTTTATTGTTTCCTCCATAATATTACAATAGTAAACTTATTATAAATACAAACAATTACAAGAAAATATTACACTAAGAAAACAATGGGCGGCCTTATCGCTAAGAGCGATCTCTTCCAGGTTCTTTTTTTTATACAACTTTGAATGGCAAACAAGCTGAGGGCCAACCTGATGGAAAATGGTAACCGTCGCCTATAAACATGAGCAGTACCATGGACATAACAGAGTATACTGTTTCGCCCATGATACCCCCCATGCGTTGCCATTCCTGAGGACTCAGGTGTTATTCCTCTGTACCTTGTAAAATCACGCCATAACCCACCCTTCAAACCGAAACACAGCTATGCAAACACAACTGCTTCACGGTTGAAACACAAATGGGACTGAGGTACCCATGCAATCGAACGATCGAATCAAACTTATAATAACATGGCAAGTATCTATACCGTTGAGCGAAAATAAGGACAATATAGTCCATGGGAGGGAAAGGGATTGTCGGTAATGCGAACTACCAGTCCCATTGCTAGCAATATACCCTGTCAGGTCGACCTTCACGTGGTACCCGCTGGAATCCATCGTGCTGTATTCCAGGTGTATTCATCACGATGCGCTAACTGCCTTTTTAATCTCGCTTATCATCCTTCACTGGGGCTCTACCAGCGTATACAGTTAGCGCGGACGAGGTTAGCAATCCATTGTTATCTAAAAAAATCACCATTTAAATAATAATAATAGATTTTTCATAAAAAAGAAATTAATTTTGATTGAAAATTGAACCATTTTTTTTAATAAAATTTCAATGGGATCAATCTGAAAGTATATCCTTTGAGATAAAAAATCTTTTTCCACATTAGTTTATAAATGACGGAGACCTAACATAAGGAACATAATAAAATACAACCACATTGAGAATCATGTATTTTCTTTGAAGTCGGTATAAAATAAAAAAAAAAATAAAAAAAAACAGTTACTAATATTATCGCACACATACATACACATAAACACTTTTTTTTTCAATATTAACTTTATTGTTCTTTTTTTTATCTCCTACTATTAAATATTGTTTTTTATTTTTATTTTTGCATTATGTAATTTCAGTGGAATGTATTTTGTTTAATTATTATTTAAACACATATCGGTTGGGGGCCTGGTGATCTGTACTACAGGTCTTAACCTATTACAGACACCAGCTCCTCATAGAGTTTTCAGAATTCCATATTATTTTAATTTTATTGTACCCTAAATACCTATGTGTAAATTTAAGTTGTTTGTGAGGAGATATAAATAAATATATTATTATTATTAAAATATAATAGTCAAATATTTGAAACTGATAATCCATGGGATAGCTTCACATCTCTTCCTGTGCACTACAAAAATGTCCGACGTTACTAAATTAGGTCAACAACTGAATAAATCACTTTCTTTCTAACATTTATCAAAATTAATTTTGAACTGTTTATTTTAACACATAAAAGCCATTTAAAATTATTAAATCATTAAATAACGCGCGTGTCATAAATAAACGCTAACCGTCTGGAAAGCTAACCCAATTTTCATGGCACTGATTCATTATTTGGGACACGGTAAACAGTTTTATTGTGAGTCATTCGAACCATTTATCATTTACGTAAATGATGCATATATATTCATAAGTCAAGTTAAATTTTAACACTGGGAAATATTTGTGTAAAAGTCATCCGGTTTGTTATCTCTCTTACACTTACGTTTCTGTCCTCTAAAAGCTATTTACATGGCTGTTTCAATTTAATAAATGACAGTGAAATAGTATCCTGAACATGTTTGTAAATAATTTAGATAGTCCTCTCGTGAGAATGCTCGAAGAGAGGACTAGATCATTATTAGTGATTAAGTATTAACATAGTTTTTAAAAACACTTACTAACAAAAATGCATCCAAGTTGTCTAAAATAAATAAATAATATTAAATTAATAAGTACCATGTATAATATTGTATATTTTATATACCTATGTGTAAGTATATTTGTTATTTATATATATTTATTAATTTATATATGTATTTTAGTATGTATGTATATCAATTATTACTAGTACCGCATTCGAGTATTCTGACACTTCCCAAAGTTTGATTGGCAGAAAATGCTTTTAGCATTAAGGCCGCTTTGAACACCTATTAATGAATAAGTAAATAAAAGAAATACAATTGAGTTTATTATGTCTTTTTTGCAGCATCCTTTGCTGAAGAAATGGCTAAAACGACAGAATTGTGCTGCAATCAAGGCACCAGGTACGCCAGGAATCACACTTCGGAGGAGTGCTCCTCCTCAGTACCGCCGAGCGTGAACAAGGAATTGGGTTCGCTCTGCATATTCGCCATGGATTCATGTTGCAAAGAATATTTCCAGTGAGTTTCTTTAATTTTATCTAATTTTTTTTAATTGATGAATATGGAATGGATGATCGTGGATATGCCCCTTTTTCTTTCTTTAATTATAACTAATTTTCCTCAGCACCTTTGTTTATGTCGATTTTGGAAGTAGACTAGATTTTAAGATTGGCAACTGTATTCAATTTTGTGCAAATGTGGCAAAAAAAAAAAACTAAAAATATTGTTTTGGCTTCTATTGCTCATAGAATGATTGTTATATATTTTATTTTAATTTCTAATATTAAAAAAAAAAATAGTAATTAATAAATGTATATATCATCACTATATCAGCCTTTAACTGTCCACTGCTGAACATAAGCCTCCCCCTTGGGGGGGTTTTGCCACTAGTTGTCGCTTGCTGACAACCAATGAGGAAGAAAGAAAATGAGTAGCGACCGTATACAGACAAATGTAGTGTAACACAACCACTAGATAGAACGTCTAAAGTTGTTAAATGCATTATGCATCAGTAGATGCGGATGGCTCAGGATTGTTCTTTTTGGCAATCTACGAGGCGGACCTTTGTTTAGCAGTGGAAAGATAACAAGAAAATATATTATATTTATTGATTAATTTCAGAAAGATGCAGGACTGCGACACCGGTATAGATATGGCTACCAGCACAAACCGATGTGACACCGTTGCTGATTCAGGAAAGGTATTAAATATCAGATACATAATTCACAGTCTAAAATATAACCATAAAATTTTACATTAGAACTCTTTTATGAGTATTAGGAAATAAGTAAATAAATAATTATGCTCAATATGTTCCAAATATGGTATATATAATATAGATTATTGTCATTGTATTTCGTAAATGTTACATTCAATTGAATTCAAATTAAAAAAGAACACTTGATCTGTACAATTGTAATAAAGTTTCTGAATGTTGCATTCACTCAATTAAAAACAAAACATCTAATCTATGGGATTGTATTAAAATTAAAAAAAGAACACCACCTAATCTATGGAATTGTAATCCTTGAACGTTATATGCATTTGATTAAAATTAAAAAAGAACACCTAATCTATGGAATTGTAATTCGTGTACGTTACATGCACTTGTTTAAAATAAAAAAAGGACATCTAATCTATGGAATCGTAATTCGTGAACATTTCTTAGTTCAATTAAAATTAAAAAAGAAGAAATAAAATCTACAGAAACAGGAATAAAATATTCTTATATTATGAATGTTTCTACATTCAAACGCCGCTTTTAATTTCGAATGAAATGTTTTTAGAAACATTACGCGTAACAAGACAGGAACACGGGTGGAAAAAGTTTTCTTTTCAACCGACTTGAAAAAGAATGAGGTTCGTTGTACTTTTTTTGTTTATTACCTCATAACTCCATCAGTTTAAACCGATTTGGAAAATTCTTTTTTTTTTATCTGTTTTTTTTTTCGTTGAACACAATTTTCAATATCTGTATTCAAAAGCATGTTTTATATTCTACTGTAACAAATTTGAAAAAAAAATATCACTGGGTTAGTTAACTATTAGAAACAGAGAAATATGCTCAAATTTTACTGAGCATATAAATAAATATAAATCCGATGTAACAAGAGGCAAATATACCGTCGTGCTGTTTAAGATATTTTGAAAATAAATCCCCTAAAAATCCCCTAAGGCTCAGCTTATATGCATGGCAAAATGTATAGAATGTAATGTTATATTTACCATGACACAAATCGTAAAATGCCTCTGGCTACCCCGTTAAGGATTATATTCATCGGCTTATTTATTTATTTTCTTTAAATCACTTAAATAATGGATATAAGTTTTTATAAAAACTTATAATAAAATTCAAGATTTAATCGTAAAAGTATTTAGGATTCTTAAATAAATTAATATAAGAGTAAATTATTGTTTAACTTTCTAGTAACCGTATATTTTATCAAGTGCGGTTTAGCAGGTAACTTTTTTGTCATCGATCAAGTTGTTTCAAACAAGTTCAAATAGTTATTAATACCATAGAGTACCATAATCGAAGACTACACAATCTATCTACGTAGGAATAGGGCCGCAGGTACTAATTCTTAATCTATGTTTATCTACTTTCACAGTTTTATTTGTTTTTACTATTTTTAACTATGTAGGTATTATTATAAGTACATGTGCATATGCACTGTTTTAATAGGATTTAAAATTAATAAAATAAAAAACTTCATTATATCATTGAACACTAACATTAAGCATTATTGAAATAGAACATGGCTATATGGGTATAGTCCCTGTGCTTTATTCGTTGAAAGTAAATGATAATAAATTGTTTATGGTATACTGAAAAAAATGAGATAGATAGGAAAAAGCGCGGGAACGTGGGGACTCGTAGCTACCTAATTACAAAACTTACACTAGGTAACTGGGTAATGGGAATTTCTTATCTAGACACATTGCATGTTTATACAGATAATATTCAACGATATCTTTGCTGTGTTTACTATAATAATATAGACATATATTATTACGTATATGCTGAACTGTATATGAAATTCCATCGTCCGTACTGAGTAAGTAGTTATTAGAGAATTCCTAACTTATCAAACCATTTTGCTCTCAAGCAACCCGTTTCATAGCCCTTGCGTTGAGTGAGATTTTATCGTTAAGTACTTATGCACATTCTATACTACTATACACATTTCAATTGAGACACTTAAATGGATTATTTATAAGCGACTAGCTGCATCCTGTGACTTTACTCACGTGAATCAGTAAATTAAATATTCTATGTGGCTTCGTGCTTCTAAAATCATTTAACCATTTTGTTAAGTATCTTATGAGTTTAACTGTGACAAACAAAAGGTCTTGCCTCTTTTTAATAGTTTAAATAAAGCAGATTTAATCCGCGGCTTTGTCCGTATATGTTACGTTGCTATATCCACTGATTAATATATTAAAATCTTGCATCAATGTTCGTTCACGTTTATCTCCGAAACCGTTCTATTTTTTGACTGATTTTAATGAAGTTTCGGTATCACTCGTTCACGAGTATGACGGTTGTGCGAGCCATCATTTCACTCAACCAGTTAACGTTTAGTTTGAGTTAAAAAAATTATCTTAGTAAAAAATGTAGGTAATAACGTTGGCCAGTCAGTTTGTTTGTATAAATTGAAATGGCATATATACATATATATAATATCTACTGTCTATATATATACAGCCTGGTTATTATTATTGTCCTTGACTGAACTATCAGTTGCGGTCGCCGTAAGTTGCCGACAAATGTCTGTCAGATTTGTAAATATAAGACACTCATAGGTAAATATAAGATAAGAACACGTGGTCCATTAGTATACTTGCTGAAATATCTATTTAAATTTAAATAGACTGCGTTTATACATTTTTAAGGTATATATTTGAAAAAACTTTTGTGCCAACTTGATAATAAAATTGTAACCTCTTTCTAATATTCGAGTTATTGGGGGGAAAGGGATTGTTAGTAATGGAGACTGAGAATTCCATTGCTAGCAATATACCCAACCAGGTCGACCTCCTCGCGGTTCCCCCTGGAAACTATCATGGTTAATTCCTGATGAATTCATCATGATGGGCTAACTGGCCTGTTTTCATTCTCATCAATCACCCTTCACTGGTGTTCCGCCAGCATATCCCGTTAGCGCAGGCGGGGTTACCATACCATTTTCACCCATAAAAAAAAAATATTCGAGTTATAAAATTATAACTGGATGTTATATGTACATGGAAGATATTTAAAAAAATATATTAAGAAACGGTTTAAATAGGAGTGATAGCAGCCTAAACGATAATTTATAGATATATTGTCTGTTTGTATGTTTGTTTCGATATCACCTAAAAATTACTGTACCAAATTTTTTTTTACACAACTTAGAATGGCAAACAAGCTGACGGCCCACCTGATGGAAAGTGATAACCGTCGCCTATAGACATGAGCATTACCATGGACATAACAGAGTATACTGTTTCGCCCATGATACCCCCCATACATTGCCATTCCTGAGGACTCGGGTGTTATTCCTCTGTACCCTGTAAATTAGTCATTAGTCATTAGTCATTAAAAAAACAATGTACATTGTGTCTGAAATAAGGGATAAACATACAAAAATCATTACATTAACCTGAATATTACAACCATCCAATAACAATAATAATAATAATAAATTATAATAAATAAATTCTGCAATAAACAGTGTCGATTTCATCGTAATATATACATATGTCAAATTCATTTTTAATTATTTACATTAATCAACAGTACAGAAGTCATGTACGGAGTAGTAACATTTCTCCAATAAAAGGGATCGTAATTTAATCTTAAAAGAATTGAGGCTTCGAAGAAGAGTTCACGCCATGTCCCACCCTTCAAACCGTATTATTAAAAAGTATTTAGTAACAGTAATTCCTAATTGTTTTCAGAGATGCTGTGAGGAATGTCTTCGAGGAACATCAACTGGCGTATCGAGGGGTGACGATGAATGCATGGTGGATACTATGGCAAATAGCGCGGAAGAATTGCTTCCAGCCGATGCATTCACCAAGTGTTGTCAAGTAAGGTTTAGACCCAGACATATTTTGATATAAAATTTTTCAACCGATTTAAAAAAAGGAGGTTCTCAGTTCAGTTGTATTATTTCATAACTCCGACATTTGTAAAGCGATTTTTTTTAAACTTTAACACAGATTAATCTTATAGAAATTTCTGATAAAATAGAATAATAATATTAAGCACATATATAATTTTATTAATGGCTGAAAATGGAATAGTAACATCGCATACGCTATCTGTATACGCTGGCGGGACACCAGTGAGAGATGGTAAATGATGATGAAGGCAGGCCAGTTGGCCCATCGTGACAATTCAACAGAAATTAACCACGATTGTTTCCAGGGGGAACCGCGTGGAGGTCGACTTAATAGGATATATTGCTAGCAATGGGGTTGTTAGAACCCATTACTAATAATCCCTTTCCGTCAAGCACATATATAATTATGATTATCTATGTTACAATCAATTGGCTTATTTTAACGTGGGTCCAATATTTGATGTTTTAGAAAGCAGCAAAAGAGAGGAAAAAGGAAATAGAGTCTCATGCGTCCGAAGAGAGCACGTTATCCAGGAAACCAATTCAGAGTAAGTAGTATTTTATCAAATAGTTCTTGAAATACAAATTGTAGTTTATATTACCAGAGGAAGACTTTGTACAAAAGTCGTTTGCTTAGGCACCTCTGTTCTATTCGTGTTTCTACTGTGAAGCAGCTGTGTTTGCATGGCTGTGTTTCGATTTAAAGGATGGGATATGACAGTGAATTTACTGGGTACAGAGGAATAATATCTAAGTACTCAGGAATGACAACGCATGAGGAGTATCATGGGCAAAACAGTATACTCTGTTATGTCCATGGTACTGCTCATGTCTATAGGCAACGGTTACCTCTTTCCATTAGGAGGGTTGTAAGAAGGAAATATAGAAATATTTCTATTTGTACCAAAGTAATAAATTTTGATAATTTATTTCAATAGAACTTACAAGTTTTGTTGAAGTTATCATAGAAACACACTCTAAATGAAATTAGTAAGAAATGAAAACATATGTCTTGTACCTCTTTTATAACGGATTGTGCTCTGAAGAACTCTTCAATATGAGCCCTACAGCCATATTTCACTATCGTACCACTCGCCAATGCCAGCGAATCCGTCCTTACATCTTAGAACACGAATGGTCACGCATAGTGCGATTTCAGAGGAGCTTCCTCCCGCGAACACTAAGGATGAGGAATGATCTTCCTACCGGGGCTTTCCCTAGAAATTACAGCATGGGACTCTTCAAAAAGGGCTAATTAAGGTTTTTTAAAAGTTGGCAAAGCGTGCGTGACATCCCTGGTGTTACAAGCGTTCATAGGCTACGGTAACCCCATTTACTATCAGTCGGGCTAGATGCTGGTTTGGCACTATAAATAAAAAATATCATCAGTTAGTACATATATCCCTATTAGTTAATAGACATTTTATTTGGACATCAGCAGACTGTCGTGTGGTCAGGTCAATTATTCCTTTCTTTTTATTTTCATTATGTTGGATGATTACCAACAAGTGCAATTTCGGTCCAATTTCGATGGTATCATGGTTTCATTTTGTAAAATTGTGTCCGCTATGTACACATATTTGTACTATTGAATAAATAAAAATAAATATGTAAAATATCAATATAATTTGAATCATTCATATTGAAGGACGATCCTAAGTTACCTGCATCCATTGATTTCTTGGGATACACTTGAAATTATCACCCTATCAAGCTAGATATCGCCAGTAAATACTTTTTTTATTTTATTTCGAATTAGGCGCACCAACAGTATACATATTATACGAGTATATAAATTAAATAACATATTTTGTGTAGCATGCTGATATGCATACCTATAGCAGGCGTACACAACATTGACTACAGATTACATACATACATACATATCTGACACGCCTGTCTCCCATTAGGGTAGGCAGAAACAATGGAACGCCAAATGCTTCGATTTAACAAACCTCTTTCGCTTCCTTCACATTCATCAATCTTTTCATACACGCTCGCCGGTTACGGGTACTTTTAATTTGGCCTTTCTTCAGCACGTCGCCTATTTGGTCGACATACGTCCGTATAGGGCGGCCCCTACCGACATCTCCATTCATTCTTGCGCGATAAATCTCTTTCGTAATTCTTCTTTCATCCATCCTCTCCAAATGACCAAACCAACGCAACATTCCTTTTTCGATTACTACAGATTACATGCATATAAATGTCATAATGTAACTAATATAATAAATTAAATTTACAATTACATATTCTTTATTACAAAATTCAATTAAATATGAAACAAGACTGGGCAATACCATCAAATCTACATGGTGTTCAGTATCTTACCGCGAAACACTGCCAACGAGTCATGGCTTACGTCTATATCCGGATCTAAACCGCATATATGATTAACTACTTCGAGCTACTCGACTTGATTTATAATTGTACGCTCATATAGCAGGACATGAAGATACTATTTAACTGATGTGATACCAGAGGGAGACTTTGTACAAAAGTCGATTGCTTGGGCACTCTGTCCCATTCGTGTTTCAACCGTGAAGCGGCTGTGTTTGCATGACTGTGTTTCGGTTTGAAGGGTGGGATATGGCGTGAATTTATTGGGTACAGACGAATAACATCTGAGTCCTCAGGAATGGCAACGCATGGGGGGTATCATGGGCGAAACAGTATACTCTGTTTTGTCCATGGAACTGCTCATGCCTATAGGCGACGGTTACCACTTTCCATCAAGTGGACCGTCAGCTCGTTTGCCATTCTAAGTTGTATAAAAAAAAACCTTAATTTGACTTATGACTCACAATAAAGACATTTGTATTAGTATTCGAGCTATTTAGCAGGCTCATTGCCTTTAGCTTGCTAATCATTTAAGCTATGCCTGCCACTCTGGTTCTTTTGATCTGCTTCTACGTATTCGCATCTAATTAGCTTGATATTTTTTTTTTTAGCAATCGCATCAATTTGCGAAGAGTACGCCCCAAATGAATTGTGCGCCCATCACTGCATACCAGTACCGGGGTCTTACAAATGCGAGTGTAACCCTGGCTTTAAACTGATGGCTGATGGCAGAAATTGTATAGAAGTAAGTAATGTATTAATCTTTATAACAAGTTTCTTAAATTATTTAAGTTTAATACCAAGCAAGTTAAATAATTTAAATGATGGAAGTGGAAAGTTGGTCGTGAAAAGGTTTATGTATTTGTTGTAATGTTTTATGTATTTGTTGTTAAGCGTGTTGAGTCTCCCATCAGAGAAATAGGTATTGGCGAGACGCACGCATGCTAAAGGTAAAGGAGTTAAGGGGCCGCCTGAAAATCAGCGCTGTATAGATACATCTCGCTGGAGCTGTACATATATAGCAACAGCTGAGGCGGCTCCCATTACCAGCAACATTAATTGTTTTTTTTTTTCTTTTTATTGGTTTATTTTTTTATTTTCTTAATACTGGTAGTAAAGGTTATCTATCTATCTTTATTGCTACAACTTTTTTCAAAACTCGTCTCGTATATTTACATATTTCTCTTTTACAATAGTAAGTTACAAAACTAAATAGATGTCTACAGTGAAATTTCTTACTGGCTGTTGTTTATTTTTGGGTCTATATTTCTCCCTCATATAGAATATCGAAAAGACCTAATGATCATAAGTCATTCTAGATTTCTCCTGGCTTCAGTACCTTTACAATTTCCCATTATGTATTTTATAAATTGATATATATATATATATATATATATATATATATATATATATATATATATATATCAATTTCATAGAATTTTCATTTGTCCTTAAATATGTAAGTAAATAAATATTTGTCTTTTATTTGATTATGGTTTCGTGTCTCTTACCTTCATCATATCAGCCCTCTGTCCATCGCTGGACATACTAGTAGACTTTTCGCATTAAAAGGGGTCTAGCCAGTAATTGTCATGCTTGGCAGGCGGATTAGTAACCACAGTTAGGCTTTTGTTGATATTTTAAGAGAGACGCCACTGCCCACTTTCCGACCAATAAGTTTCTTACCTTACCTGATAAAAAAAATTATGACAAGATCCAAGATGAAATTAATTCCCGCGATCAAAGCCACGAGTCGCAGCTATATTTTGATGTAATTACTGTTGGTTGAAGGTACAAAAAAATAGATGTAAACCACGGAACCCCTGTCAACACAAGTGCAACGACAATGGTATCGAGGTGAAGTGTTCTTGTCGCAGAGGGTACGAGCTGATGCCGGACGGCAAGTCCTGTAGAGGTACGTACTTGAGGGTATTTTCAATAATAGAAATATAATGCTATTTTCTAACAAGAAATTTTAAGAACAAGCGATCTTATAATTTCTTCTAGCAAAATATTACATGGTCCCTGATTTTAGTAATATAATAAAATTGTGACTGGACGATGTCTGTACATAAGAGATATTTAAGAAATTTTTGACATGAAAAGTATCTGTCTGTATGTTTGTTTTAAGATCACGTAGAAAATACTGTACAAATTTATATTCGACTTTCATAGTTATTCCTGAAGACCTTAAAATATGTTTAGTGAGAGGGAGACTTTGTACAAAAGTCGTTTGCTTGGGTACCTCTGTCCCATTCATGTTTCAACCGTAAAGCAGTTGTATTTGCATGGCTGTGTTTCGGTTGGAAGGGTGAGCAGTACCATGGACATAGAGTATTCTGTTTCGCCCATGATACCCCCCATGCGTTGCCATTCCTGAGGACTCAGGTGTTATTCCTCTGTACCCTGTAAATTTACTGCCATATCCCACCCTTCAAACCAAAACACAGCCATGCAAACACAACTGCTTTATGGTAGAAACACGAATGGGACAGAGGTACCCAAGCAATCGACTTTTGTACAGTCTCCGTCTCGTTTGCCTTCCTAACAATAAAAAAAGCAACTCGACTTTTGAATTTTAAAAAATAACAGTCTCCCGATAGATACATTTACTCGTATTTATTTGCCTTCACGGGTGGACATTTTTACAACATTTTAAAAACAATAAAAAAAGATAGATATTTCCTATGTTACTCAAGGTGAATGTAGCTTTCTAATGGTGAGAGAATCATTGAAATCGGCAAAGTAGTTTTTGAGTTACATTACAAATATACATACACACAAAAATACAAATCTTTCCTCTTCATAATATTAATGTAGATAATGGGACAGCAACGATCGTCGTCATATTCTTTCTCATTTCAACTAGCAATGTCTTTAGTTGCCCTATATTCTTCTTAAATATGTCAGTTTCTTCAATCAAATTTTCAGATATCGACGAATGTGTACTGAACCCTCCAGTTTGTCTACCCGGCACCGAGTGCCATAATGTACAGGGTTCCTACAAGTGTATACCGAGTAAGAGGAACAATATGGAGAAAGGACAATGCCCTCCTGGCTTCTCGAGGAATATTATTAACAACGTGTGCGATGGTAAGTTCTTAGTACACTTTGTAAGTTCATGCAACGTAGAATGGCAAACAAGTTGGTGATCCACCTGATGGAAAGTGGTAACCGTCACCTATAGATATTATAGAATCCTCTGACATCAATATTGTTATGACACTTTGTACAAAAGTCGATTGCTTGGATAACCTCTGTCCACCTCTGTTCCATTCGTGTTTCAACCGTATTGTTTATGGCTGTGTTTCGGTTTGAATATACTAATTTTAATGGCCCGCAACTTCGTTCGCGAGACCGCTACCTCTTTCCATCAGGTGGGCCGTATGTCCATTGTTGCATAAAAAAAAATATGAAAATAAGACTTCATTCCGAAGTATGAGTCTCCAGGATGTCTTATTCCAAATTTATTTGAAGTTTGAAGAACGCTATATTTATTTAGTTAGTTACTCATTTATTTATTTACAATTTGTATACGTTTGTTTTATTTACATTATTTTTACCTACCTACCTGCCTTTGTACCTTTCCTGCACTAAATTACTCGCCAATTAATTATTTTCTCTCTAACTGCACTGGGTTGGCTGGAAGAGATCTCTTTCAGAGATGAACCCTCTTTTGCTAACAAGTTGTTAAACTGTATCTTTTGTCCAAGTGCAATAAAGAGTATATATAAAGTTTCCATCGGGCAGGTCAGCGACTTACTTGCCAATCCGATTTGCATAAAAAAAAAAAGCTAAATGTTTGTCGGTTTATTTATTTCGTATGTTGCCAATACGTTTCCTTTCTTTCTCTCCATCTCTTCCACAGACATCAATGAATGTATACTATTACATCCACCATGCCCTTCGTACTTATGTGAGAACACAATCGGTGCTTACAAGTGTGGGGGTGTCACTGGTGATCCTAACAACTTGGCAAGCACCGTAAGACCACCGGCCGAAGACAGGTGCCCGCCGGGTTTCAAAGCTGGATTCAATGAAGAATGCGAAGGTACTATGATATTCACCATAACAGTTTATTTTATAATCTATTTTAATGTTTATCAAACATAAGGCATGCTGTGGTTGCCTATAAATGTGAGAACAGTAAGATCTAATCTACCAGTGTATTGTATTGTATTGAAATGTTTCGCTATATCTTATGTTGGTGATCCTATAAATAAATAAATCGTAACTAATCCTATTACTATTGTAAATGTAGAAGTTTTTAAATGTTTGGATAAAGGGAAGTTTGTTACTCTTTCACATAAAAACTACTTTGAAAGAAATTTGATACATGAGTAGATTATATGCTAACTTAAAACATATTTTGTACAAATTGTGTTATTAGTTATATGTGATAATGTTGCCCTTTACCGATTCTGATCTGATTTAACTATATCACCATCTTCATACTCTTATCCCAATTATTATTTGTGGTCGGCGTAATATGTTTTTCTCTTCCATTCTTCTCTATTCCCATTTCATTTCCGCATTAACTATCATTCTGGCCATATCATCTTTCACACAGTCCATCTATATCATGTAGTGTGGATATACATCACAAGTTATTTTAATATCCAAATCGGTTACGTTACTTTATATAGGTAACTATATTTTAAAATTCAACTGTAATGACAGTTCTTTACTATTTTTATTTAACGTCCCTTTTTCTTTCTTTGGTTTATTTAATTCTTCTCTTTCTCTTCACCTTTACTATTTTTAAACACTGTATTGTTCTACGTAAATTAATTAATAATTATATTTTTAAAGACGTCGACGAATGCATCATGCGCAAGGACGACTGCAATCCAATTTCTCAATTCTGCATCAACACACGCGGCTCCTTCCATTGTCAAGATAAGGGCTCCAAACATTGTCCACCTGGATTCAAAATAAACACCAGGAGCAGTAAATGTGAAGGTAACATTAAATTACATAATTTTTTAATCCTTTGACAGTCTGCAGAAATATTTTACTGTTAGGACTTTTTATGGGATATGAAATGACATATAAACTGATATTCTATCAACACACAACACAACACCAATGTAACCTCAATAGAAGGATAAAAAGTTTTTATGCAACTTAGAAGGGCAAACAAGCTGACGGCCCAACTGATGGAAAGTGGTTACCGTTGCCTACAGACATAATCAGTACCCGGGATGTAATATAACAATACTGTTTTGCCCAAATAAGAGAAGTAAAAAGAGTTTAAGTTTCTTTACAGACTTATCTTTGAAGTCTTAGTCTGAAAGGATATAAACATGACGTCGAATTTCAATGATGGTCTAGAGTTCTAGACTCTGTAAATATATCTAAAAATATACTAGAATTTCTCAAATCCTACAAAAACCGAACAAGTTACTGGTTTCAGCTTTGGTTATCATTATAGATTCTTTTTGATGGGTGAAAATGGTATGGTAACCCCGCCTGCGCTAACGGGATACGCTGGCGGAGCACCAGTGAAGGGTGATAGATGAGGATGAAAACAGATCAGTTGGCCCATCATGATGAATTCATCAGGAATTAACCATGATAGTTTCCAGGGGGAACCGCGAGGAGGTCGACCTGGTTGGGTATATTGCTAGCAATGGGATTCTTAGTCTCCATTACTAACAATCCCTTTCCCCCTATCATTATAGATTACTTGTATAAAAATAGTACACTGCTGACCTTAGTTATTAATGATTACCAGAACCTTGTAATGAACGTTTGCTGTATCAGGCATAATGCGTGTGAGTTGTTAACCAAAATTGTCTCTGAAGAGTTCTGGTAAATACTTATGAATAAAGAATAGTAAATTACAATGTACGGAGCTATAAAATCATAGTCCTCAGGAGTAGTAACTCATGGGGAGTACCTGCCATGGGCATCATATTGCTTTCTGTGGTGGCCATGGTACTGTTAATGTCTATAGACGACGGTTACCACTTTTCATCAGATAGATCGCCAGTTTGTTAACCTTTCTAAGAATCTTTCTATATCTAAATTTCTCTCACCAGAGGGAAACTTTGTACAAAAGTTGATTGCTTGGGTACCTCTGTCTCATTCGTGTTTCAAGCGTAAAGCAGTTGTGTTTACATGGCTGTGTTTCGGTTTGAAGGATGGGATATGGCGTGAATTTACTGGGCACAGAGGAATAACACCTGAGTCCTCAGTAATGGCAACGCATGGGGAGTATCATGGGCGAAACAGTATACTCTGTTATGTCCATGGTACTGCTCATGTCTATAGGCGACGGTTACCACTTTCAGGTGGGCCGTCAGCTTGTTTGCCATTCTAAGCTGTATAAAAAAAAATCAAAAAATACTATAGAAGTTTAACCAAACAACGTAATTTTTTGGACAAAAGGTTCTATGATTCTATTATCTTTTATAAAAGAAGCAGTATGAAAGAATATAGAACTTCAAATAATAATTATAATATTTTTACAGATATTGACGAATGCGAAGAAAGCACAGAAATTTGCAGGCCTGATCAAATATGTGTGAATCAGCTTGGCCAATATGACTGTAAACCTAAGATAGATCCGAGCAGGTAAACTGTTTTACCAAAACAAATTTATCATCACCATTTCAACCATTATCCGTTCACTGCTGGACATAAACCTCCCCCATAGACTACCATAAGGAATGGTCTTGAGCCACTTGCATCCACGACAAATACCACATGGAAATTCTAAAAGCCCATTATTGTTCAGGAGTCTATTCCTATAGAGGAAATTGGGACATAGGGCTTAAAGTTTTAGGCTCTTATATAATTTTAGAGATGATTTTTTTATATATTTTGTATTCTTACTTATTCACCATAAGATTACATAGATAATTTATATAAACATATAAAGTAGTAGAAGTTACTAGTATAACATGACTTGCCCAATTTCCCGAGTTAGAAAATTATAGAATCACTAAAGTATATACTTATGGACTTGCCGCGTAATCCCGGCATAGAATGGGCCACCGCTTCCTTTTCCGTAGGTGTCGTAATAGGCGACTATGGAAGGATGGCGGAAGGGAGGAGGTGAAGGATGACCAGCCACGTCCCTCTTAAAACATCTTTAAAAGCCTAACTGCGGTTGCAGACCCGCCTGCCAGGTGGGGCAATTACTGGCAAAACTGCCTTTATGGCGAAGGCTTATGTCCAGCAGTGGACAGTTAATGGCTGAAATAATAATAATAATAACAATTTGTGCATTATATTTGACAGATTGCAGAATTCTTGCCCAGATGGTATGAGGCATAAACCTGGTTCAACATATTGCGAAGGTGAGTAACAATAATAATAAATTTGATATTAAAATAGAAAAACCATTAGAAGCGTTCATATATTTAGCCAACCGAATTGTGGCAATCTTGCAATTATTTGTCAATTTTCAAAAACAATTTTCTATGTTTGTGACTTATTATTAAAAATATTCTCTGTTAGCGAACTGAAATGTTGATCTTGCTATAATATTTTAATTAAGCTGTTACTGAAAATTTGGATTTGATGGCACAAAAGTATTTGAAAATTTTCAAAACAAGAAATGAAATAAGTGCAAGGTTTTTACTAGTACATTAAATGCAATATACTCCATGATTCATATAGCTCTTCCACCCCTTCCATTGCCGTGGGTATCGTAAAAGGCGACTAAGGGAGCTCATAGTGAAGGGATGGGCAACAGCATCCCTCTTAGAACCTCACCAAAAGCCAAACTGCAGTTACCAACCCGCCTGCCAAGCGTGGCAACTATTGGCAAACCTCTCTTTATGGGGAAGCTGTGTTTAGCAGTGGACAATTAACGGCTGATACAACAACTCTGATTAAAGTTTTACTTTTTACAGAATTTCAGAATTCAATTCAGAAACTTCGAAAAGTGTTAAATTGTTTTTAAAAATTGACAGCTTATTACACTGTTGACATACTTTGGTCCACATTTACAATCTCATTTAACCTTGTTTACTTTGGAAATAGAAATATCTAGTGTAAGTTTCTATAAACTTTGATAGATGTTTGCAACATAGGACACATGACTCAGCGCGTTGCAGACCTTTGCAGGATCTTAAGTTACAATGCCCAGTAATTTCTTTTTCTCTCTTTCTTTGAACTGAAACACAGCATTATCTTGTTGCCTATTTATAAAGTCAGATTTCGGAGTAACATAGTCATCAAAAATAAATTGGTATAACAAAACTATTCCAGCTCTTGTCTGGTAATATTGTTCCCCTATTTTTCTCTCGTGTTTCAATGTGATTTAAAGGATGCGATGTGACAGTATGGTCCCCGTATAGAATAGACCACACTTTTCCTGTGCGTGCCGTAAAAGGCGGCTAAGGGATGGCAAGGGATGGGCAGCAGTAACTTATATATGTTTTTTTACTTTCAGACATCGATGAGTGCTTGGAGGGCACCCATCTTTGCGACCAGCATCAGAACTGTTTGAATACCAACGGCAGCCACGAATGCCACTGCAAACTTGGCTTCGAGCTGGACATCATCACCGGAGCTTGTGTTGGTGAGATCATATTATTTACATCTACTACCAGTTATATGGGGGGTGTATTCTAGTATTAAGAGTTTTAGGCTGCCTTCATTGTACACGAGAGTCTCCTTACCCAGAGATAACGATTTTATATGGTATAATAATCCATATAATAATTTCAAATTTTTCACGCATGATATTTAAAATGTGTCATGTGGTCCCGACATAGGATTGGCCACACATTCCTTTCTCGTGTATGTCGTAAGAGGGAACTTAATCGAGGGATCGGAATCAACGTCCTTCTGAAAACTACATCAGAGACTACTTGCTGTTACCAACCTACCTGCCAAGCGTGGTAACTATTGGCAGAACCCTTCAAACGCCAACACCTATTTTTTTATGCAACTTAAAATGGCAAACAAGCTGACAGCCCACCTGATGGAAAGTGGTAACCGTCGCCTATAGACATGAGCAGTGCCATGTACATAACAGAGTATACTGTTTCGCCCATGATACTCCACATGCGTTGCTATTTCTGAGGACGCAAGTGTTATAACTCTGTACCCTGTAAATTCACTGTCATATCCCACCCTTCAACCCAAAGCACAGCCATGCAAACACAACTGCTTTACGGTAGAAACACGAATGGGATAGAGATGCCTAAGCTGTATATACTCGTTTTTACACTAATCACTATTTTTACACCTACTAACTTAATACATATAATAGCGCGCGCGCTCACACACACGCACGCGCACACACGCACGCACACACACGCACACACACACAACTCCCAGATTGAATTATAATTAATTATCTCTTCCTATAAATTATATTTATTACATTGAATTCACTTATTATATTACAAGCACTTAGTAAGTAACCCTGCGGAGTGAGGCCCTGATGACCCGTAATACAGGTATTCTTATACCTATCTCAGGCACCAGTCTCTCACAATTTTATTTACAATTTGATTACTTTAATATAAGCATGTCTCATTGTATTTCACTGTGATGAATTGTGAAGAGAAAATAAATCTATTTATTATTATTGTAAGTGATCATTTAAGATATAGGTTATATCCTAAATTATCACTCAGAATACTGATTTGTACAGACAAAGCTGCAAGAAATGAAGTTAGTGATAATTTGTTTGTAGACGTGAATGAATGTGCTACTGATCAACACGACTGCCTGTCGGACTCGCAACGGTGCGATAACACGGTCGGATCGTTCATCTGCGTCAGGTACCTCTCCTGCGGCACCGGGTACATCCTTCAACATGCCACAGGAGTTTGCGAAGGTACGACTCAATTTTGGTAACGTCACTGGAATTTATTTATTCATTCTTTATTGTACAATAAAACTTTGTACAAGTGGCGAGCTTAATGCCATATGGCATTCTCTACCTGCTAATCATTAGGTAAAAACAGAAAGCGTATGAAGGGCAAATGTGTAGGGCACAAAGGGCACAAAGGTATATTAAGGGAGTGTTATAGGTGTCCATCGGTTGCAATGACCTTTTACCATCAAACGACTCGTTTGCTACCTTTATGGTGTAAAAAAAGAGATGAGATGAATAGATTGTTTTATTTTTATTTATTATATTTTTTTTTATACGGCAAAAAACACTTGGAGTAAATGAATACTGATTAAAATTATATTTTTTGTAATTCACAAGATATCGACGAGTGTTCTCTCGGCACGCACAACTGCGCCCGCGCAGGACCGCAGTACAGCTGCGTGAACATACCGGGATCGTTTCGATGTGTTCGTAAGCGTACTACGACCACATCTACGACTTTATCACCGGAATATGAATATTATTATGACGAATCAGAGTGAGTATTAAGATTACCTAATTAAATCTTCATATTTTTAGCGGTTTTTTTCCCACAGGCTTATCTATAGATTAATCTATAGAAATTATTTTAGTGTATTTTTTTGCTATAAAGTGATAGATACATATATGACGATGCGCGCGTCACATCCTTGGTGTTACAGGCTTTCATAAGTCACGGTAACGCCGTTTACAATCAGACGAGCTGTATACTTATTTGTCATTAAAATAGCCAACTCAACTCAAATTATTGCCTTGCCCTTAAGGGCACAAAATTAATTTCTATTGTGGCCAAATAAATGGCGAAATTTCCTGTTAAAAAAATTAAGTGTATTCATCATAGGTATAGTTGTATGTTGTAAGAGGTGAGGACGAAGTAAAGGATGGAGTAAGGGAACTTATTGGTCGAGGAATGGGCAACAGTATCACTGTTAAAACAGCATCAAATTTTTTTATTAATTCATGTTTTTTTTTTTTATTTTAATCCAATATTCACATAATTCCTATCGTAAGAAGTGACTATGGGAACTAAACGGTCGAAAGTTCTTCATCATTCATCATGAAACATCTTCAAAGCCTAACTGCGGTTGCTAACCCGTCTGTCAAGCGTAGCAACTAAATCCCTCTTTATAGGGAGGCCTATATTTAGCAGTAGACAGTTAACGGCTGATGTGATGATCATAATAATAATAATTAAGTGCAATGCAGTTTCTAAAATACTACGAGGTCCTCATTTGACAATTTACAATTTTTTGTTTAAAAACTTAGGTGAATATGCATATAACAATTTTTTGGCAACGACTGATTTATGTATTTGTTCTTTTAACTATTCAAATAGTTAACAATATCTCATATAAAAATTGATTCACTTCTTTTTTTATATCTACATAAATGCTGACATACAATAATTGAAAACTGAAGCCTATTGTTTGATTTTCAGAGAAATAGTTGATGAAGACAATGAGACAAAACCACATTCATCGGATACTAATACAGAAACTAAAGTAGAAAACAAATCGGAAGCACCTGTCACTACAACTACTGAAGCTTCCACTTCCCAAAGTCCGCCTCCTAAACCTATTGAAAATACCCCACCACCAGAGCAACCTAAACCTGTATCAGAGAAGCCAGATGATAGCACCAATGAAATTATACCTCCTCAAATACAGCCAACTTATCCACCGTCGCCTACAGTCAGTGAACCCCCACCAAGTTCAGAAAGTCAACCCAAAGCATTTGAACCGTCGTCAACTGAAACTATCAGCTATTATGAACCAAAGCCACAGATTCCTGAACAAACCAGTTGGGAAGAACCAAAACCAGTACAGTCAAGTCAAGAGCCAGCGCCCACTGAACCACCAATACCAGTTCAACCTTACCAACCCCAACAACCAGAGTCAAGTATAAATGAATCGGTTCAACCGGAAACAACACAACAGCCAGAAACAACACGACAACCTGAAACAACATATAGTCCATCGACAGAATCATCGTCAATGCCAAGTCCAAAAATAGTTAATGTTGTTGTTGGAAAAGATACAGCGACAGTAAATGGTGAGAGAACTGATGATGGAGCGGTGATTGTTGATACAAATAATGTACCCAAGAATAAATGGACAGTAATTAACGAGAAACCAGCCAGTTGTCAAGCTGGTTTTGAAATGGACGAATATGGTGCTTGTTTCGGTAAGTGATAAATTACAATTGAACAAATTCTTTGTTTGAATCGATAAATATTCTTCCATGGTGGAAAAAATAATGGATCATTATGAGCAGTATTAAAATTGTGTTCCACAAAAAATCGATTTTGACATTAAAATTAAACTACTTAACTGATTTTGATAAAATGTCTATGTTCCAATCCTGTAAGTACTCGTATATTTTTTCAGATAAAAAAAATTCCAAATCGCTTCATAATTAACGGAGTTATGAAGTAAAAAATAAAAAATATAACCGAATTAAGAATCTACTTCTTTTTAAAGTCGATTAAAAAAAGCAATTTCTGAATACTTAGAAATAAATTTTGATGTACTGGTTATTTCAATAAGTTAGATTAAAAGAATTGTGGTACTTGGAGTAAAATGGTTCGGTTTAAATAGCTTACTGACAATGTTAATTCAGACAATGGTAATGAAGAAATTCTGTTCTCAATATTATTTGAGTCTCAACCAAATACACTATGATCAAATTGACAATTGATAAGATTAGAAAAATATTTATTTTGCCTTTCACAGTGGTTTACAATACAATGGAAGATCTTAAAAGTACAAAGCATTTATAACAAAGATATATCGAAAATGTAGCTAATAAAATTAATGAGTTTTAGATTAGATTTACCAGAGGGAGACTTTGTACAAAAGTCGATTGCTTGGATACCTCTGTCTCATTCGTGTTTCAACCGTGAAGCAGTTGTGTTTGCATGGCTGTGTTTCGGTCTGAAGGGTGGGATATGGCGTGAATTTACTGGGTACAGAGGAATAACATCTGAGTCCTTAGGAATGGTAACGCATGGGGGTATCATGGGCGAAACAGTATACTCTGTTATGTCCATGAGACTGCTCATGTCTATAGGCGACGGTTACCACTTTACATCAGGTGGGCCGTCAGCTTGTTTGCCATTCTAAGTTGTATAAAAAAAAAAGTGACTAATTCACAGAGTCCAAGAGCAAGAGTTATCGTGATATTCTATATCATTCTCTATTGGTCTCTAGAGAATAGTATTCATAGTTTTTTTGGCAATATAATAAATAAAACTTTATTTAATTCCATTCGTATAATCTAGGGCTTTAAAAGCGGTATGCATTAATCTGGCAAAAAATATATTAATAATTATGCATAAAACCTTCAAAAAATTATCATATTTTTATCTGGTGCTACGCAATCGAAAATGATCCGGAATGTATATTTTACATAACATGGAAGTAAACAACATGTCTTTCATTGATTTTCGTTTACGTTCTTGGTAACGGTGCACGAATTCGAATAATTATTCGAATAATCAAATGATTATTCGAATAATTAGTAATTATTTGAATCCGAATCATTTGATTCGAATAGTAATTCAGTTACAACCACTTTTTGCGTATTATGGACTTTTTCGGCACACTGACGAATAGTTTTCCGATGTCTTTATGCAGTATTTGTGCGCAGCTGGTACAACATACTATTTGTACATTTTCTTTCTTAGAAAACAGTAGATGATTGTTTACTTTCATGTGACGTCACTGACGCCATATTGCTCAAAAGTTGCATTTCGGTGGTCTATTTACACATTTATGTACATTTTTATTTACTATTTTTTGAAGAAATACTCATGTAAAATAAAAATAACTACTTTCTGGGGATGTATCAACACCACTAAATAGTCTGAGAAGGTTTCTAGAAATCATTCCAATATCCCTATTATAATTATTTTAGTGAGATGTTCTGAACTACTCACGTCCTCAATAAAACGACATTAAATTTCAGATATTGACGAATGCGCTACAAATCGTCACAGTTGTTCTGGCTTAACGGAATCCTGTAGGAACACCATGGGAGGATATCTGTGTGATTGTGCGGCAGGCTTCCGCAGAGACTTGACCACAGGGGCGTGCGACATTATACCGACAACGACTAGTACTGTACCACCTACAACTGTTTCATCCACTACAGAGCCAGGTGAGTTTGTATATTATGTTATTTACTAGCGATTCGCCCAGGCTTCGCATGGGTCGATTTATATTAGAATAAAGATACAATTATAAAATAAGTAATGAACGACCCACGTTACTCACTTGTAATGTAGCTTCCAAATATATATATATATATATATATATATATATATATATATATATATATATATATATATATATATATATATATATATATATATATTATATTTATTTTTATATAGAAAATTATTTTTTTTTAATTTATTTATCTAAAAAAAATCATTTTAACACTACAAAAAAATAAAATGTTTTTGATGTAGTTTATAGTAGTAAGTAATAAGAATTTACAAATAAGGTGATATTTAACTTAACGTGATGTGCTAAGTAACAAAAGTGTTGCCAGTGATGACTTATAGAATCGAAACATGGTCCTACACGATGGCGCGTATGTAAAAGCTTCAAATTAATCAGCAGGCTATGGAGAGGGCTATGCTTGGAGTTTCTTTGCGTGATAGAATCATAAACGAAGATATCCATAAATGAACCAAAGTAACCGACATAGCCCGAAGGATAAGCAAGCTGAAGTGGCAATAGGCCGGTCACATACAATCTTGAAGAACCGTCAACTGATTGAGAAAAAAAGCGCAGTGTAGGACTATACCCCATTAGATGGAGTGACGACCTCAAATGCATTGCAGGGAGTCGGTGGATGCAGGTGCCTCAGGACCGTTCCTTATGGCAAGCATGGTAGAAGCCTATGCTCAGCAGTGGACGGATATTGCCTGAAATAATGACGAAGTAACAATCAGTTATCATTTTCCACCAGGTGTTCCATAAAGTTGACTGTTATTATCAGTACCTTAGAAATCATCATATCAGCCTTTATCTGTCCATTGGTGAATATAAACCTCTCCCTTGGTGGATTTGCCAGTGGTTCCCACGCTTGGCAGGCGAATTGGCAACCGCAGTTAGCTGATGCTGACACTAGTCTTTGCTTCCCATCCCTCACCTCTCTTAGTCGGCTCTTACGACATTCACGGAATAGGAAGGGGTAGCCTTTTCTATACCGAAACCACTCGGCCAAAAAATTGTATCATAATTATAAAATCGGTCGATCGTATTCGTGGGCCATATTGTTCCTGCATTTGCTTAAGATGGTGTGGTCATTATAAAAAATCAGGTCTTGTATGATTTCACTCCCAGTTCGCCACTACTTCTGGGGATATCCTGACTACCGGCCGCCGTCAGTGAGACCGTTTAGGCCACGTAACCTGTGCGATGCCGGATACCATCACGACGTAAAAACGGGCCGATGTGAAGGTATGTTCTAAGACGGTTTTTAATCAAATTGAAATTCTGTCCTTATATCCATCCTTCTTTTTTTTTTGTTAAAAGTTTTGTAAGCATACGAGTACATTATATTTTATATTGGAATAATTACCGGTTTAACTTACATATATTTTAGTCGAGAAAGCTCGACTAATTTCGAGACCATGTGAGATCCTTAGTCGTGATTAGTCACTTATAATTGGCTGGGCTACGTAGTCTTTCTTTTCGCCTGCCATGTTTTTGTCACTAACGAAGAGGAAGACTCGTAGTCTTCCTCTTGATTTGAAAGAAAGCCGATTGAAGGCGGTTTTTTTTTTGTAAAACAGAATCTTACATGATTTAGATATTTGTTTCTGAAGATGTTTAAAACAATAAAGCAAAGGTTTTCTGGAATCGTTTCTCGCTTGTTTCTTTGGAAAAAAATGTTTAATTTAGTAAAATTGCCAGTAGGCAAAATATATCCTTCAAAGGATAGTAATAATTTTGATTGCACCCAGTAAGGATGGCAAAGCTTTAGTTCTTAAACAAACTTACTTAAACTAAACTAACTTTCTTAAACAGTTTTTCTAAATCTTTGCACAGATATCGACGAATGTACAAATGGCCAAGCGAACTGTGCTAGTGTTGAGGTCTGCGTGAACACAGACGGTGGTTACCGTTGTGAGTGCCCGCCAAATTGGAAGCTCGATGATGTGAGGCACCGTTGTGTCCAAATACGGAACCCTGATCAGTTTCCGCCTGGATATGGTAATGAACCTGGTAAGTCATGTCTACATCAGGGGTGGCCAACTGGGACTATTAGTCCAGTCGATCGTGGCAAGGCAAAAATATATTATTTTACTAATCTAGCGGAAATTGTTCAGATGCAATGCTTACACTAATATAAATAAGTAGTTAGATATTAAGAATAATTTTCAATTTTATGTTTTCCCTCTTAATAAAATAAACAATACTGCAATACCTACATAATGGTGTACTGAACTATGTTGTTTCATTTGAGATTTCAAGAAGTGATTAACTGGTAGATCGCACAAGGTTTTGTTAGTAAACAGTTGATCTTGGGTGTAGTCAAGTCGGACCACTGGTCTACATAAATGAGAAAACTTTTAAGAATATGGTAACCCATTACCTTGACATCATTACATTTATTTAAATCCATTGGTAACAATATATGCTGTCAGGTCGACCTTTTCTGTAATCTCTCCTGGAAAACATCGTGCTTAATTCTTGGCGAACTCATCATGATGGGCGAAATGGCCCAATTTTTTGTAACCTATCATCTTTCACTTGCACTTAATTACGAGTAGTGTAAATCAATACCACACACAAATCCACATAGTCTATCCACTTTTTTCAGTCTTCTTCTTCCTTTTTATATTATTATCCTTTACCAGAGGGAGACTTTGTATAAAAGTCGTTTGCTTAGGCACTTCTGTCCTATTCGTGTTTCTACCGTGAAGCAGTTGTGTTTGCATGGCTGTGTTTCGGTTTGAAGGGTGGGATATGGCGTGATTTTACAGGGTACAGAGGAATAACACCTGAGTCCTCAGGAATGGCAACGCATGGGGGGTATCGTGGACGAAACAGTATACTCTGTTATGTCCATGGTACTGCTCACGTTTATAGGCGACGGTTACCACTTTCCATCAGGTGGGCCGTCAGCTTGTTTGCCATTCTAAGTTGTATAAAAAATTTTTTTTCACTGATTCTTCAAACTAATTATTATTTGAATTAATTCTTTTATATTTTTCTATAACATGTTCGTTCCAACTCTTCTTCCTCTTTTTTTTAGTTACTGGTGCTACTTTCAATAATTTTGAATAACGCTTACAGTATTTTCTAGTTATTCATATATTCATTACAGAATATGCACCTCCTGAACCTGAAGAATCAATCAGCCATGGCTCAAGAGGTTATAAATATGTGGAACCGGAAATTACCAAGGTTGAAGACCGAGGGACCGTCATAAAGTGTCCTTGGGGATATAAACTTGGCATTGATAATACTTGTGAAGGTATTTAATTTCTGTTACCATCGTTACTGTTCGTACAATGCTTATATAGTTTGTTACCGAATTTAGTTCACACATTTCACCAAGAGAAGAATCGATATGACTTGATAGGGGGGTAACTTGCATTGTTTTTCATGAGAAGTTTTGGATACAGCAATCAAATGCAAGACTGTATCTCAAAATTTTACTTGTGCTCTAGAGTTCATGGTCTTGGTAATCGAATGGTCTATGGCAGTGATTCTCAACCACTGTGCCGCGGCACTTTTGTGTGCCGCCAAATTTTAAAAGTGTGCCGCCAAATTTTGCAAATATTTCAAATTTTTGTCATAAACTATTTATGCAGTGTGTTGTAGTGAGTAAATAATTTTTATCTTTTACTTTGTGTGCCGCCAAATTTTGAAATCGTTAAATATGTGCCGCAACAAAAAAAAGGTTGAGAATCACTGGTCTATGGTATACTCGAATCTATATTTTACTTTTTTATATTTACATTTTTTTTTTTTACTACTTACATAAACATTTCAAGAATAGTATTGTTGTGGTATAATAGAATTAGTCATTCTTATTTTTGATTAATTTTAATAATATTATGTGGTTAAAATTGTGTTATCACTTCTTTATTTGGCTTGTCTTTTGATCCAGTATGTGTATTCACTAATGCTTCAAATATGTGATTTTTTTAAAATAATATTTAACACCTTTTTAATCTCTTACTAACATACGACTACTTAGTGTCCTTAACTGCGTTATAAAAAACTAGCGACCCACCCCGGCTTCACACGGTAAATTACATCACATCATATTAGAAACCTCTAAAATAGTCAGTGTTTCTCTACTGTATTATGCATGTATTATACATATAAACCTTCCTTTTGAATAATTCTATCTATTTAAAAAACCGTATCAAAATCCTTTGCGTAGTTTTAGAGATATAAGCATACATAGTGGGAAACAAACGGGAAGTGATTTTGTTTTATACTATGTATGAAGTTAATTAAGGTCATATTAGAAATATTTCTTTTCAGGTTCCAGTTACACATATAGAGAAGCTTATGATGACCAATTATGATATGTTTGCAGATATAAACGAATGTGTGACGGGCGAAGCCAAATGTGGTCCGCTCCAACTTTGCACCAACTTACCTGGTGGGTATACCTGCAGCTGTCCTCTGGGACACAAGCTCGTGGGAGACCACGAGTGTGAAGACGTCGATGAATGCCAACTGGCTGGTAGTATGGTAAGTTGATTATTATACAAATTTGATTGAAAATTGAAAAATAAATTGACGATGCACCTAATTGATGTGTGAATGTAAAGATTGACACCATTGGCTTTATAAAATGCTCTATGGTACTCATAGTTCCCCTCCAATATTACCATTTTTGTATGTCTGTACCCAAGAATTTGCTTCCTCTTCACACACTTCTAACCAAAATAGGAGGCTTAAGGAACTTATATTTTCAGCCTATATGCTCCAAGAATGCCGATTGTGTGAACACCATTGGCTCTTATAGATGCGATTGTCATAAGGGATTCAAACCAGCTCCAGTAAATGAGAAGGTAAATACAAAATACTTAAGTTATAATAGTATTAACTAATTCCGTCATTGAAACTTACATTGGTTTAACGATTGGCGATAAGAGTTCCACCATTTGTGATATTATTTCTACAAAACCTTAAAACCTGAACAAAACAGTTTAGTGGAAGAAATCAAAAAGTAAGATAAATCCTCTTTACTTACTCTCTTTTCAAAAATCTTTTAAAAATTGGCTATAGATTGCATAATCAAAAGTTACAAACGAAATTATAAGACTTATTATCATCTACGTTCTGCCTTTTGCCAAGACCACACAATATTGCCTTTAATCCCAAGGGACTTTAAATATCAGCTAATGTCTGAACATTAGCTGATATTTAAAGTTGTATAAAAAATAGGTAGAGATCTGAATCTCTACCTATTTTTTATACAATTTAGAATGGCAATCAAGCTGACGGCTTATATTGAAACATTATACTCTGTTATGTCCATGGTACTGCTCATGTCTATAGGCGACGGTTAACACTTTCCATCAGGTGGGCCGTCAGCTTGTTTGGCGTTTTAAGTTGTATAAAAAAAAATGTAAGATGGAAATCCACATAAGGAATAAACAGATCAACGTTTATAGTATTCTCCAAGTGAAGTTATATCTAAAAATAAGTTTTTAAACCAACATTATTATAAAAAAATGAGATTAACTACAAGAGGGAGACTTTGTACAAAAGTCGATTGCTTGGGTACCTCTGTCCCATTCGTGTTTCAACCGTGAATCAGTTGTGTTTGCATGGCTGTGCTTCGGTTTGAAGGGTGAGATATGGCGTTAATTTACAGGGTACAGAGGAATAACACTTGAGTCCTCAGGAATGGCAACGTAATGGAGGTATCATGGGCGAAACAGTATACTCTGTTATGTCCATGGTACTGCTCATGTCTATAGGCGACGGTTACCACTTTCCATCAGGTGGGCCGTCAGCTTGTTTGCCATTGTAAGTTGTATAAAAAAAAATCTAGTGAGACTAATTTATATAACTTTATGCGGATAACTTTGTTTAAATTTTTCATGTTATGAACCTAACTTAATCTATAATGTATTTTGTATAAAGATTTGTGTGGATGTCGACGAGTGTATGGAATCTCGCTCCGGAACCTTATGTCAACAACGCTGCAATAATGTGTGGGGAGGATACAGGTGTTCTTGCCATAGAGGGTACAGACTGAACACAGATAATAGGTAAATATAATGATTTCAAACTAACTCTATAACAAAAATTAGGGTAAAACGTACTCTATATGTTAATCCAGGGTATGGTCGATTTTTGAACTAAATTTTCAACTATTAAGCGCGATTAAATAACAAATATTGTTACAAATTTCTATATTACTAATGTGATGAAAGTTCTATTGTAAAAAAGTAACATGAAGCAGAGAAAGAATTTATAAAACATTCGGAAGTATAACATTTTGTGTTTTTGTTATCAAACGAATGTTCGCGGGTATTAATGTTATATTAGAATTTAACCAACTTTCCTCAATTAGTACCAGTAGTTTTTTTTTTATGGGTGAAAATGGTATGGTAACCCCGCCTGCGCTAACGGGATACGCTGGCGGAGCACCAGTGAAGGGTGATAGATGAGAATGAAAACAGGCCAGTTAGCCCATCACGATGAATTCGTCAGGAATTAACCATGATAGTTTCTAGGGAGAATTGCGAGGAGGTCGACCTGGTTGGGTATATTGCTAGCAATGGGATTCTTAGTCTCCATTACTAACAATCCCTTTCCCCGCTAGTACCAGTAGTTAGTAGTTTTAAGGTTTACGTCATTAGGCCTGGCGCAAAAGATAACACTCATGATTTCAATTCAACAAGTACGATTTCTGTCTAATTTCGGCGAATTTTTTTGTTCCGAGTCTTCAGAAAAGTTAATGTCCCAAAGAAGCATTTTATAATGCTTCTTGTTAAAAACAGTGATAATTGCGATGCAAATGCGGCTAAACTATTATATATTTATAAGGACGACGTGATAAATAAAATACATATTATGTTTTCAACATCCATTTTACTAAATTTGAATAGAATCGACAGAGATGCATTACATTTTTAATAGTAAAAAAGTACAAGTGGCCAGTACGTGCAATAAATAAAAAGAGTTCATTCTTACATATTAAATTGAATCTGAAACACCTTTATATATTGGAAACGTTGGCTTTTCTGGGGATTCATAGTTGAAAGGGTTCACTGAAGTTGGACAGGTTTTTTAATGGGTGATGATGAAATGTTTACCCCGTCTATGCTATCAGTATATACTGGTGAGGCACTAATTAGAGATAATACATGATAATAGGTGATGATGAAAGCCGGTCATTTGGTCTGTCGTGACCAATTCATGAGTTTGGTTAGTTGTGCGATGGTTTCAAAGGGGAACCGCTTGAAGGTTGGCCTGTTAGAATATATTCCCAGCAGTGGGGCTATTAGTGCTCCATTATTAAGAATCCCTTTCCCCTCGCAAGTTGGACAACAGCCACGCTTGTTGAATTCCACCCAAATGAACAATATATCTGCTCTACAGGACCTGTTCCGACGTAGACGAGTGTGCTGAGTCGAAAACGAACAAACGAGTGTTGTGCGTGGGACGGTGCCATAACGAGCCTGGCAGCTACCGGTGCAGTTGCCCACTCGGCTATCGGCTGAGCGAAGACAAGAAAAGTTGTATAGGTAACTCATACGATTCAAGCGTTATAATAATAACAGATTTATTTACATTTTCATTAAATTAGGAAGATCTACTGAAGTAACAATGTAAATATAATGCGCTTCTGTTGTTTGCTTTTTTATTTTAGCCGTTTGGTAACTTTTACTTATGTCATGCTATGAAAATATAGGACTGTTAGCTGACATAGCAAACGTTAAATTGACTTTAATTACGGCTTAAACCTGTTCAAAGATCGTACACTGTATCATTTTTCTGTATGTGTGGTCCCAGCATAAAATGAGCTACTCTTTTCCCGTGGGTGTCGTAAGAGGCGATTAACGTAATGATCGAGAAATGGGCATCTTTCGATCACTAAGTTACCGTGCAGCGTGCTTTTTAAAACATCACTAAAACCCAATTGAGGTTGCCAACTTAACTGCCAAGCGTGGCAACTACAGGAAAGTTCCCTCCCCTATTGGGTGAGGCCTATGTTCTACAGTAATTATTGGCTGATTTGATGTAGAATTATCTAAGTACTAATTTTTAATATTAAATTCTATACAGACATCGACGAATGCGAAACCGGAGAAGCGCCATGTGCAAAAACTGGTATCTTTGGTGGGACCAGCCACGTGTGCCAGAACACAAGAGGAGGTTACCGATGTCACCGTATCGTCTGTCCACCTGGATACTATCTGGAGAGTAAAAAGTGAGTATTTTTTTTTAAATGTAATTTATTCTTACATACATTCTAAGTAATACTGCAACTGCTCATGTGAGAGTGTTCAGTCTTCTTAATGTACGGAAGCCAACAATGTAGAGTGAGATAGAGAGAGAGGATCATAATATTCTCAAGAGCAACAATATGTGTAATACGTATAGATGCAGAACGAGACCACCATTTGAATAAAAACAAAGAAAGACATAAAAATAATACCAACATATATATGTGGTCAGACTCAAATTTACATTATGGCCACAGAGAAGTTTCAATAAATAATACCCAAGATGTCTCGTATCTCACTATCATCATTTCATATCAGTCATTGTTAATGATGTGCGTTTGCGTTTTGATGATGAACGGATGATATGATGATGATGATGATGATGAATAAATACACCTAGTATTTGAAGCGATTTAACTAGCGTAAATAAAAATAGATAATAATTTGAAGCGTTGATGTAATATAAATTTGATGTAATGCGTTGAAGTTTTGTTTTGCGAGTAAGTTACAATTTTGAAACCTGAAAGGTCATATAAATTTCTCCTGCCTTATGATTGGCGTTCTCGCGATGTCGTGATGAGCGGCTCTTGTGACTGGTTGATGTTGTATGTGATTATCTATTAATAACTTAGCAGTCGTCCATTGGTTTTACCGCTGAAACCGCTTCATTATACGCAGGAGTGAATAATATTCATTGCATATTGTTAATGCTTTAACAGTCATTAATTGTCCACTGCTGACTTTAAAGTCTCCCCTTTTGAAGGGTTTTGCCAACCAAAGTTGTAGTTAAATTAACTCCTAGGAGACAGACATGCTGACCGTTTATAACTTTATCAATCATTCCTATTTGCGCAATAGTAAACCAAATTACAATAGTTAAAATGGTCAGATTTTTTACATACTTTTCGGTATATTAAAACTTTCAACTAAATAATATAAAACTTTCTCTGCAGCCGCTGTTCCAGAACTGAGAAAATCTGTCCGCCCAACGATTGGAAGTGCATGCACCAGCCGTTGACATATTCATACAACTACATCACTTTCGTCTCCAATTTGTACATTCCTGCTTCTAAGGTAAATTTTAAATTCATTTACACACGTGGCCTTTCTTGCATGATCATGACATCCGGGATACTAAAGACGTTACAATATGTTACGTCATGTTATGTTATGTTCAAGGTAGTCCAGAATCTTATCTTTTTATCGCTATTTTCTAATACTTTGCTAAATGCTTTTTTTTCGTTCACTCTTTTCAAAACTTCTTCGTTTGTTACTTTTTCTGTTTAGTTTATTCCTTTCCATTCTCCATGACTATGTTTGAAATTCCTGATCATCATTGGAATAATTTAAATGGCCAGGTTGATTTGTTCACCATGCGAGGACCGACTAAGCTACCCGATGCCAAGATAAGGTTCCAACTTCGTCTAGTTGAAGTCAACGCCCCACCAACAGTTAAGGAAAAAGCGGATATTAATGCATTCTTGTAAGTAGATATAAATTTTAGTGAAGCATAGCTGTGTTTTGTTTGAAGATTGGTAAAGGATAAGTGGGAAAAAGATAAGGAGACGTGATAACTTAGTGGGAATGACAAGTGATGTCGCTACTTATATAGTTCTGTAATGGTCATGGGGCTATTTATGTCTATAGACAACGATTTTAATTATTTATATGTCATAAAAATGGCAATAGAGATATTTTGTACAAGTCATCTATAAAGGTAATACGTATGTTCTATTTGTACTTCTACCGTTAAACATCTATGCTTACATGGTTTTGTTTAAATGGTGGGATATGGACACTACAATTATAGAGTACGTATGTATAACATAATATCGTCATAATCGTAGAATACTGACGGATCTTTATATGTAATGTTTGTCAGATCCGTCAGTATTCTACGACTATGACGATATATCATGACACCCATAATAATATTACAATAACGTCACTACCGTATGGTCCCGTATCACTGCACGAGATAATGGAAGGATTCTTCCATACTCCGTTGTTTAATACTAATGAATATTTTTATAAATTTTATTAGTCTCCCATTATTTCGTCAGTATGATCTTGTATTTTTTTGTTTTTAATTTTTTAAAATTACTACAGTAATCTTTAGAAGGTAACAATAAAAAATATCTGTTCTTTTTTTTTTTTTATTTCAGACTGGTCCAACAATCTTACTATCAAGTGGCAGTGTCCTTAGTCCGTCCACTCATTGGTCCACAGAGTATAGAACTGGAGTTGTCTATGGAACTGTACAGCAGAGAACAGTTCGAAGGGATCGCTGTGGCCAAACTGTTTATACACGTCTCGGAATATGAGTTCTAAATGATTTGTACAACTTTTTGGTATGAATAACTTCGAATACATCGGTTTTAAGTCGGTGTTTACTGAAAGACGGAACGTCTGCATTACCTGTCAAATTAAGAATAAATCCATCATTCTCTCGATTAATCAATCAAGCCATCAAATTATCGATCTATCAATCAATAATATAAGCTAAATATTAATGGTTCTACTATTCTGGTTTATTTTATTATTATTATTATTATATATTATTAGTAAATAGTACCCATTTTATTTTTTTTGTATTATTTTCTTTGAAATTTGGCACACTATGCAAATGTTGCAAATCGTTCAAGAATCGCTTTTTAGTAACTTTATAATAACGCCAAATAGAAAACTTGATGAATTAAAAATACATAGTTGTACGGGGCACTTCCTGGAATACTTTTTCGTGTGTCCAAAATAAATTATGTCGAATACTTATATTTGAATATGATGTGCAGTTTTGTATTATAAGTGTCATTTAAGTATTTGTCGGTAACAAATTTTATTTCGTTTAATTATGCCATTAATAATACTAGTAGTAATAAATATTCAAAGGCTTGAAGTAATAATAATAATAAACTCTCTATTGCGCACAAAAGAGATGTATACAAGGAGTATTTATGTACAGAATGTGCATAATATAGAATAGGCAGCCTTATCGCTAAAAGCAATCTCTTACAGACAACCTGGCATGAATAGTAGATTAGTACATAAGTTCTGTCTCGGTTTTGAAAACTTAACAAGTAAAAAAATCTTAAAATTGTATTTTTATTCTATTTAACACGCAAAGACTAGTATCGTAACTAAGGTATATAGGTTTATTGGATGAGTCGAAGTGCCTTAAATACTTATTTTTTTCCTAAGTATACAAATTAGTTTAAGTTTTTACATAAAAATCAAAACTACAAAAAAACCGCCCAATCGATTCAACTGACTGTAAATATATTGATTAAACAAATCAATAAAATTTCTCCACAATACAAAAAAAAAAAAAAACAAATATCAAATATAGAAGAAATCGATACAGTTAAATCATGAACCGACTTTAAATTGGTGGAATTTTGGAATCTGAGGTAAAATAAGGTAAATCTCATTTCATGATTCTCTACAGATCGGTTGTTAGTTTCGTAACAAACGATACGGTTGTGTAGTTATTATAGTTTTATTGTATAAGGCTGGATCACTTTAATTGTATAAGCTTGTTTTATCTAGTACAGTTTAGTTTATATGGTTATAGTAATGTGATGACGTAGTTAGTTATACATTTAAGCACAGTTATTGTCTTGTGTTATTATGTATTGCAGTCTCAGTGCAAAGATTTTTTTATAGTTATACCTGAATACTGAATTGAATATCTTACAGTTAAACACGAATACATCATTATAAGACGTTTTGATTAATTCACGGATTTTTTTTTTATTTAAACTCCATATTCACATAATTCCTTTCACGTGGGTGTCGTAAGAGGTGAGTACGGGAATGTAATGGTCGAGGCATGCAGGCAGGCAGCAGCGTCCTTCTTAAAACATCACCAAAACCTAACAGCGATTGCCAATCCGCCTGCCAAGCGTGGCAACTACTGGCAAATTCCCCCTTATAGAGGAGACCTATGTTCTGCAGTGAAGTTAACGGCCGATATGATGATCCATATAATTCTAATAATGTGAAGGCATCAGATGACCATTATGAAGTGGCTGAAGATGAGATCGATGATATCTACCAGAAGGAGACTTTGTACATAAGTCGATTGCTTGGGTACCTCTGTCCCATTCGTGTTTCTACCGTGAAGCAGTTGTGTTTGCATGGCTGTGTTTCGGTTTGAAGGGTGGGATATAGCGTGAATTTACAGGGTACAGAGGAATAACATCTGAGTCCTCAGAATGGCAACGCATGGGGGGTATCATGGGCGAAACAGTATACTCTGTAATGCTCATGTCTATAGACGATGGTTACCACTTTCCATCAGGTGAGCCGTCAGCTTATTTGCCATTTTAAGTTGCATAAAAAATGACCCATTCACTTCTGCTAATAGTATACAGGATAAAGTCGAACTCGTAAGCATTTTTTAAAAAAAAGCGGACTTTTTGACACACTTTTTTTTTAATTTGAGTTTACACTTTAGCCTGTATAATAATAGCGAAGTATTCTTAATGGTTGACAATGAAATGGTTACCCCTCTCGCACCATCGGTACATACCGGCGTGGCACTAGTGAAGGTTGACAGGTGAAGATGAAGCAGGCCAGTTAAACCATCGTGACGAATTCAACAAGAATTGTTCACGATGGTTTCCAGGGGTAATCACATGGAGGTCGACCTAACAGGGGAGTATGCCAATGCTAGCAATGGGGCCGTTGAGTTCCATTGCTAACAATCCCTTTCCCCCAACAGCGAGGTATTAGTAGAGGATGGAATTGAGTCAATCAAATTAAAGAGGATAACCGCTATAGTTTACAGAGAATCTATTGTCCCCCCCTGTCACAGCACTAGATAACTATCGAGTACTTCCTAACGATGCAACATGGTTGTTTAAATTGTCAAAGCTATTTAATTTTAACTTGATGTTATGATGGCATTATTATTCCATACTCTAATAGCTCAAGACCCCGCCGTTGAATTCTTCATATGTAAAACTTTTTAATGGAACTAGTTTAAACGAATAATGAACCAAAATACAATATATATAAGTTGTGACTCGCGGTTTCACCCATCAAATTATATATATATATATATATATATGTATTTTGATGGGTGATAATGGTATGGTAACCCCGGCTGCGCTAACGGGATACGCTGGCAGAGCACCAGTGAAGGGTGATAGATGAGAATGAAAATAGGTCAGTTAGCCCATCATGATGAATTCATCAGGAATTAACCATGATAGTTTCCAGGGGGAACCGCGAGGAGGTCGACCTAGTTCGGTATATTGCTAGCAATGGGATTCTCAGTCTCCATTACTAACAATCCCTTTTCCCACGAATCAGTATATTATAAAATATTTTATATGCTAGGTTAAGATATAATTTAACCATGTACCAAATTTTATTTAAATCCGTTTAGTAGTTTTGAAGAGTAACAAACATCCACCTGTTTAATCAATGAATATCCATATTTACAGATTTTAGATTTTATTATAATAATAATAGCATGCACGCGAGTTGTCTGCTCTATTTGCCACAATCGAGGAATGCCAGTTGAAAATATATAATAATTTTGGTAAATTTATTTAAATCATCATTATCCTTTCCTGTAGACTGTAACATATGGTTGCCCATTAAAAAACCGTTGGTAAGGGTTACTAGTGTCTAAAGTTTTGTTCTAGATCAGGGGTTCCCATACTTATTTTGTCTACTGCCCACTTTGAGTATAAATTATTTTTTAGCGTCCCCATTCTTTCACCTACTTAAAAACCACTATTACTTCAAGATCAACAAATCACCCCCCAAGTTTCTACACAGCGCCCCCATTTTTTTCTGGGTCTTTTACCGCCCGCCTTTAGGCCTGCAGTGCCTATAAGAGGGCTTATTTATTTGATTATCGCCCACTTTGGAAAAGGTTGTTCTAAATGATGACGCTGTCATTACAGAGAATTGTTTTTTTTTTATAAAACCTACATTATGAATTATTAAATGAAAATAACGCATAAATAAGTGACCAAAAGCAATGATTGCTACCTAGCTACATGGTTGTAGCTAACTGACAGTAGGCAAACAGATTGCTTTCATTAAAACAGCATATTCTTTTCTAAAAGGCCGGCAGTACACCTGCAATGCCTTTGGTGTTGTGGGTGATCATGGGCGGCGGTAGCCACTTACCGTCAGATGAGCCGCATACTTGTTTGCCTCCTGTATTGTAAAAAAAAAAAACAAGTTTCCATCTTCTTCTACAAAGAAATATTGACATCCTAATAGTGATGCCTCTGCTATTGCAAACATTTATATGTAGTTTGCTGTGATCAGATGGATGTAAAATCGTCATAGTCGTAGAATACTGACGGATCTGACAAAGATTACATATATAGATCCGTCAGTATTCTACGACTATGACGAAATAAAACATTTTATTTTAATCTTATCAATATAATTTAATCTTTTCATAAACTTTCTAAGACTAACATAACTTTTACTATATGCATAATTCTTCAAACGTGTGCTATACCAACAAGAGAGAAAAATACTATTATTATTGCAACATTATATAAATTTAGATGCAGGTACGTATTAGAAAATTTCACAATTTTTTGTACGTCATTTATATTTATGTCAATTTTGCTAGGTATATACCTAACAGCCTTTCTAGACAAGTTGCAAACAAATCTATTAACAGACACATCATTGCTTATATTGTCATAGTCGTAGAATACTGACGGATCTGACAAAGATTACATATAAAGATCCGTCAGTATTCTACGACTATGACGATATAAGAGATAGAATGAGACAGCAATATCTGAAGTCTCGTTCTGTTACAGAAAGGTATGTATAGATGTATCATTAGATTCCTTTGCCACTTGTTTAGAAAGACGATTAATACTTCATTGAACGCATGCAGGAAGTAGTTAGGTACATCAAATAAAAAAAAACTAACTTACAACCTTGTTTAGAATAACTGCGTCTATATATGTCTTTTTAATAAATTAACACAAACAACAATAAAATATATTTATTACATTTAAAACCTACTTCACGAGATCCAAAATTTTGAAATTCTCTACTTTTATAATGTTCTTCTAGAAAACTCTACGCAACTATCTACTCGTAATTAGACAAAATGTATCTTTCGTCTTATCACAGACCGTAACCTCACCTCTCTTTATCATATTCACAAAATGTCATTAAAAATAAATAATAAAAGTGGATTGTTTACCACAACTGATAATACTAAATAGGTATTAATTTGTATTATTTAAAATCGTAGATTATATAGATAGAGCATCGAGCCTCAAAAACAGGTCAACTTTTAGTCAGCTAATTGTCAAATTAGCTGACTTGTATGTTTATCAGTGTTCTATATACTTACGCACACAATGTATCTTGACGAATCTATATTTAATTCTTTAATAAATAAAATTAGTTTTTACTTATTAAAAAGATGCAAAAAAAAAATATATAAATAAAATATATAAACAAAATAAATGTAGAAATTATAAAGAAAATACTTATAACTATTTATCACACAAAATTGTATGAAAATGTTTACCCGATTTTCTCGAAGCACTTGTATGGAGACACTATATCTATATAATTTAAGTCTATGAATAAATTCTTCTTTTCTTTATTTTTTATTGCTCTTATTAAGGGCCCTCGTATCTATTTAAAAAAAAATAACCTCTCTTTTCAGATATCATCTAGTCACAATAGTATAATATGAATAAAAAATAGAAAGAGAGAAAGAAAGCTTTATTGACAACTAACTGCATTTAAAAAGAAAAAGAGACAATAATAAAAATTTGTAAAAATTCGTCATAGTCGTAGAATACTGACGGATCTGACAAATATTACATATAAAGATCCGTCAGTATTCTACGACTATGACGAATTATTTGCCAATGTGGGCAACACTCAGCATTATGCTATGGCAATTAATTTATTATCAATAAGACTAATGAGGTTGGAAATAGTTTAAACCTACAACTTGCCAAAGAAAAAATAGCCCAACTTATTAACTTAAGTAATCTTTTATAATATATTACGGATAAAGTTGACATTTTTTTTTGTATGAACATAATTAATTTTAAACTCAATGTACATGGTTTTTTGAATAAATGACTAATGAGTAAATTTAAATATTTTTTTCTCTGAAAACACCAATATTTTATGGATTATAGGAAATTTTATCAAAAGCAATAATATCAAACTATAAAATCTATTATATGTATTTATTTTATATATTTATACGAAATATATATTTAGGATTTTTGTATTGATATTTATCACTAATCCAGTAGGGGTTCATGATAGTTGTTAAAGCGGTTCCCTTGGGATTTATATCCCGAGAGATAGTTTCCTTCGACTAGACTGTCATCACAGGATCACGATTCGGGCAAAGTAAGGAGTTACGAGCGTACCTGGATTCTGCTATGGCGGCTGCTGCAGGAACCGATTTGCGGGTCACCACACCACACGCGCGGCGGAATTAGTGTATATACACCTTCACTATCACACCACCGACATACAGCTTGATAATTTGATAGTTTATATTAAGCTTTAATGAATTAATTATTATTACACGTAATTATGTGCGAGCGGCGTTTCTCAGACTCGAGCGTGAAAAACGAACAGAGCCGCCATCTTTTTTCCCAGCAGCAGCGCGGGTGTACTCGGCTCCTTTCGGCCCTAGATTGTGAAGTATGTCTGTCCTTGTCTATTACACGAGATGTGCATTTAAACTAGTTGTGGCGCAAACAATAGTGATGTTTTTTCAGTTTTTTATCAAAAAGTCCAAAATTAGACCAGAGGTTTAGATACAATTTCTATCTCTAGTACGTGCCTCTTATACATGATGCTGGCAGAAACGGTCGTAAAAATAACGACTGATTGCCATTAAAGAAAAGAAGAAGTAATAAAATTGACAATTGTGGCTAAAATGTATAAATTTTGAAATAGTTAAAAAAGCTTTATGACAACAAGCTAACTACCGCTTCTAACAGCAAAGTTACTACAAATATCACTGATACTATTAGTCTGTTTCAATTGAACTTAATAAAAATACAAACAAACATATTTGACTCGACCATAGACAATCTTGTTTTATAAAAGATAGGAATTAATGCGTACATTTAGGTTAACTATGAGTTATTATTGTTATTATTTCAGCCATTACTGTTCACTGTTGGACATAAGCCTTCCCCATAAGGAGGTTTTTCTTGTAGTTACCATGCTTGGCAGGCGGGTTAGTAACTGTAGATAGGCTTTGATTGTCTTTTAAGAAGAACGGTTCTGTTCTGTGAACGGTCCATCCCTCTACTACTAAGTTCCCTTAGTTGCCTCTTATGACACCTACGGGGAAGGATAGAGTGGCCCATTCTATGCTGGGACCATACGGATGCAATATATATCGTAACTATATACAATATTTGGATAAGATATATAATGTAGTTTCCGTGTGATTGGGGAGAAAGGGATTTTTAGTAGTGGAGACTGAGAATATACTCAATCAGGTCGACCTCCTCGCGGTTCTCCCTGGAAACTATCATGGTTAATTCCTGATGAATTCATCATGATGGGCTAACTGGCCTATTTTCATTCTCATCGATCACCCTTCACTGGTGCTCCGCCAGCCGTTATCCCGTTAGCGCAGGTGTGGTTACCATACCATTTTCACCCATCAAAAAAAAATCTGTGTGATCCTGACATACATTGGGCTACACCTTTCTTTCCCGTGGATATCGTAAAAAACAACTAAGAGAAATTAGTTCTCAAGGAATGGGCAGCAGCGTCCTTCTTAAAACATCGTCAAAGTCTAGCTGCGGTTGCCAACACGCCTACCAAACGTGGCAACTATTGGCAAAACCAATCAAGGAAGAGGTCTATGCTCAGCAGTGGAAAGTTAACAGCTGATATGTAGATTATGATGAAATATATATGACCAGCAACAAAATTTATTCAGAAATTTTAAAATCGCTGACACCGTTTGCAATATCTATATATCGAGTTCTTCAAATAGATATTCTTCATATCTGGTTATCTATAATTATCACTGCAATATACATGATACAGTACATGCAAGTGGTTTAGGACCTTATGTTACTTCCTTATGGCAATTTACGATGGAGAACCTGAGCTCAGCAGTGGACAGATATTGGCTGAGATGATGATGACGATTGCAATATACATATTATTCCATATAAAATCAATATATGCGTATTGTAAATAAATATGATATGTATCTCTCATCCCCATTAGAGAGTATTTCAGTGGTAATTTAAACAAAAAATGATTGTATTTTTTTTCCCATAAGTTACATTGAAACAGACCATATCGTCATATTCGTAGAATACTGACGGATCTGACGAACATTACATATAAAGATCCGCCAGTATTCTACGACTATGACGATATATTGGATTGGACAAACCACTTATTCGTTAGGATCGACAATATTCAATACAGTGAGGCAGCCATCTTGTGACGCGATAGCTAGAGCCGTGCCGCCGTGAGCGCTCGCCACTCCGGTCACTTCGGCTGGTGCTCTGTACTCTGCTATAGCTCTGCCATCTACCGTTCTAGAATTGTACATATTATCATTAAAATAAATAATAAGAAATTTGTCCAAGACTGTAATCCTTGATCTACTATTTATGAATTAATTCTTTCAGTATTTGTTTCATTCATTCATTCAATCATACATTCATTTACTCTTAATCATTTATGGTTTATTATTAATTCATAAGATATGTATTATTTCATTATTATTTATTGTTAAGTCAAGTTAATTTACATTTATTAGATCTACGATGATACGTTGTTGACATTTTCATTTTATTTTCAACATACATACATACATATCTGTCACGCCTGTCTCCCATTAGGGTAGGCAGAAACAATGGAACGCCAAATGCTTCCAGATTTATCAATCTTATTTATCTTGTCATTTAATTTTCTTAATTTTAAATTACTGTTTGCATGTCTACATACAAATATTTATATGTAAATTAAATAGCAGCCAAAAATAAATCCACATGGTTATGTCAATATAATCCATCTTGCTATTTAAAAGCAAATAAATCGAATATTTTTCGCTTTAAACCATTGCCTTGCTCACTCATTCATTCATTCATTCATTCATTCATTATGCAAATCTATCGTTCTACAATTGGATTATATTTTTTATAATTAGAATAAAAATAAATACTTTCATCATTGTAGCCCCTGATGAGGTAGCCAGAGATTTTTTTTATAATCAGGTGAAAATAGAAACTTCACGTATTGGTATACGCTGGAGGGGTACCAGTGAATAATGATAGGTGAGGATGAAGGTAGGTCAGGAGGCCTGTCACGATGAATTCATCAGGAATAGGTCATGATGGTTTCCAGGTTGGTCCACGTGAAGATGAACCTAAAAAAGTATAAAAGTACCATCACATCAGCCTTTAACTGTCCACAGCTGAACATAAGCCTCCCCTTGGGGGGTTATGCCAGTAGTTGCCATACTTGGCAGGCGGATTGGCAACCGCAGTCAGACTTTAGAGATGTTTTAAAAGAGACACTCTATAAAGTATAAAAATATATTGCTGTTTTATTGATTTTATCACATACCTGAACACTCTTAATGTCTTCCTTCCACTGTGATAATAGAAGACATATTGATCCGTCGAACTGAACATGGTTATTATGGAGAAAACGCCTTCAGCCGCTCTCGATATCAGCTGCTGGACCGAAGTTCCCCGCTTTAGCTCTATGAGGTCGAGCCCTCCTCTAGAAGGTGCGCAGAGACCTATTTTCCCATCTCTGGTGCAAGCTCCATTCCAGCGTGGTACAAATCTAAGATAAGGTTAAACATAAGTTCATAATGTGTTACGGTGTTGTATGTTAAAGGTAGCGTGCTCAATGCTCGGCTTTACTTTTAGTTTCACATAAATATACCATAAGTATGTCTCACTGCTAGCGACATAAGGTACCAAGGACGTCCATGTCTACGTGGTTCCCCGTGGAAACCATCGTGCTGAATTCCAGGTGTTATCTTAACGATGAGCTAACTGATCTGCCTTTTCATTCTCACCTATCAATTCTCTCTGGTGCCGTGCCAGCGTATACGCGATATGAAAGGAAGATGAGCATATTTTGTGATGTTGCCACATTCACAAAAGAAAATGTAATGAATATCCCTTTTAGTCAGTCAATTTATTCTTACGGCTGATTTGTTAGTTTGTCTGTTTATTCTTATGGTTAGCTGACCATACTTACCTAACAAGTCGTTTCGTCTTGATATCCAGTATTCCTGCTTTATCGTTGCCGACGACAGCTACCCAGAGCGGTTTATGGGGCAGCGCCTGAATTGACTGCATATCTTTGATTCCGGTGTTTTTTATTGGTATTCTGTAAATAATAATTGATTTTGCTTTTGTTAAAGCTTTTAAGAGTTTAGTTTAGTTTTTAGTTCTTACTAGACTATTGTTGCTAATGTGAGAATGTCGTCCTTTAGTGTCATAAGTTTCTGGGCCATCTGAACACATGAAGGTCTCTGACACGGTTTACCGGACGACGGTTTTACGTACTCTATGAAGCAAGGGACAATAATTTTTAAATGGTCCAACTATGTATATGAATATTCAATGTTTGAGAGTCAGTCTTGGGATTTCCGGACCGCAGTAAAGCTTTGTTGGACTGTTAGATCCTGCTATGAACAGCATACGTAGGACTGAACCGTGTATTTAGAAACCTTTAAGAGAGTACAAATTGGATAAACTCTTGATTTTTAATCAGTTTTAAAAAACAAACAAGTTTCAACACTTCTGATTTGTTTATTCAAAAATGTACTCTGGTAGCGATCAGATCTGAATAATGATAAAATATTAATATGAAATTTTGGATATTGATGGTAAAAATTTATTTTAGAAAATCAAACACAAAATAATAGCAGATTTAGATTTCTACAGTTCATAAAGTTACAAATAATTAAATAAATGTATATTGGACCGATTGTCTTCCACTGTCGATGTAATTGAGTTCAAACGTCCCAAACAAAATCAAAAACTCAATTATACTTTTTTCAAACCAAATCACTGTAATAATATTACGAACGCGTTCCGCCAACTTTGTCTTTTCATGGCGCTCGAATTGCAACCATATTTAATAAACTTTTATTTATTTTATGGATTCAAGCTCATACACATTACAATAATTTAAACTTATGCAGTTTAAAGGCGGGAGTCGTAGTACTACGATTTATCTCGACTATAGCTTAAAGGTGGGAGTCGTAATACTACGATTTATCTTGATTGTAGCTTAAAGGTGGGAGTTGTAGTATTACGATTTATCTCGACTATAGCTTAAAGGTGGGAGTTGTAGTAGTTCGAGTTATCTCGACTGTAGTTTAACTAGTTAACTGTGATTGACGAATATACTCGTCATGGAGAAGTGACAAAACCGCCGCGTTACCTAGCATACTTCTGTCAAGATCCCCAGCCTTGAATGTGTTAATTATAAATAGTCTCTTAATTCACTACATCGAGGCAGCGTACCCAAACCACTGGCAGCTTTAACTCTTTGGATTGCTAAACTTATTTATGGATTTATTTAACTTACTAGCGCTTACATACATCAACGTAGATAACAATTAATGTATTTATAATTAACAGCATTGACATTGAACTGGGGGAATTGAGTGGCTGAGCTCCTAGAGGTACTACATAAAAGCAGGTCTAGAAGAGGACCGGGGGCTAAAAGGGCGGGGCGCCCATTTAGTTCCCAGTCCTTTTCTATTTTATAGGATCAGTAGATTCGAATCAAATTCGACGTTGATTTGGAGTAAACAGCAAATGCTCAATTTTTTTTTAGAGAGGAAGAGGTATAAAATTCCCGGAGCTATTTTTTTTAATAGGTGATAATGGAATGGTAACCCCGCCTGCGCTATGGGTCTACGCTGGCGGGACACCAGTAAGCTATGATAGGTGACAATGAAAGGTATTAACCCATCGTGACGAATTCCACTAGAATTAACCACGATGGTTTCCAGGCAGAACCACGTGGAGGTTGGCCTGATAGAGTGTATTAATGGGTTAGTTTGACTCCATTACTAACAATTCAGAGCTATTAGGTCATCTAAGATCCGCCCTGAAATGTACTTCACAGATAGCTGTGCTGTTTAGTTCGAATCCTGAGTGACAAATACTCTCTATAGCATCATTCAATCTATTCGGAGAACTCACGAAGGTGAATGAGTGAAGTCTAAAGGCTTAGCATAATAAATGGTATGTTCATACGATCATCGACCGAGCCAATTCAAGAAAAGGTGTGTCCTGATATTTTTTTATTAAAAAACTTTTTGTTTGTAGATTTTAGAAGTATAAAAACTATAGAAATGGATCACTTCTAGATGGCATTGCAAAACTTCTGCTTAAAACTAACTTAAAATACTGATATCAGATTTTAAGTTAGACCTTCAGGAATACTACTGCTTGGTATTGCAAAATATAACTTATACCAGAATTTAAGATGGTTTAACTTAAATTCAAGGGGGGAGGAAAGGGATTGTCAGTAATGGAGACTAAAAATCCCATTGCTAGGAATATACCCAAACAGGTCGACCTCCTCGTGGTTCCCCCTGGAAACTATCATGGTTAATTCCTGTTGAATTCATCATGATGGGCTAACTGGCCTGTTTTCATTCTCATCGATCACCCATCACTGGTGCTCCGCCAGCCTATCCCGTTAGCGCAGGCGCAGGTTACCATTCCATTTTCATCCACCAAAAAAAAACTTAAATTCAGGAATACTACGAAAACCACATCCAATTTGATGTAGTAGTTTTTGCATGATTTTAGCACAACAATTCTAAATTTTATTGTTGTGTTTTATCTATTTATTTATGTGCTTTTGTGCATTTACTTAAGTAAGGTGTGTACTAAGCTGTATAAGTTACTATGGTTTTTTAACTATCCCACGGGATCTCTTTAATTTTCCATAATTTCCATAAAAGTACCTAAAATGTTTACCGGACGTGTAAGGTGGATATGTACCACTATGCAAAAATTCATTTAAATCGGTCCAACAGATTCGGAGATTACGATATATTGTACGGGACAAACAGACAAACAGAGAAATAAAAATTTGAACTTTTATTTCACTTCTAACATCCCCATGACTCGGTTTTTAGCGTTTTTTTTTTTCAAACATTCGACCTCCTTAGCTTTATTGTATGTATAGATAAGATAAAATTGTTAAGTACAGTTTGTAAGAATTACGAAAGAGATTTATCGAACAAGAATGAATGGAAATGTCGGTAGGGGCCGCTCTAGACGGACGTATGTCGACCAAATAGGCGACGTGCTGAAGAAGGGCCAAATTAAAAGTACCCGTAACCGGCGAAAGTGTATGAAAAGATTGATGAATGTGGAGGAAGCGAAAGAGGTTTGTTTGAATCGAAGCATTTGGCGTTCCATTGTTTCTGCCTACCCTAATGGGAGACGGGCGTGACAGATATGTATATATGTATGTACAGTTTGTACCTACATTAAATTGTACGTATATAGTTATAAAAAAATTAACGCACACTTTTTATTTTTATTGTACTTTATATTATTCTCAATTTCGTGTATAATATAGTATATGTATATATGGTAGTTAGTTATTTATATATATTTATTCAATTTGTATATCAATAATTAGTAACCGCATTCGAGTATTCTGACACTTCCCTATGGTTGACTGGGAGAGAATGCTTTTAGCATTAATATATATACTAATGAATAAATAAATAAAAATAAAAATAAAAAAATAGTTAGATACAATTTGTACAGTAAATTCCTAGTCTGGCTTTAATATATATTAAAGATAAAAGTATCTGCGAATATCAAGCGCTTAAGGTGATTTACTAACGAAGTAAACTATATAGGACATGTGCTCTTAATATTTATTAACTTCTGCCGGTAACTTTACACGCGTGCATTTTGATAGTACTACTTCTAAATGGCCTATTAAGATATACCACGTTTTATGTTAAATCTTTAGAAACAAAAGTGGGAAAATTGCACTCGATTTGGTGCAATTTTTTTTTATTGGATTAAAATGGAATAGTAACTCCGCCTGCGCTAACGGGATACGCTGGCGGAGCACCAGTGAAGGGTGATAGATGAGGATGAAAACAGGCCAGTTAGCCCATCATGATGAACTCATCAGGAATTAATCGTGATAATCTCCAGGGGGGACCGCGAAGAGGTCGAAATTTAGTGCAATTGTTCTTGCTTGATTCCTACCGAAATAAACATACAGACAAACTAAAAAAAAACTATTGTTATGGCTTTTTTAAGTACCTACATATATTTTTTTCTTAAACATCTCTAGACATCATCTAGTTAAGTAAGTTTTATTACCAGAGGGAGACTTTGTACAAAAGTCGATTGCTTGGGTACCTCTGTCCCATTCGTGTTTCTACCGTTAAGCAGTTGTGTTTGCATGGCTGTGTTTCGGTTTGAAGGGTGGGGTATGGCGTGAATTTACTGGGTACAGAGGCATAACACCTGAGTCCTCAGGAATGGCAACGCATGGGGGGTATCATGGGCGAAACGCTATACTGTGTTATGTCCATGGTACTGCTCATGTTTATAGGTGACTGTTACCACTTTCCATCAGGTGGGCCGTCAGCTTGTTTGCCATTCTAAGTTGTATAAAAAATATATAAATATAAGAAATAATATATGTATTATTTTAAAGAAAATAGACATTCTGATTTTGATAGGACCGTGTGATCCCGGCACAGAATAGGTCACCCCCTTCTATCCCGTAAGTGTCGTAAGAGGCAACTAAATAAACTAAGATAAAAGCAAAATTTTTTTTTGTTACTTTTTATTTTTCTTTATTTTTACCTGTTATTATTGTTGTTGGTAATAACAACTAACTATCTATCTAAATACGTGTAATAAACCTGTCTGTGGCAAATTTAATCTTATGTGGTAAGACAGTAAGTATATAGTAAAGTAATCGTGTACCTGTGCAGTCTCGCCCCAGTTCTAGCATGGAATATGTGCAGGCAGTCTCTAGAGGACTTATCCACACCAGGAGCGGCGATGTGATGCTCGTCGGCGGAAACCACGGCAGCCCTGTATCCGGTACCTCGTACTTCGTACTCAGCTGTGTATATCTTGTCCCCATCTGAAGAAGTAACAAGCAACAGTATAGAGACTTGGTATTTTTTTTTTATTTTTTGAAAGATTTTTTATTTATACCACTAAGGTGGCAAACAAGCATACGGTTACCCTAGCCTATGAACGCCTGCAATACCATGGGTATTACGCGTGCGTTGGCAACCAAAATGGCACGACAAGTTTGTTTTTAAAGGTTGATAATAGAATTGCAACGCCACCTGCCTTAATGGTATGTAGAACGCTGACGATGAGGACGAAAATGCAAGTCAGTTAGTCTTTCATGACGAATTCATCTGGAACCATGATGATTTTCAGGGGGACCGCAAGGAGGTTGTTACCATCAATGAGGTTGCTACACCAATGAAGACGTCATACCTTTATACTAAAATCGCGGCTACGAGTTCTTATATATATATATATAAATACAATGGCAATAAATTAGGGGTGGGTGACTTGACTACACCAAAAATCTACTGTATACCGACGAAACCCTGTGCGATCTACCAATTACATACTTCTTGAAATCACAAATGAAACGACATAGTTCAGTACACAACTATGTAGTGTTATAATAATAATAACAACTTTATTTGCAATGATTTTTGGTATAAAACATTTGATCTTATAATTTAAAAGTACCTTACAAAATCTATTTAGGTCAAGCGTACGAATATTGAAAACAAAAATTACAATAATTTAATTTTAAATTTTTTTGTAGCATTTATACATTACGAAATTATATAATAATGAAATAACATTAATTAAAATATTAAGGGATGCAATACAATTTAATTTATTCAGTTTACTAGTTTAAATAGTAAAAGTGTTGTGGTATTGTTTATTTTATTAAGAGGGAAAACATAAAATTGAAAATTATTCTTAGTAACTACTTATTTATGTTAGTGTGAGCATTGCGTCTGAGCATCTTTCGTTCGATTAGTAAAACATTACATCTTTTGCCTTGCCACCATCGACTGGACTAATAGTCGCGATCGACTGGTTCTGCTCCCTTGTTATATAACATATATACTAATATTATAAAGCTGAAGAGTTTGTTTGTTTGTTTGAACGCGCTAATCTCAGGAACTACTGGTTCAAATTGTAAAATTCTTTGTATGTTGGATAGTCCATTTACAAAGAAACGCTTTAGGCTACATAACATCACGCTGCGACCAATAGGAGCGAAGCATCGGTGAAAAATGTTGCAAAAACAGGGAAAATTATTCATATTTGAGGGCTTCCGTTGCGTGCGCTGCGTAAACGGTTTTTTTTTAATGGATGATAATGGAATGATGACCCCGCCTGTGCTATCGGTATACACTGGCGGGGCACAACTAAGGGATAAGATGAAGTAAGGGTGAAGATGAAAAAGCAGGTCAGTTAGCCCATCGTGACGAATTTAACAATAAATCAGTCACGATGGTTTCCAGGGGGAACCGCGTGGATGTCGACCTGGTAGGGTATATTGATAGCAAGTGGAACTAACCTTCCCATTACTAACAATCCCTTCCCCCCCTGCGTAAATGGTTCAAGTTACCCAAAAAATATGTATGAAAGAATTATTCTTCTTTAAATAATCTAAAAAATAAAAAAATGTCCGCGACAGCTTATGTCTATCTTTTAAGATTGACTATTAACAGAAATTGTCGCGGACGAAGTCACGGGCAATAGCTAGTAAATTATGTAATTTGTGTACCGGCAATGAATTTTATTCTGCTATCTCCTATTTTTAATTCCTGCTGAAATTCTCTTGTGAATTTCGAAACATAACACATTTTAATGTTTAACTGATCAATGGCTGGCGTACGTGTTAAATTTTAACAAAATTGGTAATTATTTCTGCTTACCTTACGCAATGGGAGTTGAATGTAATGTATGGATATGTATGAAATTAGTATGTTTTATTATATTGATACTACAATAAACAACATACAAAAAAATAAACTTATTTGACAGTAAAAAGCCATAAAAATTTTATAAGTGTGTTTTATATATATATTGGTAGGTATGTACTTATATATTTTGTATAGGTATTTATTTACACATACATACACACATATATTTTTATATAAATATGTGTGTGTGTGTAAGTGACCCATGGAACTAAAACATGGTCTTACACACAATCGCCCATATGCAAAAGCTTTAAATTACCAAGCTATGGAGAGGGCTATGTTCGGAGTTTCCTTGCGTGACAGAATCTGAAATGAGGGTATCCGCTAAAGGACCAAAGGCACCGACACAGCCCAAAAGATAAGCAAGTTGAAGTGACAAAGTACTGGTCACATAGCTCGAACAACCGACAACCGATGGGGAAGAAAGGTTCTTGAGTGGCGACCCCGTACGGAGTCCGTAGACACATAAATACTTACCAGGTATTGTTCTAGCCACAATTTGAGCAATAGCAACATTTTCGACATTATCAGCGGAGACTTGCATCGATATTGTTATGAATTTCGTGCCGTCTTCTAACAGAAGGACCTGTTTCACGCCTTTTTGTTCTTCTTTGAATATCACCTGGAAATTGATATTAATCTATCATTCAGTCAGTTAGTTTGTTAATTTATTAAATGGAATCAGCTAAATGAATACCCATTACTATATCAAACTAAAGTGACTTAAATCGGTGACTATCGTCAAGAAAAGAGAGGAAAAGAAGAGTGAGAAGTAGTGAAATAAAACATGTATCGACAATATTGGCAGGTATCTGATCTTACAAATTAATAGCCATAGTCTAGTGTCTCAAAGTTAGTTGTTGTAATGTTTCAAACTCGTCTTGGATAGCGTGAAAATAGTAGGCTGAATAATACTTTTCTCTTACGAAAAAAGATCTTTGGTCTTCAGTAGGACCTTAAAGGAATATTCTGTGTCTGATAACAATGAGTTGGGGCATCACAGCCAACATGAAGTAGAAATTTTAAAGAACATTTTTGGTATTGCCTACCTATAAACCGAACTTTTATTCCATAACACTGTGGTTACTCACGAGCAGTAATTAATTAATCCTTTAGATTTTTTGAAAATCTATTTCTTCTGCTATTAAAAACCTTACCTGTTTCTCAGGCGTATCCCAAATAACCACATTTCCGGATTCAGCTGTGATAACGTTATCACCAGTGGGTGTTATCACTGCATGGGTCACAATTGCCCCTAATGGTGCGTCAGCCAATTGTGCTAACAGCCTACCAGTACTGGTATCCCATAGGCCCCAACAGCTCCGGGTTACTGTAACTGCTAAGGGCTTGTCTCGGGCCAAACTAGAAATAAAACCAATTAGATGAATAGTGGTTTACTAGAGAAAGGGTTTGTATATAAATTTGTAGATAACACTTCTTGGTGTTAAGTCGCTCTCTACATTGTCTACATTTGGTTAACTACGAGAAATAAATAAGTCGTCTCTAAAGGTACCTTTCTTCCACTGGTTTACCTGATTGAGTCAATTGGCAATTCCTGGCGATCGATTTTGTGTACTTGCTCAAAAATATTATCAATGTTCCATATCTTGACAGTTCTGTCGATTGATGAGGTGATAACATTATTCCACGTGCCAACAGTCAATGGCTCCAGCTGGACGATCCTTCCAAAATGGGCATCCAGCACTTTGATCAGCTTTGTGGTCTCCAGACTCCAAACGTATAGATTCTTTCTGAAAATAGCAAGACTTTAAAAAATCTCACGACTATAAACTTTTATGAGATGATCAGAGGTACTTGTCGACTATTGCCGTTGCGGTGAACATAATACTCAATCTTTGGAGTCCTTTAATCATAATTAAGTGGGATGTCTGAACATATTTGTCCATTTGCTGAGTAATAACTCAGCGTCATCTAATACCAACGCAAGCAGAGCTTATACTAAATAACAGATAAAATACTTAATTTTCTCTAAGTTTTCTTTATTGTAAACGAAAGCCTCCGAAATATTTTAACGATCAAGTATTACAATATACATTTTTAGACTTTTGCGTTGCATGTTTTATGTTTTACTGGGAATTAATTCCCATCGAATTTAATTACATGCCGTGTGCTCCCAAAATAGAATGAAGCACTCCTTCCTTGCCTATGAGTGTCATAAGAAGCGACTAACTGAACTTAATGGTCAAGGGATGAGCAGCAGCGTCCCTCTTTAAACATCAACAAAGCCTAATTGCGGTTGCCAACCTGGCGGCCAAGCGTGATAACTTCTGACAAAACCTCGCAATACGGTTCAGCAGAGACAGTTAACGGCTAATAATGATGGTGAAAATTAATTAAATAATTTTAATAGGAATTAAGGCAATCATTACCGGTGTAACCTGTTCGAAAGGTCCAAATAATTCAGGTAAATTATCAAAGTTTATCTAAATGGATAAATTAATTCTGGTCTCTTATAAAACCTTAATATACATTTCAATAATTTAGAGGTTTAGGTGTTTTATTTGATTTTAGGACCTTCAGACAGTAATTACGTGTTCTTCGAAATACTTGACACAGATATAGTATGACACAGTGAGAAGCTTTCGAAGAATCTTTTTTAATAAGTGAAAACGAAATAATAACTCCGCCTGCACTATTGGTATACGGTTGCGAAGAATGAAAGGATTTAGAGATGAGAAATGGTAGATTGACGATAGATTAAGTCAGGTATTGTAACCAGAAATTAATTATAATGATTTCCAAATAGGGCTGGATGGAGATCGAGCTGATAGGGTATTATAAGCTATGGCATCACTAATCCTTATTACTTACAATAAACTAGGTGTATACAATATATTTGCCGTGTGGTCCCGGCATAGAATGGGCCACCTTTTCTTTCTGTCAGCCAAGCGTACTGCTACTGGCAAAACCCACCAAGGGGGAGGCTTATGTTCAGCAGTGGACAGTTAAAGGCTGGTATGATGATGATATTGTCCATGATAATATTGCGCAAAATCTTTTAAAAGTTAACGTGTTAAAAACAAATGCTGATTAACTTCAAAATGAAATTATGATAGCCATATAAATGTGACCTACAAAAAACCATTGCTTAAATGTAACTTATCTTTATGTGTTTAAGCTATCAGATACCATAATATAGGTTACCTACCATGACAGCTTTATTTTTTTGAAATTTCGGAACGAACAAAACAAGTAATTGATGTTAAAATAAATTTCGATAATTCTTTTTAAAACCCTTGCATCGGCTCGATGACGATTAAAAGACTGTTTAATTGCTGTGAAGCCAAAGCTATTGGAAATTTTATATTATTTACATTATGTGTGTTGTAAATATATAATTTTTGTTGTAAATTAAAATATTTCAAACTAACTGTATCCCGCGGCTTTGCCCGTGTAATTCAAGATACAAATTCCTCTACCATTGGTATATGTGTGACTACAAACACTCGAAGATTGAGTTATTATTAGCAAAAGTTCTATAATCTTCCATATTAGCTATCAATCTCTGACTACCATTTCGTTCATCCACGATTTGCGACACATCTTTCACCTCTAACCGTGGAATCAAATTCGGTGATTCATTAATTTGTTTATGTCTTTATTTCACACCAAAATAATCAGGGTAGAATAGAATAGGTCACCTAGCTTTTTCCGTGGGTGGCGTAAGAGGCGATTAAGGGGACTTAACGGTCGAGGGGTGGGCAGCAGTGTCCCTCGGGAGGAAAGGGATTGTTAGTCATGGGGTCTAACAGCTCCAATGCTAGCAATGTTACTAATCAGGTCGACCTCCACGTGGTTCCCCCTGGAAACCATCGTGGTTATTTCTCGTGGAATTCTTCACGATGGGCTAACTGACCTGCTTTCATCGTCATCTATCATCACTCACTGGTGCCTCGCCAACGTATATCGTTAGCGCAGGTGGGGTTACTATTGCATTATCACCCATTAAAAAAAAAGCAGTGTTCCTCTTTAAACATCACTAAAATCTATGGTTGCAGAACCGGCTACCAAGCGTGACAATCACTGACAAAACCGTCTTTTAAGGAGGAGGCCTATGTTCAATAGTGGAAAGTTATTGGCTGATATAGTATGATATGTGAAACTTTACCTGACTCCAGCGACTGCGTACGTATTGTTATTGCTTATCATGAACGAGTTAGATAAAGTCATTTTGGTAGATATATTCCGGATCGTGTGAGGCAGTTTTAGTACGATGCCTTCGAAACGCAGATCTTTTTCCTGGACGTCATCTTGTTTTTCTTCCTGTAAACAATATTAAGATGGGACATGACAGTAAATTCAAATTTGAATCGTCTTTTTTTTAAATAGACTTGTTTGTTTAGAAACTCAACAATTGCTCTTTTAAATCTCTGTTAACATTATGTGTATTTATTTTAATTTAAATAAAGAGTATGCTACCACAGTGTTCAGGACTGGTATTGCATGAGGGGACTATGGGAGTCACAGTAGCGGGCAAAAAATTTATAACTATATATATTCTTTGACTAGCTTTTTGCTTTCTACTTTGTATGCGCAGATTTCAGATGAAATAGGCCACTTTTATATGGCCTATTTACTACTGCCGTGTGATCCTTTCACAGAATGGCTTTTTTATCCCATGGGTGACGTAAAAGGCGACTAGGAGAAAAATCGAAGGATGGGCAGCAACGCATCTCTTATAAACATCACTAAAGCCGAACTGCGGTTGCCAACCTACCTGCCAAGTATGGTACCTACTGGTAAACCTTCCCCCCTCCCCCTGTGGGTGAGGCCTATGCTCAACAGTGGACAGTTAATAGTTAATATGATATGATGTTGAGTACAAGAAAAAAAAATAATAAAACATAGTACATTACTGCAGCGGCCAGCAACTGAGGCATTGATGGACGAACGTACAAATGTGGGCCGAGGTGTAACCGAGGCACACATACGTGAGTTCATCAATGCCTAGTTGTGGCCAAGGCTTGCTTTTCTCAAACAATGCGCGGAAATCAAAAACACAATTTTACTTTTTAAATTCAATGACGAATAACGAACAATAATAATTTTTCACGCGCCATAATGTTCCTTTGTTTTCTATTTATTATATAAGTTCGAAATTTAAATAAAATCTTTGATTAGTTACCTCCTTGGTAGCCATGTTTCGAAGTAAAAGGTCATTCCATTTTTAAATTACAGGACAGATATGAGTTTACATAGTAATTTATCTGGCCGCAAAACACGACAGATATGGATTTTCATACAACTTTTGCCGGCCGCTGCCCGCATGTATCTTGGCCAGTACGGCAATTTTGATTTATCTCAAAGAAGATTGTCAAAGTAATGCTCACATTTCCAAGCATGTTTGAGAAAAAACTATTTTGCTTGCATACACATATATTAAATAATACATTAAACTACTGTACAAACCATATCATCTTCTTTCTTGTCGTCTTCTTCTTCCTTTTTCTTTTTGGCCTCTGTTTCGTGTTTTTCCCTCGATATCACGTTATCGAAGTCCCAAACTACAAAGCTATAAGTAGTTGTGGCTAAAAAAACATGAACATGAATGTAATTTCAGAATCGGGGACATTCGACTAACGTCACTTTGCTGAACTAAACTATTCAAGTAAACTAAGTAAATCCTACAAATATTAAAGTTCGTAAAGATAGTTAATGTTAAACTTTCGCGTTGTTTTTTCTTCTTTAATGGCATTCGCTCCAACATTAGGGAATTTTGTCAAAAATAAAACAAGGAAACGATAATAATAATACAAATACCTATCCCAAGCGTATTTGGAAAGGATAAGATTTAAGTCTAAGATATTTATAGTAGCTAAAGTTCTATCCTACATATCCTATAAATGATATTTATAGGACATGTACATATGAGAATGCTTATTGATATTTAAGAGAAGCAACTGGTGTATCTATAAATGTTTTCATATTACAAAATTTTCATATTGTTATATATATTAAGCTTTTTTAAATTGGAGTCCACGCACCGCTTAAGGGTCCGTAGCATGTGTATCAGAGGTCCGCAGTAGGTTAGTTAACTGTAAAAATATTTGTTAAGAAATTTTATTTTTTTTAATTCTATATTATTCTACTATTTACCTGCAATCGCGAAAACAGGCTTTCTAGACAAGTGGCAAGCGAATTCGTCGATGGAATCGACATCGCTAGCGAGTCCGTGAGACAGAATGAGATAGCAACGCCGGATGACTCATTCCAACTCACGGACTCGCTAGCGATGTCGATTCCATCGATGAATTCGCTTGGCATTTGTCTAGAGGCCCTATTCCATTTCACTATTAGAACAGCATGTAGATAAACTATTCACTTTACCTAGCAACATGCGGTCCTTTTTTCCTCTTTTTAGCTGCAACATCGCCTCGGCCGTATCCGTTTCCTTGTGATTGAGCTCTTGAGCTTTCACCCAGCAAGACTCTTCTTCGTTTAACTCAAATATTGTTATCTATTGGAGAGGTAAAGGGATTTTTTTTATAATCTCAATATTAACTAAAGGGAGACTTTGTATAAATGTCGTTTGATTGGGTGCCTCTGTTCCATTCGTGTTTCTACCGTGAAGCAGTTGTCTTCGCATGACTGTGTTTCGGTTTGAAGGGTGTAATTATGGCAGTGAATTTACAGGGTACAGGGGCATAACATCTTAGTCCTTAGAAATAGTAACGTATGGGGGGTATCATGGCCGAAACAGTATACTCTGTTATGTCCATGGTACTGCTCGTGTCTATAGGCGACGGTTACCACTTTCCATCAGGTGTGCCGTCAGCTTGATTACCATTCTAAGTTGTATAAAAAAAAAAGATGATGACTAGCTACTATTGTTGTAATGAGTTCATGAAGTGACCATGGACATTTTTTTAACCTGAATTTGTTTGAAAGCTCTCGGACGCCTTTAGGCAGTAGGTACACAGCTGTAAAGCTTGCATAGAGAAAGAGTCTGACATAAAGCAAGACTTGTGAAGTGGCGTCAAAAGTGACAAGGAGTTGTTAGAACGAGAGTTAAGATTATGAGAGTTATTTCATAATATACTACTAATATTTATGGCAAAGTTTGTGAAGATAGATCAAGACAGGTATTTGTTACTCTTTTGCACAAAAACTAATAAACGTATTTGAATTAAATTTAACTTACTTAGAATGGACTAGTCACTAAGAAACACTAGTACGGTAAACAAATAACCTGGTATCCCCTTTCTGGGTCACTGGTGTAGATTCTCGTCCAATTCTTGTTTAAAGCCATCGCCCCTCTGCATCGGAGCGGCTTCATCCATGCACCAGCTTTGCAGAAGTGTACCAATAGTCTATCATCATCAAGATCGCCACTCCACTTTACGAGAACAAAGTTCTCCAGATCCCGAAATTCCATTGCTGTAATAAATAAATGCTTAAGACTACCATCCTCATTATTATATCAGCCGTTAACTGTCCTCTGTTTAACATAGGCCTCTCCAATAAAGAAAGTAGAAGGAGGGAGAAGCTTCCTTCTTCTAGTAGTTGCCACACTTGGCAGACGGTTTGGCAACCGCAGTTAGGCTTTCGGTGATGTTTTAAAAAGGACTGACCATCCCTCTACCATTAGGTACCGTTAGTTGTCTCTTATGATATTTACTAGACAAGACCAAATAACTACATAAGCAGTATCAGTCCTTAACCTATAAAATTATTCCACTATTACTACGAGTACAAATGGGGAAGTTTGTGAGCATGGATGGATATTTGTTACTCTTTTAAGCAAAAACTATTGAACGGATTCGGATGAAATTTACCATTTCATTTACACCCATAAAAAAAGTTCTCAGGAATCATCATCATATTGTAAGCCTTCCCCTATTGGGGAGTTTTGCCAGTAGTTGCCACGCTTGGCAAGCAGGTTGGCAACCGCAGTTAGGGTTTGGTGATGCTTAAAGAGGGACACTGCCGTCCATGCCCTGGATGCCTTGCCTCGACTAAGTTCTTTTAGTCGTTTCTTATTATGGGAAAAGAAAGGAAAGAATAGAAATTATTAACCAGCAGTTACTACATTCGATTGGCTTCTCTTTTTTATACCACAAAGGTGGCCAACAAGCATACAGCTCGTCTGATGATAAACGGTCACTGTAACCTATTGCTATTGGACGTCTTAAAAAAATTAAAGACCACTGTCCAGTAATGGGAAGCGAATGAGTTATAACGTGCGTGTTCTTACAGAGAATCTCCCAGTTGACGTCATCATATGGCGTAGAATCTGGAGCTGGTTGGGTTTGCTCGTGTTCTCCCCTCATGGAATACTGTACCCATGAGCGCGGGCCATAGATGAACATGTGATGATTCAGCACATAGACCCCGCGGACTGTTTCACCTGAAATTATAGAAAATACATGGGGTGTCTCTATCGCACTTTGTTTTCTATTAATTTATAAATAATAATGGAATGGTAACCTAGCCTGCGCTATTGGGTTACATTAGCGGGGTACCAATGAAGTATGATAGAAGAGAGTGAAGTCAGGTCAGTTGGCCCATCATGGTGAATTAATCAAGAATTAACCACAATGGTTTCCAGGGAGCATGGAAATCGAATTGATAGGCAGAGCAATATACTCTACCTATCAGGATATGAACAATCCCTTCTACGTTTCTCATTGCACTTCTGGTGTCGGCTACGCTGTTTTGGTCTGAAGATTGAGATTATAATGAATCCATTAACAATGTACTATATGAGGAGAATATTAACCTGTTAAGTTTTTTTTATATACAACTTAGAATGGCAAACAAGCTAATGGCCCACCTGATGGAAAGTGGTAACCGTTGCCTATATACATGAGCAGTACCATGGACATAACAGAGTATACTGTTTCGCCCATGATACCCCGCATATATTGTCATTCCTGAGGACTCAGGTGTTATTCTTCTGTACCCTGTAAACCCATCCTTCAAACCGAAACACAGCCATGCAAACACAAGTGCTTCACGGTTGAAACACGAATGAGACAGAGGTACGCAAGCAAACGACTTTTGTACAAAGTCTCCCTCTGGTTTAGAATAGGATTTAGTTTCCTTTATTTATTTAAAAATACATGATGTAACTTATTAATTATAATCATAAAATAAACATAAAATGCATATATTTGTAAATGATGCATTATAACAAAAATCATACATTTAATTTTGGGATTCGTAATTGAAGTGACGACCTCAAATGCATTGTAGAGACTCAGTGCTTGCAGGAGGCTCAAGCCGTTCCTTACGGCAGTCTATGAGGGAGGCAGTCCTCCCTCATAGAGGAGGGCGGAGGGATTCAGTAATGAATAGTAAAAGGCTGGTTGATGATGACAATGACGAATGCTTTAAACCTTTGTACACTGTATATGAATGTGGAAGTACATTGAATAAATATAATTAAACAATACCTTCGTCAAGAGGATTATCGATCGTAATGTATTCGCTTGTCAGCATGTTGAGCAGCATTGACTGAAATTAATAAATTTATTACGGCAGCCGAACAGCAAGTGTATTTATTAATAAGCAATTTCTGATTGAAATACGCTAAAATTGTTGATTTTCAAGTATTCATACGTTATTATTAATGCTTTATTAGTGTACAAGTATACAACTTGCTATCGCGGCTTTACCCGCGTTAATTAGTATATAAGGTATTCTATGAGCTAAATTAGGATATAAGCCACATGTGTACTAAATTTCATTTAAATCCGTTTAGTAGTTTTTACGTGACAAATAAATTCATTCATCGTTACAAACATTTATAATATTAATGATAAGAACTTATGCAGTTAAGGAATATACGAGGTCTGTCCGGAAAGTTCGTATAAAAGTGTTCTGGAATGCGAGAAAGAGGAGTGGGGAGGCCAGGTAAGCGCAGGACCCCTTCCTTATGTCCCTAACAATGCTTCAGTTCTGGTCTGACCGCCGTGCGGTGCGAACTGGCTTGTCACGCCATCTGTGAAGTTACCTCTTAACGAAACCCCGTCGGCATGGAGCCCGCTTCCGTTGAAGAGCAGCGCGTCGTAATCAAGTTTCTCTCGAAACTCGGCAAGAATGGCCGTGAAAGCAAAGAGTGGAAGACATCCGGGGAACCACGAACAAAAAAATCAAGAAAATCCCGCTCAAATGTCAAGACAATGTTGATTGTTTTTTTCGATGTTCGGGGGATTGTCCATCAAGAATTCGTCCCTCCAGGCCAGACAGTTGATGGAAAATTCTACGTCGATGTGCTCAGACGCCTCAAAGCTCGTGTGGCACGAGTTCGTCCAGAATTGGCGCGAGAGGGGCGTTGGATTCTTCACCACGACAATGCCCCTGCCCACACCTCTCTTGTTGTCCGTGAGTTTTTGAGTAAAAATTCCATTACGGTGACCGAACACCCCCCTATTCGCCGGATTTGGCCCCGTGTGACTTCTTCTTGTTCCCAAAAACCAAATTGGTACTTCGGGGGCGGCATTTGGGGGACATAAATGAGATAAAAAAAGCTACGACGGGGCAGCTGAGAAACCTACAACCAGAGGACTTTCAAGGAGCCTTCTCACAGTGGAAACGGCGTTGGCACAAGTGCATTATGTCACAGGGGGAGTACTTTGAAGGGGATAAAATTGATTTACCTGAATAATTGTAAAATAAAATTTTTAAAAAACTTTTATACGTACTTTCCGGACAAACCTCGTAGTTTAACCAACTTCAAATCTGAAGGAGGTTGAATTTTTTTGTTAGTATGTAATTTGACTTGATTTTCTTTTTATATGTAACACGATATCTTCGCAAATTCTAAACCGACTGATATTAATCTATAAACAGAGGGAAAACGATTCCATAGTAACTCCGTCAAACTTTAAGTCGGTTATTTAAGTGATTTAAAAAGAGAGGAAGTTTCGCTTGTTTTTTTTTTTTGTATCTTAGTATGATATCTTCGACAATCCTGAATCTATTTCAATAAAATTATTTTATCCGACTACGCCGAAACAAAAAGAAGGGTTATTATTTTGATCGGTACGTATTTATGTGCTCATTTATTTCCTTCTCTCTTTTCATTTAAGAGTTTCCTCTTGTCGGTGCAACCAATTCTTCCTCCAGCCAGCTCTATCCTTTATCTCCCTATACGACATGACGCCTAGTGTTTCCTTTATCTGTCCCATGTAGTTAATCCTCGGTCTTCCTCTTCCTCTTTTGCCCTCTATCTTCCCTTATAACTTCTAAATTACTTCTTACACTCTATCATGACATTCGTGTTTGTATCTTATTAATTATACAATATTTCTTTCAGAACCATAAATTCATTACGAAATCCTGAAGGACTTAAATAATTCGAAACAAAGTATGCACTTACCACAGAATTATTAGTCGATGCAGCAGCCCATTTATTATCCGGGGATAGTTCTAAATTTTGCATGATCCCTTCCAACTGTGGACATAGGTCCCTGGCCAAATCTGAAGTGGACAGGTCCCAGGATATCACTCGACTCGAAATGGACACCACGTAGCGTTTGTCAGAGCTCAACCGAAATGCAAAAACTGCGAACTGGTGTCCTTCTAGCGAGTACTGTAAATAAGAGAAGGTTAAATTAACTAAATGAGTCTCTGTATGGTGAAGATTCAATGTTGAAATAACATAGCCTTTTAATCATCAGGACGGAGAAGAAGCGACTGATGGCACAAAATAGAATACAATAGATACAATAGATTTTTTTTTATAGATAGATAGATACACTTTATTGTTTCCCCCATTAGATTACAGTAGCAAACTTATTATAAATACGAACAATTACAAGAAAATATATATTTTTTGGATAACAGACTTAACATATTCGTTATTGGACCAGTATATATCTAAATATTTTCAAAATAGATATAGCTATATATTTTCAACTTCTAATTACCAAAACCTAATTGCGGTTATCAGCCCACGTGGCAACTACTGGCAAAACCCCCATTTATGGGTGAGATCCAGTGAACAGTTAATGGTTAATCATCACTAAAAATAAAAACGATCTTTTGTTTATCATCATATATGATGATGATGATCATCTAAGAAGAAAATAACGCATCATTTATATGTATGTACAATTAATAAAGTTTACCTTCAAAGGTCCTCCGGGGGTGTGTAAACAATGATGTGACGGTAATAAAGCGCAGTGATTCTTGCCTTTATCGTGACATTGTTTCAACAGAGAAGCGACTGCCGGATTGTGTGGCGCTTCTGGTAGCAGTCTGCCGACTAACTGAGGTGCAAGCATATCAGGATATGTACCGAGTATAGCACCCCCAAGACGTAAAGCATCGGCTACTAGCATTAGTTCTCTGAAAGTACATAATACTGGTAAGAGACCCGTAAAGACATTATGATCTGGGGTTTTAAAATAGTTAGACAGTTGTCTGATTCTTTCTGTGTTAATCATCCTAAATAAAGGTTTTTTTTTTTTAATAAAAAATGTAAAATATTTCCTAAACCTATTTTCACTTAATTTTTAATTAAACCTATTTGTTACCTTAGAACTTCGTCATTTATAAACCGATTTAGAAAACTCTTTGTTTTATTTAAAAGGATATATTTTCAAATTGGCCCTATACAAAAAATATCTAAATCGATTAAATAGTTAACTTTTTAAATAAAAATATGTGGTTATTTCACAATAAAAGCCGGATTTTTTGTGTATTTTAAAGAATATATTTTATTTAATCGTAACTGATGATGTTTTTCTTACGGTAATTTCTGAATTTAAATATATTTATTTATAAAAATTAAATTTAATCCAATTATATAAAAATATAAACAGTAATATTAGCTCGGAGTATTTATTGTTTTTTTTTTATTTGAATAACTATATTGATCTAACGAACATGTTTATTTTTTCATTGTATAAACTATGAACTTAAATAAACCAAATATTACCTCACAGCATCTTTGTTGACGTGTAACTTTGCATCCTCGAAATCAGCGAGCACCGCTTGCAATGGACAGCAGTTCAGTTTAGCATGCAACCATTCATAATTGAAAAGCACTTCAGCATATAGGTCCGTGAAACGCTTTGAGCGGACTAAATGGAACGGCAGCTCGCCGAACTGTAAATATCATTATAAATAAAAATAAAATACTTTAAATAAATTCACGGCTAAATTATATATATAATATATAATATAATATAAATTTCTGAATACCACACCAGTAATTGTTTACTGGTGTGGTATTCAGAAATTATTCTTTTTTTATGGGTGAAATGGAATGGTAACCCCGCCTGAGCTATCGATATGCGCTTTTTGTATGCGTGTGTGTGTGCATGTGTGTGCGCGTGTGTGTGCATGTGTCTGTGTGCATATGTCTGCGTGTGTGTGTGTGTGTGTGTGTGTGTGTGTGCATGTGTGTGCGCGTGTGTGTGCATGTGTCTGTGTGCATGTGTCTGCGTGTGTGTGTGTGTGTGTGTGTGTGTTTGTGTGTGTGTGTGTTTGTGTGTGTGTTGTGTGTGTGTGTGTGTGTGTGTGTGGTGCGTGCGTGTGCACGCGCGCGTGTATGTGTATGTGTTGTGTGTGTGTGCGTATGTGTGTGTGTGCGCGTCACGCTTTGCAGTTGGGTTGGCAACCGTAGTAAGGCTTTAGTAATGTTTAAAGACGGACGCTACTGCCCATCGCTCGACCATTAAACTCGCTTAGTCGCCTTTTACGACAGCTACGGGAAAAGAAGGGGTAGCCTATGTTATACCAAGATCACGGGGCGATCACAGCTAATGAAGGATAAACAAAGGTAAATGACAAAAATCATTAACTATTCGTAAGTGTGAACAGCAGTAAATATGGTTAAGATTACATAGTAAAGAAGAACAATGTTGCGGAGGAGTAATTACAGCGTAGCTACTAAAAACGTTTTAACAATATTCACTATCATCAAAATTTTAGTGCTGCGACATAAAAAGTGCCTTTTATTAAAGCAAGCAGTCCAAATTTACTAGTAAAAAGGAAAAAGTTTACAAGTGGGAGACTTTGTACGTCTGTACGTTGTGTCGTCTGCATTTTTGTTTTGTTTAAAGAGTGAGAATAAAGTCATCATCACTATCATCATTGGGAAGGGGGGTTGTCAGTAGTTGCCACACTTGGCATGCGGGTTGGCAAACACAATTAATCTTTGGTGATATTTTAAAAGAGACTGCTCGAACATTAAGATCCCTTAGTCGCCTCTTACGACACCCACGGAAAAGTAAGCGGTAGTCCATTCTATGCCGTGACCATACAGCATGAGAATGGGCCACTAGAATATGCTGGCGGGGCACCAATGAGAGGTGATAGGTAAGGATGAAATCAGATCAGTTAGCCCATTGCGTGAAATTTCATAACAACTTCTGGAAACCATCGTAGTTTCGAGGACCGTTCGATCATCGAGGAGTCACATAGTAATAGATCTGGTAAGATATATTGCTAGCAATGGGGCTTTTAAACTCCATTACTAATCAAATCTCTTTCCTTTTGTTAGTAATGGAGTCCAACAGCCCCACCGCAAACATTATAACCAATTGGGTCATTTTCCATACGGTTTCCTCTGGAAACTAACGTAGTTATTTCTTGTTGAATTAAATACTATGACTAAACATAGGCCTCCCCATAGACTGCTATAAGGAACGGTCCTGAGCCACCTGCATCCATAGACTTCCTACAATGCATTTGGGTTCGTCACTCAACCTAGTGGGGAGTCATCCTACTCAAGAACCTTTCTTCCCAACGGCTGTCAGTTCTTCGAGTTACGTAACCAGCTTATGGCCACTTAAGGTTGCTTATCCTTCATTACCTTATTTACCAGTATGTACCAAGTTACATAGTTGAATTAAATAAAGTATTTCGTTAAATATAGTCATGATAACAAACTTTTCTCAAATTATATCTTTTTGTAGATCCATCAGCTGAGGTGAACACTAGAGGTTGCAATGGTACTTTTCTGTCTGCTACGCCTTCTTTGTCCGCCAAATTGAAACGATGACGCTGGATCTCAGTATATTTAAAAGGCTTCGGTATTCCACCTCCCCAGATACCTGGAAGTGTGGAAGAGAACAATGACAATGATTTACTGATGATCTTACATCGCGAATTTGACTTCACGTTGATATTTTAATTTTGGATGGGCGTTAATTGTATAGTTTCATTGAATCTAAACTAATACACGAAATTGAGTAGAAAACAAATAGCAATCAACGAAGTTTATTGTGAACTACTAGTGCCGATAACTAGACTGAATCCATACAAGGGACTTGATCAAATAAAACTTTAACACTATTTTATGCAACTTAAAATAGCAAGCAACATAAGCCATTTGATGTAAAGTAATAACACTAACTTATAGACACGAAGAAAGTTCTAAATATCACATAAAAAATTGGGACGCCCATAACACCTTTTAAGTGTTTCCATTTTTGAAGTCCATGAGCCAAGTTTGTTACTCTTTAAAATCATAATAAACAAGGACTCTTACCCAAGTAATAATCAGCTATCATGGAATGAAAGTACATGGCCATATTCATGTTTTTAAAGTATCTCTCTCTAGCAGTGTCCCGGAACTGCCTATGGTACCAGTTCATAACAGAAACCCCATCGGCTTCTCTTTCCGATAAATAATTGGGCAGATCATTTCGGATTCTGAAAATTTATGGAATTTACATATTTTTGCTTTTCCATATTAAGAAACTAATGCTTCTACTTTATTAGAGTTTTCAGTTGTGAGCTTATTCTTTTAATCAAGAATAAGCTTTTAAAAAAATACTATGTTGTTGTGTCAAGTGTTTATATCATATCATTTCTGATGTAGGTTTTCTTCATTACCTAGTCCATAAAAGAGGTGGTATTCTTCTAACAGGTGGCAAATGGTACTGATATACGTCATCCAATACTTTATCATCCAATGATATTAAATCTTCAAGTTCAGTTTCTGACAGTCCACTACGGGCTGCTGTTATATAAGCCAATGCGTGGAAAACCAAAAGACGACCGTGCTAAAAGGTAAATTGATTAACATCAAGATTAAATCAAGTATGTGATATTACTATACAAAATTCAGACGAGAATAATCAATAACGTATGCCATAATCACTAAAAAGGAGAATACTTTTAAAGATCTTCATGATGCAGTATTAAAAACTAAAGATATATAGATGTAAAAAGACAATACGATGAAAAATGTACAACCAATTTTTAATTGTAGTTGAGCAATTTAATTTTTTAATTTACTCGTAAAAACTGCCTAATAATACGTTTGCATTAAACAAAAATAAAACAATAAGGAGAAAACAAGAATTTGCTCACTTGGCCTAAAGGAAAAAGAAAAGCAAAATTAAATAGAACGGGAAATACTAACCTGTTTTTCAATTCTTTCAAAGAGCATCATTATAGAGTCCATGACTGTTGATGCAAGGTGGGTGTCTTGCGGCTTTGTATAACTACGCCATCTGCATACCTAAATAAAAAAGAAAATATTCCTCAAGTCCTGACTTGAAAAGAATAAAGGAAAGTATGTGTTCGGTTTCATTTTCATCTGTAACTTGATTTATTTGTTGGCCATTTGTTTATGGAAGCATATTATTTACTTACCTCAGCAAATACTAATTTTACAAAGATGGGCAGGGAGCAAGAACTGATGGCGTTGGAGACCAACCGCCATTGGTAGTTAGACAGATCCCGAGCTGCCGATGCCATCCACAGCCTGAAATATAGAACTTATTTTTTTCATTTTACCACCAGAAGAAGACTGTACAAAAGCCTTCTGCTTGGATGTCTTTGTCTTACTAATGTTTCTAACGTGAAGTAGATGATCATATGGATGTGTTTCGGTTGAAAAGATGGGATATGGCAGTGAAATTACACGGTACAGAGATATCATATTCTTCGGAATTTGCAATGCCAAATTCGAAAAGGACAGCATGAGCTTTGCAGTGTTCTGCGAGTGCTGTTAGTGTTTATAAGTGACGTTTGCTACTTTCTATCAGGTTGACGGCTGATGGCTCATCAGCTTGTTTGGCAGTCTACTCGTCTTATAAAAAAAATTACTGCCAAAAGCCTGCATATATATCCTGCTTCAATAATTTATATACTTACCCATACATAATCTTATACATACATACTGATTTCCCAGACTGTTAATTTCTCTTTCAAACGATACCCTAGTTGATAGTGATTGAGTAGTTGTAACTAAACACTTATTCATTGGTAGCTGTATTTTTCTCTTCTTTTAGCTAATCTCTTTATTGAATAGTTTAAGACACAAAAACAGTGAATTCAATGACAAAACTAATGAGAAACCAACTCGACATAGAACTCGATCCAGTACAAATTATAAATAAAATATAGACAATTAGAATTTTTTTTTTGGCGAGTCGCTTAAAAACAATAAACTGCTTACTTCAAAACCTGCATAGCTAGATCTTCTCCCAATGCCGTTACTTCTAGAAAATTTTCTTCTGAATCAATCATCCGGCGTAGCACATCATATTCCTTGGACACCTCTGGATTTGCTTCTTCACGGGCACATGTAACTATTATCTGAAAAATTAGAGATATTTCATTCCAATGCAAGAAGGTCATTATCATAACCTGTATCTACTTCATTAGCTAGCTTGATAGTTCGTAATAGGATACTTAAATTTAAAATTCCTATAAAATATGCAAATTGTATTAAATCCATATCATAATTCAAGAAATTCCGACCAGAAATATTAACACCAGCTTAACTAAACTCTTTTTATAATTTTAATACGACTAGGTACCTTGCAATTAGGTGGTAGCCGAGTTGGTAACCAGGATACTTTATTGTTCTCAGTTCCGATCCCAGTGAGCTGGTCTACTGAATCCAAGAATAGAAGGAGTGGCTGCTGTGGAGTTGCCAAAGTGAGGAGCTGTTTGAAATGGGCCGTGAGCGGCACCAAATCATCTGGTATACTCTCAAAGGGCAAGGCGAAATTGTATGAAATCTATAAAAGAAAATTTATTTGTTAATTCTTTAAGCCAAAAACATTCCCCAGTTAAACAACCTAATTAATATTATCACTTGGCATCTTCCCAAAAGTTTAAATTCATTTTATTATTTTGAATTCCTGAATGTAAAGGTTTGCTGGAAAAGAACTTTTTTAGAGATAAACTCACGTTTGTACATTTACTTACCTCTTTCTTATTTTTATGTATTATCTGTGTCACAATAAAGTATAAATAAATAAAGATACGCAATTTAAAATATTTTCAAATGTTAGTTATTATACCATATAGATCTATAAAGAATTATATTGTATATAGATAATTACCTGCTGACATATAGATATCAATGTTGGAGTCAATGCACTGGAGTCAGGAGTTGTTCCCAGAAACCTCACGATGTTCGTCGGACGCACATCTGCGAACCAGCTCTCCAGACACATGGCGGCACTTTTTGACAGAAGACTGGTCTTACCGCAACCACCTGAATATGATATTCAAAGTAAATACAATAGTAATAGAAATATAAGAAGCAAAGTTGGTGAAGTTAAACCAACAACATTTTCTCTCAAGCAAAGTTTGGAAGGAAACTTCTAAAATAAAGGAATATTGGTCAGAAGTTTCAAGAGTGTCGTTTTAGAATCATTCTCATTTCTTTTTGATAACTTTTATAATGGGATACAAACTAAATGATAACAGCAACAGGTACTAACTACTAGGTTACTGTCTAGATAACAGATAAAGATCAAGTCAAATTAGTTCTTTGTAATGAATTCGCTAGTAACACTATGATTGTTTCCACGGATAATCATCCAGAGGTCAACCTGACACGATCCATTGCTAGATATAGTGTGCCACTAGTCTCTGTGTTTGAGCACTTTTAGCCAATATCATCCTTTTCCTACGGTAAAGATCCGTCGCTAGGAGTTGGGCAATAATAAATTGTTAGAGTAAGGTAATTAAAAGGTTTTTTTTTAATGGATGATAATGAAATGGTTACCCTGCCCGCGCTATCGGTATACGCTGACGGGGCACCAGTGAAGGATGATAGGTGACGATAAAAGCAAGTCAGTTAGCCCATCGTGATGAATTGCACTAGAATTAACCACGATGGTTTCCAGGGGGAACCACGTAGAGGTCACCTTGGTTGAGTGTATTGCTAGCAATGGGATTCTCAGTCTCCATTACTAACAATCCCTTTCCCCCCAATTAAAAGGGGTTAAAACTTTAATAGTTCGTTAATAGATTTAAACTACCTTCTCCATATAAAACAAGTGGCTTATCGGATGTATTCTTCATATAATTCTCAATATATTTCAAGTCTTCGGCCCTTCCGTGGAAGACCTTGACGGAATTATTGCACGCATGAAGATGCTGAAGTATCTCTGTTACTATTACACCCTGGGCACTGCTATCCTCCTTTCGCATTGCTCTAAAATTTATATACGAATTAATTACGTTAATGGTACGTAAAATGAAAAATCTACTCATGCTCTAAGGCATTGGCTTCAGGTGGATCAAATTGTTTCTTGTTGCAGTCTATGAAGAGGCCTATGCTCATCATCATCACTCATCAGAATGAAAGACTGACGATAAATATACATGACGTATTGGAATGTTATATTTCCCCAAGAAATTCCCAATAGGTGGATTAAAGTAATTTCTAAACCATTCAATCACACTATGTACAACATCTACTAAAAATATAGTTGAATTGATGTATTTTATTATTGAAGGGAATTCGTAAATATATTAGAACGAGTACATTACTGGTATTTTTTTATAGATGATAATGGAATGATAACCTAGCCTGTGCTATCGGTATATACTTGCGGGGCACCAGTGAGAGGTGATTGGTGAGGATGAAAAGGCAGGCCAGTTAGCCCATCGTGACGAATTCAACGATAAATTAGTCACGGTGGTCTCCAGGGGGAACTGCGTGGAGGTCGACCTGATAAGGTATTAATAGCGATGGGGACTAACCTCTCCATTACTAACAATCCTTTCTCCCCCACATTACTGGTATTTTTTTTTTGATGGGTGAAAATGGTATGGAAGCCCCCGCCTGCGCTAACGGGATACGCTGGCGGAGCACCACTGAAGGGTGATAGATGAGAATGAAAACAGGCCAGTTAGCCCATCATGATAAATTCATCAGGAATTTCCAGGGGGAACCGCGAGAAGGTCGACCTGGTTGGGTATATTGCTAGCAATTGGATTCTCAGTCTCCATTACTAACAATCCTTTCCCCCCACACTACTGGTATTAGCAATGTGTAAAAAATAACCAGTAGTCAAAGTCTTCGGCATGTTCGGAACGATTATAAAAATATCCGAGACGTATTATTTTGTATAAATGTCTCCGTTGGCCTACTGGCAGAATATTATTCCTTAACTGTGGTATTACCACAATATTTCCCAAAGAGGGTTGACGTCAGGCAGGCGGCCGATCGTAAAACTATAAGCCAAATCTTTTTGTAATATGGACAAAAAACATATTACGCCGACCCCAAATAATAAATGGGATTAGGGTAGGAAGATGGTGATGAACTGTGGTATTACCATATACATACCTGTCCACCAATTTGATGATATTTTTGTAGAAATGAGATATAAAATGATTAAGGTATTCGCCATGTGTTTCAGTATCAAGGCCGTCTCGACCGATCCACTCGACTGTATAACTGAAAACGAAAGGCATCGACTAAAAACATATTTAAATAATTACTGAACTACTGTAATCGACAATTTAGGTTCTAAGTTAAAAGAATTAATATATCTTGTCCATGAAAATGGTGTTATTATAAATAGTAAATATGTCAAACAATTACGAGTATTAACAAAGGGTACAACATACATAGAGAAACAAAGTCTCTCCGTTAGGGGTTTAATACCGCTTGCTTAGTTTTGGATCATTAAAGGCATATACACTAATGAACAAAGCAAACTTGAATTAATCTTGACAAGCTAATAAACCTGTGACAAGCTAATATACTGTTATAACAATGACGATGAAACTCACTTCTGTATATTTGTAGTTTCAATCTTTTCCGGTAACCTCACATCTCGCAAGTCAGCCAGAAGCTTGCATGCTTCAGTATCCAGACTCCTGTTTAGGATATCCACAAAGTTGCTGGCTTTCTTCAGATTCTGAAGGTTGATGTTGTTGATATATCTGACATAGGCCAGGCAGTGATTCTTTGTGTTCTTTACGTTAAGAATACCGTTTATAACTTCGCGTTCCGTTACTGGAAATCAGATTTACATGACAGTTAACTTTAGTTTTTTTTATACGACTTAGAATGACAAACAAGCTGACGGCCCACCTGATGGAAAGTGGTAACCGTCGCCTATAGACATGAGCAGTACCATGGACATAACAGAGTATACTGTTTCGCCCATGATACCCCCGATGCGTTGCCATTCTTGAGGATTCAGATATTATTTTTCTGTACCCTGTAAATTCATGCCATATCCCACCCTTCAAACCGAAACACAGGCATGCAAATACAACTGCTTTACGATAGAAACACGAATGGGACAGAGGTACCCAAGCAATCGACTTTTGTACAAAGTCTCCCTCGGATAAAATTTTCGTGGATTTATTTATTTATAGAAATGCAACTGTGACAACAACTGAAATATGTCACTAGTTTTTTTTTTATACCACTGAGATGGCAAACAAGCATACGACCCACCTGATGGTAAGTGGTTATCATAGCCTGTGAACACCTGTAATACCAGAGGTATTACGCGTACGTTGCCGACCCTGAAGAAACCTCTTTACCCCCCTTTCTAAGAACCCTATGGTGTAGTCTCTTGGGAAAACCTCGGCGGGGAGCTCATTCCACAACCTGAGTGTTCGTGAGAGGAAACATCTCTGAAACCGCGTTTTTTCTTTATTTCCAGGATAACGTAACAAGTGACTCCAGGTTCAAATCACAAGACACTAGTACAAGAAACGTAATGCCTGATAAACGTGGTATACCCTATGAACTATTACCTTTTTATATAGAAAAAAAAAAAAAACATTATGAAATTTAGCCTTTTATGATGTATACAGGAATCCTTACCTGACATGAAATAATTATGCATAGTATCTTTATCAATTTTGCCAGCATTATAGAGCTGAGACGAGGCTTTTCTGAAGAGTTTTTGCATCTTCCCAAGTGTGTCCCACCACACTGCTTGGTCTTCTGCTTGCAATTTCGGCACCCTCTATAAATGTAATATTATTAACATTGATATACGGCACCTTGTGTTCCTATTGTTGGAGATTAGGATATTGTATTGTGTCGTGTGATCCCGGCATAGAATGGGCCACTCCTTTCTTTTACCGTGGGTTTTTTTTTATACAACTTAGAATGGCAAACAAGTTAACGGCCCATCTGATGGAAAGTGTCGCCTATAGACATGAGCAGTACCATGGACATAACAAAATATACTGTTTCGCCCATGATACCCTGCATGCGTTGCCATTCTTGATTGTTCAGGTGTTATTCCTCTGTACCCTGTAAATTCACGCCATATCCCACCCTTCAAACCGAAACACAGCTATGCAAACACAACTGCTTCACGATAGAAACACGAATGAGACAGAGGTGCCCAAGCAATCGACTTTTGTACAAAGTCTCCCTTTGGTGTCGTGGTGGTGGGTGTCGTAAGAGGCGACGAAAGGAACTTAATGGTCGAGTTAAAGAATCTTAAAACATTAGCAAATCCTAACTGTGGTTACCAAGGTACCAAGGTTGGTAAGAAGTACCAAGCGTGGTAACTATTCAAATCCCTTACGTGTAAGGCTTATGTTTAGCAGGAAACAGTCAAAGGCTGATATGACCATGATTGTGTTGTGTCCAAAACTAAATTGGCTATCTTGTCCTTAATTTTGAATGCGTGCATAGCTACCTATCAAATGAAGTATACTTTTTTTTTATACAACTTAGAATGGCAAACAAGCTGACGGCCCACCTGATGGAAAGTGGTAACCGTCGCCTATAGACATGAGCAGTACCATGGACATAACAGAGTATACTGTTTCGCCCATGATACCCCCGATGCGTTGCCATTCCTGAGGAATCAGGTGTTATTCCTCTGTACCCAGTAAATTCACGCCATAACCCACCCTTCAAACCGAAACACAGCCATGCAAACACAACTGCTTCACGGTTGAAACACGAAAGGAACAGAGGTACCCAAGCAATCGACTTTTGTACAAAGTCTCCCTTTGGTAACTTTAAAATTATATTGCCATATTAGAATGTAACTGGTGCACAATCTGGAAATTTAGCAAAGTCTTAATAATTTATGGAATGATAATATGTAATGGCATTCCATGGCGTATACCGACAGCGCAGCAGTTACCATTGTAACTCTGCCTGTGCTGTGGGTATACGCTGGTAGAGTGCCAGTAAGAAATGATAAGTGAGTGAGATGAAAACAGTCTATCGCGGTAAATTCACCAAGAATTAATGATGATAGCTTCTAGGGTAAACCGCGTTGAGACGACCTGTCATCCATCCCACCTCCCTACATATTCAATGAGGCCATTTCACTATACCTGCAGAGATGCTGTGATTTCTTTGAGCTTCTATACTAATTAGATTGGCCCTGTTAGACATATATTTATACACACAACAGAAGACTTCCATACACCATCATTTTCATAGCATTCTCTTATGGGGACTCTAATATCGTTTCTTATAGCAATTTATAGAGGAAACTAATAATCAGTAGAGGTGAAAAGGAGGCTGAAATAATGATAATGATATCTAGGAGTGATTAATGCAGCGTTCTGATAATGATGAAAACGGCCACACAGCAGTCTATCGTAGAATGCTCTCGCTCGGTTGTGAGCAGAAGTAGATGGAGACATTGCGAGGACCTCAATCGGGAAGGAGAGCCTCGTCGACGATCCACTATCATTATAAAAACCACGACTACTCTGTCAAGAGAGTACGACTGAAGAGAGATAATGATGACGTACCTTGTTATTAAAATTGATTAAAATAGACGATATAGGTTGCAACACAGACACAGGTGGTACGGCGTTCGAGTCCTTCTTGTACCAAGTATCTAGGAGTATCACGTCCACACCGCCAGCGACGAGCTCGTCTCTTAACATCTGAAGTTCTGATGAGAGGACGTAGGTTGGGATAGGTCTGGAATTCGAACAAAATAATGTTTATACATGTGTAAATCTCGCACAGTACCATTTACTCTTAAAACTTTTTTTTATGCGACTTAGAATGGCAAACAAGCTGACAGCCTACGTAATAGAATGTGGCAACTGTCGCCTATATACATGAGCAGTACCATGGACATAACAGATTATACTGTTTTGAGACTGGAGGCTCTGTCTTTATAATCTAAGAATAAATAACCTACTCTTGTACGTAATTTCATTTAAATCCGTCTAGCCATTTGAGCATGATTGATTGATAAACTTATTCATACACTTTTACATTTATAAGTAGGATATATTATTATACTAGCTCCATATCGCAGCTTTCCTCATGCAAATCAGTATATAAAGTATCCTATGTAATAAGTTAGGATATAGCCTACACGTGTACCAAATTTCATTGGAATCTATTCAGTAGTTTTTGCGTGAAAGACTATCAAACATACATCCATCAATCGTTACAAAGATTCGCATTTATTATATTAATAGAGTATGTAGTCTGTAAGCAAAAAATGAATTAAAGGAAATAAGTTTTAGGACAATTTCAATTGTGACTATTAAATTTTAATAGAAGATTGTGTCTTAACCATCATTATAGGCTTCAAGAATTCTTAGCAGAGGGAGACTTTGTACAAAAGTCGTTTACTTGAGCACCTCTCTCCCATCCGTGTTTCTACCATGAAGCAGTTGTGTTTGCATGATTGTGTTTCGATTTGAAGGGTGGGATATGGCAGTGAACTTGCAGGGTACAGAGGAATAACACCTGAGTTCCATCAGGGAGACCGTCAGCCTTCAGTTTTATTCGACTCAACTCTTCCCTATACGCTTCCATACTCGCCCACTTCCTTGATGGAAGTGGGTGAGTATATATATTGAGTTAGCCAGAAGCTTGTTTATCATTCTAAATTTTTTTTGATGGGTGCAAATGGTATGGTAACCCCGCCTGCGCTAACGGGATACGCTGGCGAAGCACCAGTGAAAACAGGCCAGTTAGCTCATCATGATGAATTCATCAGGAATTAACCATGATAGTTTCCAGGGAGAACCGCAAGGAGGTCGACCTTATTGGACCTATTGGAGGTATTGCTAGCAATGGGATTCTCAGTCTCCATTACTAACAATCCCTTTCCCCCCTATCATTTTAAGTTGCATAAAAAAAGATAGGGTATTTATTTCAGTAATAAAATTTAAATAAAAAAAACGTACCTGTAACCATACTTTTGTCCCAAGAAAACAACAAAGTTAGGACCCATAGATAGTCTCTGGCAATTTTTAATCTCCCTCATGCAAAGCTCTGTGGTCATGTGATCGTCGGTAGCTTCGTCTCGAACACCCCATCTCATGTCGACTACCTGCAATTAAAAATAACAAGAACATATTTAAAAAAATTGCATGGTCCCGGCGTAGAACAGGCTACCCCTTTCTTTCCCTCGGGTGTCGTAAGAATAGACTAAGGGAGGGCGAGGGATGGACAGCAGCGTCCCTCTTAAAACATCTCTAAAGCCTCACTGCGGTTGCTAACCCGCCTTCCAAGCGTGGCAACTACTGGCAAAACCCTCCAAAAGGGAAGCTTATGTTCAGCAGTGGACAGTTAAAGGCTGATATGATGATGATGATGATTTAAAGAAAAAATAGCAGAAACTCATAAAAACAAACCATTGATGTAAGGGAGAAGGGATAGTACCATACAAAAGTTATCGACCCCATTGTTTGCAATAACGGTTTACGTTGGAAACCATAATTCTTAATAAATTCTGAATCCACTAGTGCACCAGTTCTTTTTTGTTCATATTTCAAATTTGTAGCGCATACCGATAGCGCAGGCGAGGTTTGATGGATGATAATGGTATGGTAATCCCGCCTGCGCTAATTGTATACGCTGGCGGAGCACCAGTGAGGGATGATAGGTGAGAATGAAAAGGCAGGTCAGTCAGCCCATCCTGGTGAAAACACCTAAATATCAGCACGATGGTTTCCAGGAGGAATAAGGACTCCTATAACTTCCAGGAGGAATAAGGAATAAGGAGGAGGAATAACTTCACAGAGTTTATTGCTAACAATGGGTTCAGTAGAATGTAACCTACATTACTAAGAGTCTCTTCTCCCTTCGCAGGCGGGGTTACCGTTCCATTTTCATTCCATAACTCCCCCTTTATCTCTTTCTGATATCATAAATTCAATTCAATTGATATATTAATATATTTTGCATATTTCCACTAAGTAACTAAAACTAACTAACTAAAGATTGCTTATATGAAATAAGAGAAGATACATAGACCAGAGGGAGACTTTATACAAAAGTCGTTTGCTTGACTACCCTTGTCCCATTCGTATTTCTATCGTGAAGGAGTCGTGTTCGCATGGCTGTGTTTCGGTTTGAAGGGTGGGATATGGCGTGAATTTTCTGGGTACAGAGGAATAACACCTGAGTCCTCAGGAGTGGCAACGCATGGGGGTATCATGGGTGAAACAGTATACTCTGTAATGTCCACGGATGCTCATGTCTATAGGCGACGGTAACCACTTTCCATCAGGTGGGACTTCAATTAATTTCAATGCGGGAAAATTGCTTTGAGATACGAGCAATTTGACATACGAGCGAGATTACGGAACGAATTAAACTGGTATGTTGAGGTACTACTGTATACATAATTTTATATCTCACTATAGCTAACTATGTAACGTTCGAATCGCTAGTACTGGCAGAAGGAAGTTCTAACCAAGAGTTACAACTGTAAATAGCTCGGCTAGACGCAAACACGAATTGTAAACATTTACAAAAACCGGTGCCCACCCTTCGTTTATTTCCATCGACGGAAACGCCACATGCGCTGCGCTTGTTAAATTTAACTGCGTTTGTCGAATTACATCGGTTAAGCTTAGTTTAATAATGTTAGGCGCAAGTACTTTTACAATTATTATTTACTGAGTCTCTTTTTAAGATTTTTTTTTTGTTTTTGAGCATTTTGCTTTCATTCATATCTTTTCTATATATATAATTTATACTTCAACATTGTTTGCCAACTGCATTAACCATGCTGTGTGTACACATGTCTGGGTCTCAATCTAGTTCACACTGTTGTCTTTCTATAAATGTTTCTTTAGTTATTGACTGTAACGTGTTGTGTATACCATAATAAAATAAATAAATAAATAAAAAAAAACAGAAAGCAGGTTCTTCTCAGTAGACAACAATATCCCGAACCCAGGAGTACGATAATAAAAAATTGACGATTTAAAAGAGTTTCCGAACAAGTCTATTCGGATAAAGATTATTTCTATTCCATTCAACTAAAATATTTTCTTTGTTCACCCGAAACGATCCCAGCAGCTAATCAATTCGACATGATTTACTATTTGAATTCATTTTGTGATTTTTTCATAGAAAACGCGCCGTGAATACCGGGAGATTATCGGAGAGGGGAGTCGAATGGATTAAGGGCAAGCCATATTGTCACAACGAGCTTAAGACTTGTCAGTTATTAATATGCCTAAATTTATACATCGTCCGTTAACTGTCCACTGCTGAACATAGGCCTTCCCCATAGAAGGGGAGTTTTGCCAATAGTTGCTACGCTTGGCAGGCGAGTTGGCAATCGCAGTTAGGTTTTGAAGATGTTTTAAAAGACACACTGTTGCTCATGCCTCGACCATGATATAACAAAGTTATAGACAGTCATGATTATTGTATGGATTCTTTAACCCTTTTTTTATTACAAAGACGACGACTTCGGTGAAATTTGTATTCATTCCAAAATTTTTTGTCTATGATCTTTCTCATAGACAAAAAGTTCCAGAGTGTTTAAACCGAAATCACCGTTCTTGTAATTTATTTATTTAAGGCAAACAAACAGATAAAACAATACATAATTATATACTTAAATAGTAATTTGGCAGCCACTAAAAATTGCACAAATAAAATACAAGTAAAGGAAACACAAAATTTGACAATATTAAATTAATAATAAAAAAAGATCTTATTATTATGATACATAGAATGGCAAACAAGCTGATGATCCACCTGATGGAAAATGGTAACAGTCATCTATAGATATGAACACCAAAGATACCACAAAGAGTATATTGATATCAAATATATTCTTTCGTACATTTTTAAAACTTTTAGTAGGTAAGAAAGAAAAAAAATTGTTAATATTAAACTTTCGCCTCGATTATTAAATTATATATTATATATTTTAAATTCATCATAAATTCATCCATATCGAAACGATGGCAATAAAAATCAGCTATGCAGGTTTTGCTATGCAACTTAGAATGGTAAACAAGCTGATGGCTCACCTGATGGAGAGTGGTTACCGTCACCTATACCCGCCTATAATAAGCGTTGCCATTCCTGAGAACTTAGGTGTTATGCCTTTGTAGCCTGTAAATTCACTGCCATATCCCTTAAAACCGAAACACTGCCAAACACAACTGCTTCACAGTAGAAACCCGAATGGGACAGAGGTACCCAACAAACGACTTTTGTTCAAAGTCTCCCTTTGGCAGGTACTATTTACCTGTAATTGCGTCGATTTAAGTTCCAGTAAAGAATTTAAAATAAAAGAAAAGTATTATTATAAAATAAAAGCTTCCCCTTAATAAAAATGCGGATATAAAGCGGATCAACGGAAGACATAAATTTTTATGATATTTTAAGAAAATAACCTTTTCATGGGAAATCGATTGAAACTGACAACTATTTGGATATTTTGTTCTCAGAGTCAAAATACGGAAATCATTCTAAAAATAAAGATGACGATTTGTAAGTTCTTTTTTTTTTCGGAAAAACTTCTGCCGTCTGAAGACAGAATACATACACATAAATCTGTGTTGGTAGCAATAGATATCATATATTTTTTCTCAAACTCAAAGGCGGTATCGAGGTTTTAAGTCTAAGACGAGACTTTGTCTCCCTTTGTGTGTTCTACCGCTTGTATAACGGATTGTGTTTTGAGGAATTATTCGAAGTGACACCTGCATCTACGAGTATCTTTTATCATCGAACTGCATGCTATCGTCAGGGAATTCATCCTCACACGCTAATACCTAAATGGTCACGTAAAGTACGGTTTCAAAGAAATTTTCTAGAGATTACATTATGGGGTTCTTTAAACTGGTAATTATTAAGGTTTTTTTCAGGGTTCGCGACCCGCACATGATACTCCTAGTGTTGCAGACGTCCATAGGCTACAGTGACCGTTTACTATAAGACGGGCTGTATGCTCCTTTGTATTTTCGTAGCATAAATAGATACATAGATAGAAAGATAATTTATTTGCATTACGTACAGCACACAAATTACAACAGATACAGATATACATAAAAAGCGATATAAAAGAAATGATAAAAAAAATACATAAAGCTAAATACAATTTTTCCTTTTATGCGTGTGCCAATATATACCAATTTCTTTTTTTTTATGCAACTTAGAATGGCAAACAAGCTGACGGGCCACCTGATGGAAAGAAGTAACCGCCTATAGACATGAGCAGTACCACGGAGATAAAAGAAATCCTTGCATCATTAAAGCTATATTTGCGTATATGAATCCAAAAAAAGACTTCTTTTTTCATACTTCATCATCGTATTTATAGTCTCTAGAGAATACTTTGATAGGAAGATCATTTCACAAGTTGAGGGCTCGCGGGAAGTACTCCTTTGAAACTGCGCTGCACGTGGCCATTACAGTTAGACAGTGCAAGAATTAATTCCCTAGTGAATACGAGCATCAGGATAATAAAAGACTATTTGTTACACCATTAAAAGATCACTTCAATGTCTTTCTTTTTGTAATCATTCGTGCACTGTGTCACTCCCTATTGGAATTAATAAATGAATGAATTTTATTGCAAAAAATGTGGCACAATAAAGTCATATGGTAGTTTTATAATGGTTTCACACATTTTGTCATTACTGACGTGCAACAGTCATTGCATAAGTTATGACAAAGTAATTTTTTAATATGTAATAATATAATAAAGTAACATGTAAAATTTTTAAACGTTAATTTTACAGATATAATATAATATAATAATAATTGGAATACAGAAATGTAAATTTTTTACAGTTAGTCAATATTTTATATTTTGTAAATATTCCTGGACACTATAGTAACACTTATTTACTAGACATTTATGTAGTTCTTTTGTAAATTTATTATAATTTAAGTTTGGGCCTATGATGTCGTAAGAGATAATTATGGGATCAAACACAATACACCAGAACTCGAAAAGAAAAACTCAAAACTCTACATAAAATCATGTGGATAGCATGGTTTTTTTTTTTTATTATTTGAAATAGGCAAGCCATCTCAAACATATGGCGTCTTATAAAATTAAGCTGGTAATATTCTGCTATAAAGATCCTATCCTCTCATACAGATAGAGTCTCGTGATCAATTTTAGGACGTTAATGTGTTATTATAATGAAAAATAAATAAATAATGGCCATACATATTCAGAATCTATCTGATCCTTGATCTAGAACTCTCTATGTTATGAGAAATGAAATACATCGTATAATATCATTTAGTAAGCTTTATCTATAGTGTAGTCCCGGCATAACCTTTCTTTTCTGCAGGTGTCGTAAGAAGCGACTAAGGGAATTTAACAGTAAAAAGTTGGCCAGCAACGCCGGTTTTAAAACATCGCCAAAGCCTAACTGCGGTTGACAGCTTCTAGCCAAGCGTGGCAGTTACTGGCAGAAGCCTTTCTAAGTGGGAGGCCTAGGTGCAGCAGTGGACAGTGAACGACTGGTATGATGATGTGATGCGCTTTATCTGATGATAATACTTCTGTATTATATATATATATATATATATATATATATATATATATATATATATATATATATATATATATATATATATATATATATATATATATATATATATATATATATATATATATATATATATATATATACCAATTTATTTATTTAACACTTTATTGCACCAACATGATTTGTTAAAACAATTTTCAATACGTATAGTGTAGTACAAAAGGCGGTCTTATTGCTAAGCAATCTCTTCCAGACAACCTTTGGGTAGAAAGGATTAAAGCATAAGTAGGTAGGTGGCGCGTTAAAAAAGATAGATTTGTAAAAAATAATATTTGTGACAGCATAGTCATATACATATACATACATAAATAAACACATACAACCAAACATATATATACATATACATACACATATAAATATATATACATACATATACATATATACGCATAAATACATACAAATATACCATATTAATACACATATATATAACACACATAAAACTGGAAATACGTAGGACTAAGTGATTATAAGGATAGGTAGTGGGCTTTAACTAAGTTTTTAAAAATGGGCAACGATTGAGCGCACCGTATAGGGGTAGGGAGTGAGTTCCACAAACGAACTGCTTGCACGGAAAAGGATTTGGAGTAGAAAGAGGAAGAATGGGTAGGAATTATGAGTTGGAGGTTGTCAGTACTACGTAAAGAATAAGAATTAGAATTGCTCTCTCCAAGAAACATAAAACGTTCTTTTAAATAATGAGGTGTAACTGGATTAAAGAGAATTGAGTAAAGAAGGGAAAGGATGTGCCAGTTACGACGAAGACGGATAGAGAGCCACTTGAGCCGTGTACGATATTGGGATACATGGTCATATTTGCGAAGCCCAAATATGAACCGTATACATAAATTTTGAAGACGCTCAAGTTTATTTAACTGCTCTTCAGTGACATTTGAATAACAGGAATCGGCGTAGTCAAGGATGGGGAGGAGCAATGTATGAGCAAGCGCAATTTTGGTATCCATAGGAAGAACCTTACGCAACCTGTAAAGGGATCCAGTTGCCGCAAACATCCTCCTGCTAATCTCAGCAATCTGAGGTGACCAGGATAAAGTACTATCAAAACAAATGCCGAGATTTTTAACGCGGTCGTTGTAGTTTAACTTCATTCCATTAAAAACTACAGAAGGAAGGTCATTCAAAGCCATTCTGGAAATGTAACTAGGGCTACCTATGATTATAACCTGGGTCTTGGTCGGATTTACAGCAAGACCATAGGATTTGCTCCAGACAGATATACGTTCAAGGTCTTCGTTTATTGTATTTACTGCAACAGAAATATTAATAAGAGGAGCCCGGCAGTAAATTTGAAGGTCGTCTGCATAAAGATGGTAGGAAGACCGAAGCTGAGACGTGATATTGTTGATAAATAAGGCAAATAAAAGAGGAGATAAGACGCCACCCTGGGGCACGCCCGCAGATATATATAATTATACCTGAAATTCGAGTCCATGTTTTTCCCGGCAGTAATCTTTGATGCGTGGGTAGCATTTTGCCATCAGCGTGTTCCTCTCCATGGTTGTATCTGAAAAAAATGTTTTTTGTTAAAAATATAATATGTGTACACTATTTTTTTTTAATATATTTATTTATTAAAACTTTATTGCACCGTGAAACTGTACATATGGCGGACTTAACACCAGATGGTGTTCTCTACCAGTCAACCATTCGTCAAACCGAGAAATAAATAGGCGGTATATATATTTATTAAGAAAGAAACTTGGTGCCTTCTTTTTAAGTCACATTAGACGGTATCGTGTTTAACGTAGTTGATACCAGAGGGCACCTCCGTTGCAATAGTAAAACCTAGTCAAGATCGATCTTCAATTGGTAATCAACCACAAATCACTGACGCATTTGATTCAATAAACATAGGAATTTAGTTGACTGTTTAAATATGTATTTTCCGCATTAGGTTATAAATAAACCCATGGAATTTACTTTAGTCACGCAACTTAAGAAGGAAAATACTGCAGTATGCGGAAATGTATTCTATGTAATGTTTTTACCCCTCAAAACAGACGGTATAGTTTTTTAAATTTATCTTTTTAGTGGGATATATAACTGAAACGGTTACATAGCGTTTTCTTTAATGGATGGTCATGAAATGGTAGCTCTGCTTGCGCTAACAGTATACGCTAGCTGAGCACCAGTGAGGGATGATAGGTGGGAATGAAAAGGCAGGTCAGTTAGCTTGCCATGATGAATACACCAGGAATTCAGCACGATAGTTTAAAGGGAGATTTGACAGGGTACATTGCTAGCAATGGGACTGATAATCCGCATTACTACCAATCCCTTCCCCCCTGGCTCTACGAGTATAGGGTTTAATAGTATAACAATAAGTGCCACACGTCGTGTTTCTACCGTGAAGCAGTTGTGTTTGCATGGCTGTGTTTCGGTTTGAAAGGTGGGATATGGAGTGAATTTACTGGGTACAGAGGAATAACAAACACCTGAGTCCTCAGGAATGGCAACGCATGGGGGGTATTATGGGCGAAACAGTATACTCTGTTATGTCCATGGTACTGCTCATGTTTATAGGCGACGGCTACCACTTTCATCAGGTGAGCCATCAGTTTGTTTGTCATTCTAAGTTGTATAAAAAAAAAACACAAATACACCAACCGCCTGGATCTTCAACTAGTATAGCCTGTGTTATGTTATGAGGAAACAGAAGCACAACCCAAAACACCCAGACTCGAGTAAATTCAGAAAAGTTTTTTCTTAAATTGGCTCGACAGGCAATCATTTTGGCAAAGTAGCAATTTAACAAATACGGTGACATTAGATTCTTTAGAATTCTGGAAAACTATATGAAGACTCCATAAAATTCTTGTATTACACGTTCCAATATAGAATAGTAGTGATTTTTTGTTAATTAACCTTTTCAGAAGTTTATAATTATCCAAGATTTAAAGGTTCCAGCTTAAAAGAATGAGTTAAAAGAGATGGATGGACTGTGTGAAAGATGACATGGCCAGAAAGGGAGTGACTAGTGTAATGACTTCAAATAGAGATGTATAGAAAAAGAAGCTACAGTGCTAAGCCGAGAAGCAACAGAGCTGAAAATCAGCTAGCTAGCTCCTCGGCTGTAGCATAACGCTGAGCGGAGGCCATTTCGACAAATATTGCGTAACATCTTTACTTCCTATACATGATATTTTATTCTGTATAAACCTTTTTTGTAGTGTTTATCCAGCAAACATTTGCTGGATAAACTATTATTTATTTATTTAAGAAAACATATTAGGCCAACCCCAAATGGGAATGGGCAGGAAGAGCGCAAGAATGAGCAAAAAGGCAGAAAGAACAGTTAGAGGTACCAGCTTTGTGGTAGATACGTTGACTATAACTGAAGCTGAGCTTAAACCTTTTAGAGGACTTCAAACAGGGGAGTGATTAGAGGAATTATTCAGATAAATACCAGCTGCTGAATTTCATCATCATACGGTTCGATCGGGATGAGACTTTAACTTGTGGCCAACCGGCCATCTGGATGAATATAGGCCCTTCACCGTGCTTTTATGTAGAGAAACTTTCTTTCACGCACAACCAAAGTATTTAATCAACGCCCAGCAGCAGACTTTCCGAACAGATATGACATTGTAACATCAAATAAAACATTGTATTCCTTTTTAAAAGGCGTGCAACACATCCGCTATTTCTCTGATGTTAGGGAAGCCTATGAGCAGCGGTAATCACTTACCATCAGGTGAGGTGAACGTGTGCTCCCTATGTTTTTTTTTTTATACAACTTAGAATGGCAAACAATCTGACGGCCCATCTGATGGAAAGTGGTAACCGTCGCCTATAAACATGAGCAGTACCATTGACATAAGAGAGTATAATATTTCGCCCATGATACCCCCCATGCGTTGCCATTCCTGAGGAATCAGGTGTTATTCCTCTGTACCCTGTAAATTCACGCCATATCTCACCCTTCAAACCGAAACACAGCCATGCAAAAACAACTGCTTGACGGTTGAAACACAAATGGAACAGAGGTATCCAAGCAAACGACTTTTTTCTCCCTCTGATTATGCTATTAAAAAAACTTTTCTTTCCTAATTCAACAGTATAAAGACACGGGATATTGTATTATACATTTACAGATACGTATAGCAATGACCTAAATCCTTTCCCGCGGCAAGATCCGCATACCTACTTACCGTAATGCAGTCAGATACTCGATCCTTATTGATTGCTGTGCCAATACCCGCGAGATTAAGTTTAATCATCTGTATGAAATTTGATTAATACGAGTGAGGTAATGTGATTCTTCTCTGCGGATCTAATCGGCAGAGAAGAATCATATTTCTTTGTGTACTGAACTTGGAGAAACTTGGTTAAACTTTTACAGTTTAAGAATTCAAAAAGTTCGTTTTCTTCTCACGAGATCAGTGCAATGAAATAATTTTCTATGAAAATTATGAATTACATTTTCTTTTAATGAAAGCGTAACGATTTTGTCATTGAAGTTTTTTTTTTTGTAAAAATAATTATTTCAAAATGGTTTTAAATTAAAAACATATATTTCATAAATCCTAAATTATAAGTTGTTAAATTGACTATCGATCCATTGATCGAATAATAATAATACTTCAAAAAAACATTTTGAATTTTTTTTTTACTGGGATTAAAGTGTCATTACAATACGAGTACTCAGGGGTTGGGAGGACAGGGATTGTTAGTAATGGAGACTGAGAATCCCATTGGTAGCAATATACCCAACCAGGTCGACCTCCTCGCGGTTCTCCCTGGAAACTATCATGGTTAATTCCTGATGAATTCATCATGATGGGCTAACTGGCCTGTTTTCATTCTCATCTATCACCCTTCATTGGTGCTCCGCCAGCGTATCCTGTTAGCGCAGGCGGGGTTACCATACCATTTTCACCCATTAAAAAAAAAACACGAGTACTCAAAACGAGCCAAAAAAACTCACTATCTATACACAAGCTACGAAAATGTTATTGAATTGATCGCACTATCACAAAATGGGTGTTAATTAGAAGTTATTAATTTCCCTTCCACCGACTCACACCTCGACTTCTCCCTTGCTCCAATTCACCTTAAAATGTAAAGGTTGTTGCTCATTAAACCGTACCGTTTCGATATAGTAAAACATTTAAATTGAAAATAAATTAGCCTTTAACATGTCTAAGGGAACTTAATAGTCGAGGGATGGGATGTAGAGTTCCTCTTAAAAGATCACTCTATAAGCCTAACTACGATTGCCAACCCGCCTGTCAAACATGGCAACTACTGGCAAAACTATTTTTATGGGGAAGGCTTATGTGCAGCACTGGCCAGGTAATGGCTAATATAAATGATAATTTACACTGTTTGATGGTAATAGTAACTATGTCTTACCACAATTTTCCTTACAATCTACCAACTTTTTGCCTGCTACTTTGTATCTACCACAATATTGTTTTGAGATCTTTTGTTTTAATTAAGGTCCCTCATATTATTTAGTCTTAAATATCTCTCATAAATAGGTATCGTGAATTACAATTCTATTATACTAGCTATTACTCGCGACTTCGTCCGTTCGACCTTCAACCGAGATAAAAAATAACCTATTTCCTTCATCATTCAAAAATTCATTTTGATAGGTTAAGCAATTAAGGCGCTATAAAGTATCAAACAAATTCACTTTCACATTTATAAGGATTTGTCATTATATTAGCAATATAATTTAAAAATAAAGGACATGAAGGCGTTCGTATTGAATTAAACTTAAAGTTTAAATTGCAATAACAATTTGCTTATGGTAACTCACAAAGCCTAAATTATAGTGACACTGCTTCGTCACGCGTTAGGGCAGTTTCGGTGTAATGCGCGAAGACCTTAAACCGTTTGTATTCCGATACGGTGAACCCATTCTTAGATTATTCGGCGTTTGTTTTAAATTAATAATGGCTGAATTACGTTCGTTGTCTTTTCGGATTCTCCACGCAGCTATGGTGTAGAATTTTAACATTATGTTTCCACGACGATAAATATTATTTTTAATTTTCAAAATAAAAAGAAAATAAGGTTATTGACGGAAAAATTATATTTAAATTATGATATGAAAACTTAACGCTAAAATAAAACATATATTATTCTTATTATTATATTTCTAAAATTTATTATATTTTTTATTAAATGGCATATGCATATAGTAATCATCGCATGTAGTCACAAAATGGCCGACCACACAAATTTTATCGGTTTACACAATGCAACTTTTCGTTGTTTTACATTTTTTAATAATTATAAAACATATCAAAATTTTCGTAATTTGTTTGTTATTTTTTTTAATACCACTGAGGTGGCAAACAAGCATACGGCCCACCTGATTACCATCAGGTGGGCCGTATGCTTGTTTGCCGACCCTGAAGAAACCTCTTTACCCCCCTTTTGAAGAACCCCATGCTGTAGTCTCTTGGAAAAACCTCGGCAGGGAGCTCATTCCATAACCTGAGTGTGCAGAACGCACCTTTTTAGAGAATATTTTTAAATTTTATATTTTTA